ATAGGGACCACTTAAGCTTTAGGGGCTAGGATCCTAGACTCTTACAAGGATTGCGTAAAATTTAGCCCTCTAGGGGACACTCAAGCGTTCCTAAATGAGAACCTCTGTTGATTCTGTTCAATCTCTCATTATCATTATAACCCATCCTCATTAAATTTCATCGTTATGGCTAGCCAGCAATTGTACATCAATAGCCTGGGATTAGAAGGCACCGGAAAAATGGCAATTTTCAGTAACGACGTCGGCAAATCCCTCTTATTTCCAAATGACGACAGCTCGAAAAATCGGAAAACCCTTGAGGGGATTTCGTCCCCGGCTCATCATCCCCTTTCCGCTTCTTCTTCTTCTTCTTCTTTTGCATTTCGCTAATGCGATCTCTTTCTTTCTTCCCATTCTCCTTTTTTCTTCCCTTTGTTGTCGATCCGTTCTCTTTTTGCGGTTCTGACTCGAATAGACGGAAAAAGTCCCTCAAAAATCATGCTCAAACCTCTAAAAAAATTAAAATATGATGCGAAATTCATCGTTTCAATGAATTTAATTCGGAAAATTTGAGAGGAATATTTTATTCTTTCGTTTTTCGTTAATTTTTCATTTTTAAGCACCCTGATTTTCACGAATTTTATAAAGTTTATACTAAAAATTCTTTTTCAGAATGACGAAAAATCCCTGACATTTGAGAGCCGAAAAAAAGCTTGAAAAAAACAGCCAAAAATTTGATTATCTTATATTTTTACTCCTTTTTATAGTTTTTTTCAACTCCTTTTCTTAAATTCCTATTCAGAACCCTTTGTTCTAGCGTTAAAAAAATCCGAAAATGACCGAAAAACGGCTCTTCTTCTTGGGACCTATTCGAAAATGTCCATGTCCTTTCAATTAAATTTTTTTCCAGAGAACCTCAAATTATTTGCAAAATTGATAAGAAGGACTGTGAACCAATTTTTTTAAATAAAAAAAGGATTTCACGTCTTTTTATTTTACTTCAAGTAGAGTTATAGTACATGAAAGACGTCAAAAGTCGTTTTTTTTTTCATTTTTATTCAAACTTTAAGACGTTATAAATTAAAAAAAGGGCAAATTTATTATTTTTTTATTTGCCCTTTGTTTAATTTATAACGAAATTTATTGCTTTTTGTATGTTTAGAATGATCTTTCTTAACAGGGGTAAAACGGAAAAAAACCAGCAGAAGGTCCTTATAAAAATATATATTTTTAAAAATTTCCTAAGAGCTCTTTTTTTATTTCACCTTTGTATTTTTTTCCTTCCTCGAAAAAAAGGCACTGGAAAGCAAATAAAAAGGTTCCACGAAGTTGATCCTCCGGGGCTCTGAAAAAGGAGCTCAAAAGACTTTTTCCCATAATTTTCAGGACTTAGCGGAAATTATCAGCTTCTCCTTAAGGACATTAAAGGAGATTTTTTCCGTTTTGCCCATGAACCAAGCTTCACCGAATCCTCAAGCTGTCTTTTCCCAACTCCCCTGTGAAATCCAGACCGAATCATTAACGACTTTATGTTTTCCCATCACATGATTGTTTGGGTCAGCAGTTTTGAGATGGAAATTTTGCGTCATCGCGTTTCTGAGAACTCATTCCTTTTATTGTCTCGGAAATCTTTCTGGTCACAAGTTGATGGGGGACAAAATAGCCGTTCGAAAATTGAAGTTTTTTTGAGCTTATTTCACTTTTTTTCCGTATAACAGACCTAAATTTGATGATCAAGCTGATTTTTGCTAGACGCTTTTGACCCTTACGATTTTTTTTTGAATATTTTTCGATTTTTTATTTTAGTTTCAAGCTCATATAGGCTATCCATAAAGCACACTTCCGGTGAGAAAATTTAAATTCAAGCCTTTCCAACCGCAGAAGTTATCAATGGAGCGATTTTGAAATTCTTTTTCTCTTTTTTTTCTGAATTTTGATTTTTCGTACAGTTGAAAATCCGTTTTAAAGAAAACATTAAAATTGATTTTTCACTTCATTTTTCAGTTTTGCTGTATGGAAGTTGAGATAAAGGCTCTTAAAAAAATATTTTATAGATTAAAATTCACAATTTTGCTGTAAAGTCAATTGTCCATGGAGCGAAGAGGCTGAATTATTTTCTTCTGCTTTTTTTGATAGCTTTTTCTGTGTTATAATCATAAAATTGACTCATTTCCTCTAGTTTTTATCGATTTTGTGGAGAAAAACGTTCGAAATTTGGATTTTTCTTTTGAAAATTTTCTTCGGAGACTGAAGTCCCTTGAGGGGTCACTCAACGATCCCGTTATGCTTCTGTAGGCTTTTCAAAGTTTCTTCGAGTTTTCATAGAAGAAAAAGTTTTGTGAAACCTCAAAGAAAAAATAAAAACCGACTTTTCGCTTCAAGACCTTCATGAAATTTGAGAACTTCTCCCTTTTAATTTTATTTTTTCTCTCATTCCATGGGCAACTTTGAGAATTTGATTAACTCAATTAGTTGGCGGCCTCGAAGAAGAAGAAGAAGACGTACAAATACACAAAACGTCGGAATCAGAAGACGAAAAGAAGAGAAGAGAAAGAGGAGAAAAGTGCCGCAGCCGCCGGGATTGCGATGCAAATGAGCGCATTCATCGGCTCCGCGAGCCCCCGCGACGACGTCGTCTCCTTTCCCTCCACTTCTTTTCTTCTTCTTTCCCTTTTTTGGGTCTTCAAGAACTCTCGAACCACCAGGAAGCCTGGAGAGCCCAACAATTATGTCCTTTTTTTAGGTTGCTTAAGAAAATGTTGCATTGAAAAATGAGCAAAATTCAATGATTTTTATCGATTTCGCCCTTCGAAACCGATATTTTTCTTCGTTTTTTAGGTTTTTCATGTATTTTCTAGATTCTCAAGGACTCTCGAACCACCAGGAAGCTCGGAAAGCCCAACAATTACATATTTATTTTGTAATTTCATAAAAAGTAAGAAAAATTCAATTATTTTTATCAATTTCATCATCGATTTCACTCTCCGAAACCCATGTCTTTTTGGAAAATGTTCTAGAAAAAAAGCAAACTTGGGAATTTTTCTTCTATTTCCACCTCAAAACTCCTCTTTTTTTCCCCTTTTTTTGTCTTCAAAGACTCCCCCACAGGAAGCCTAGAAAAATCCCAACGATTACACTTTTTTTGTTTTTAGTTTCATTAGGGAATGTCGAAAAAAATTGATTTTACCCTAAAAACCTACATTTTTCCTTGTCTTTTTAAGTTTTCAATATATCCCGAGCAACAAGGAAACCAAAAATCCTAACTATTACATTTCCTGTTTGTATATTTATTTTAAATCCCCTTTTTTTGGACAGACGAAAGAATTTTCAAGCTAATATCCATTCTCAATCGATTTTTCGCTTTTCAAACCTTATGTTTTTTTGGAAATATTTCATGTAAATCAGAATTTGATAGATTCTTGTGTTTTTTTCAATACTCTTTTACGGGTCTTCAAAGACTTCTGAACATCCAGAATGCCTGGAAATTTCAAAAAATTACATATTTTGGTTGTAATTTCATTAGGAAATGCACTGAAAAAAATATGCTAATTTCGGTAGTTTTGATAGATTTTTACGCTTTATTTTTTTCCTCGTCTTTTTTTGGTTTTTAAGCACTCTTGAGCAACAATTTTTTGCTTCAAAGCCCGGTTTTTTTTCAAAAATCATTTTGTAGTTTTTCTTTTTTTTTCGATCCTGAAGAACTCTCAAACAACCAGAAAGCATGGAAATCTCCAAAATGACTTTTTTTGTAGTTTTATTTGAATATTTATTTTTTTGAGTTTTTTTCTCTGATTCCCATGGTTTTTTTCTTCATTTTCCCTTCGAGAAACTTCTATTCAAAAAAACCTCGGAATCCGAAATTCAATTTTTTTCAAAACGTAAAACTTGGCTTCAAATGTGGGAAACCCTTCAAAAGTCATGGAAATCTTACAAATTTTTTTGAAATTTTCCAAAAAAATAGTTTGGTTGTTGATTAGAAGGACTTAAAAAAAAAAATGCAAATAATGAATTTTTTTAGTTCTGCCTTTGACATTCCTTCGAAAATTTGAGAAAAGAGAGAAATTTTGAAGTTTTTGCTTCATTTCTCTCAATTTATTCTACAGGAAGCCCTAGGAGTCTGAATTTTCTCGGATTTATTATTTTTTTTCATTTAATTAAAAGATTTCCATTGGCTTGGTTTTTTTTGAAACACCATTGAAACAGGAAAGTTTGCTCTAAGCCATATTTATACCGGAGCTCTATTTCACTTCTAAACTTCCATATAGTTGAAAAAAAAAACACCAAAAAAGTTTTTTCTGCATTTTTTAGAGTTGTTTCTAGTTTTCCTGAATAGATAAATTTGAAAATCTGAAATTCAAAAATTGAATAATTTTTTTCTGTGTCCACCGGGATCGAACCTATGACCTTTCCGATCTGTTACAAGCTCACAACCCACTGCTCCATCGCGTTTTCTCCTCGTTTTCGATCAATTTGTGTCGCTATTCAGCTCTTTTTTTAATTGAAAACGGACATTCGTCATCCGACGGACGGCTCTCATTTTTTTTCCTCTTTCATATATTTTTTTCTCTCTCAGTCGTGGTGGGAAATTGGCATAAATTTGTCACAATTTTCGCCAATTTTTTCTCTCTCTTCATTTTTCATAGATCTTCGTCTTGTATAGTATAGTGTTAACACATCAATTCTGAATCATTTGTACTTTTATTCGCCTGAATATTCGGTAAACAAGTGGTTTTTTGTGTGAAGATTATCCCTTTCACTGCGTTTTGTACCTTTTTATTTTCTGAAACAAAGAAAAAACAGCGTTTTGAGAGATTAATGAGTAATCAAAGTTTTGAAAAAAGAAGGATTGGCGTGTTTTTGGGGCGTGTTTTGGAGGCGCAAAAAATTGATTAACTTTACAAAAAAAAAATTTTTTTTGATTTTTGTCATTATTCTTCATTTTTCTGCTTCGAAATATCATGTGATTTTTGATCAATCTTGTGATTTATTTTTGCCGAAAGTTATATGGTAGATAATCGATAATGACGTGGGACCGCAACGCGTTGAGCCATTCCAAATGCGGCCAGAAAATTGATAAAATGAATATTTATTTTCAAGAAGTTGAAAAAGGAGCTTTCTTTTCGGAAAATCGCTCAATTTAAGGCAATTTTTTGAATTGGAAGATTTTTTCGAGGTCGAATTTGATCATTGCTCGGCTATTTTCAAGTTTCAAACGTTATTTTTTTGTTTTTCTTTTTTTTTCCACAGCAAATCATTCAAAATAAATTTTGGAACGTCATTTTTGAGATCTGTCAAAAAAAGACCTTTTTTTCCATTTTTTTAACTTTACGAAGCAGTATCAGCATTAGAGTTGATTTAAAAAAATCATAGTTTTGTTTCAAAACTTTTTCCAAACGTCTTTAATGTCGTATCAGATTCAAAGAACGGTTTTGAAATTTAAAAATATCAAAAAGAATAATTGAAAGAATAGTTTCCCTAGACGTGGGGGTGCTTGAGAGACAAGTTGGTCGGCCAGAAGGAAAACTTTCGTTTTTGGGAGCTCCTCCGTCTTCGTTCTTTCCTTTTTTCCTTCTTTTGACAACCCGCCCGGCCGCTCCTTCAATCTTACGCCACCCGCCACTTTTCCTTCCTTTTTTTTTTGTTTTGTCTTTTCAAATTGGTTATGTTCCTTTTTTTCTGGCTTGCTAGTCCTCGAAGTTTCCGACAAAATCCACTTTTTGAGCTTTTTTGGAAGGTTTTTTGTGGTTCAAAGTGACAAGTTTAGTGTTTTTTCGTGTTCCTCGGTTTCGAAAAAAATGCCAAAAATATATACTTTTTTTTCTATCCTCGGCTTGATCTAAAAATTTTCAAAACTCCAAAAAAAAACTTTGATGAAGACAAAAAGACTGCGAAAAGAGAAGAAAAATGGAAAGGACTCAAAAAAGGCTGTTAAATAAAAACGTCCGCGTCCTTTTAGAGACTTTTATGGGCCCTTAAAAGGCCTTTTCCCGATTTGCCTATGAAAGACCGTCGAGAACTTCTTTTCCTTTGGTTTAATGGTCTTTTTTCGAGTTTGAAACAGAAAAAAAACCGGAAAAATATATTTCTTAGGATTAAAAAGTCCCTGAATTTTGAAGCAAAGAACTTTTTTTTGGTTTTATAATTAAAAATTCGGTTCTATCAGTATATTGAAAATATATCTCGAACTTTATTGGATACAAAAATTTCTTCCCTTAATCCCCCAATTACCCATAAAAGGCTGTGACAAATCTCGTTCAAAATAAGATTTTGAGCGAAATTAAATGACTTTTTCCAACACCTGCAAGCCTTTATTTCCGCTCAGTTCTGTTTTCAGCCTTTTCTTCTCCCTTTTCAGTAGGAGTTGCCTACTTTCTCCGAACAACAACTAATTGCCAACCAAATGTTCGTTCTCATCTTTGAAATGGAGAAATTTCTCGATTTCGAATCATTTTTCCTTTCCTTTCCTTTTCTCTTTCTTTTCTTTTTTTTGCAAAGCATTCCTGTTTGAAAAGAAGAATTTAAAAAAACAGAAGAAAAATCACAAAACGCAAAAAAATTTTAATCTCTCATCAACCGATCAAATTCAAAGTTAATGTTTGATCTTTACATTTTTTTCGAAAAAAATCCTTCTCTTCATTTTTCTAATAGTTATTTTTACTTTGAAAGACCAAATTTTTTTAAAAATTATTATTATTATTGTGAAAATGATAAAAATTTTTTTGCCGAAAAAAATATGTGCGTTAGAGCGCGATTAACACTGTAGGGAATAATAAATTTTTTTGAAGTAAAAAAAGTTTTTTTATGGATCTTTTAATTGAATTTAGTGTTCACTTTCAATTATAAGCTCTAGACGAACGGGAACTATGACAAAACTTTTTAATTAAGAAAAATATACTCAGTTAAACTTGTAACTCAATTTTTTTCTTCGAATTCATCGATTTTCCGGTCTGAAAAATGATTATAACTACTATAAATTACATGATTATCTTTAACAAAAAAATAACAAATACAAAAAAATTTGAAAAAAATCGCTAATTTTCACCCACATAATCATTTTTATATCGTTTTTCTCATTTTGCACTTGATTTTTTTTTAATTGCTCAATTTTGAACCTTCAGACCAGCGCCCAAGCGTCGAAGCGCCATCTCAACTCTGAAAAGAGCCCAAAAAGTGGTGAAACGGGAAGAAGTCGTTGTTCTGGAGAGGAAAAGGCCGGCGCGACGTCGTCTTTCCACAACCCTTCTGCACGATTTACAGCCATCGGTTTTTATTTTTTTGGTTTTCATGAATATTAAAGCTTCCTTCTGATCTGAGAAAGTTTTGACCACTTTGAGGACGTTTTAGTGGTCACTATAGTAGTCGAATTAGTGGCCACTTAGGAGGTTTAAACCAAGTGGCCTTCTTGTGAGTCTAATGGTACTACTGGACTAAGAAAATCTACTATAGTGGCCGCTATAGAGGAGGGATTAGTGGCCACTTTAGTGCCCTCTCCAGGTAGTCCTTGAGAAGCCTCTTAAATGGCCACTATAGTTTTTCCCAAGTTGGAAAAGTGTTTGAGAGTTGAAAGTCCAAAAAAGCTTCGAGAAGAAAAAAGTTGAAAAAGAAGAAGAAAACGTCAAGCACAGCATCCAATTTCTCTTGTCAGATACTATTTCACGCCGTCTTTCGTTCCTCCTTTTTATAGACCCTTTTTCGGATCAATTGAACCTTCTGCAAGAAAAAGAACTCCTTTCTTTCTTTATTTACTTTTTTAATAAATTGAAGAGTAAATTTCGAAACGTTACATCACAAATATCAAAGGGTTACTTAGCTGTACTGGCAAAATTTTTAGTGGCCACTATAGATGCTCGCCAAGGACTTGGAGAGGACACCAAAGTGGCCACTAAACCCACCTCTATAGTGGCCACTATTTTCCGTTTTAGTGGCCACTTCAGTAGTTTTTCATGCAGTATTCCTTCCAGTAACTCTGATCAATCAATCAATCAAATCATTTATTTTGTTGGTTTAGTCATAGATGTATCGACTAGGCGGTGAACAAGAACTTTGAAAGCTATAACGAACAACCGCCTTTGGCGAGGGTCCTTCGTCTCGTCCTTCTGCGCGTAGTGTATCCAGTTGCGCCTTGACGAGCTCAGAATGTAGCGAATGTTCTGCTGGAGCCCGGAGACCGTGCTCTAGATGGAAGCCTCAGAATGAGAGCTACCACTTCGAGTGAAGATTTTACACGGAATCTGATGATTTTACACGGAATCTGATAATTTTAAAACAAACAGATTTGACCAATTATGATGATCCATTGACCCCTAAAGTGGCCACTAAAATTTTTTGTGGTCTAGTAGTATCACTTAGACCTCTATAGTGGCTATAAAACGTCAAAACTCTATAGTGCTCCTCTTTGGAATTATAATCATTTTGTGAAACAGAAAACGGAGCTATTCGCAAATTTTTTTTCCAGCGTTTGTTCAGAGTAGGTTCAAAAATTTAACAGGTTGAATGTCGATTATTTTCAAAAATAAAAAAACTTGCAAGGAGATAGTGTATCTAGTGAATTTCTATACAACATATTGCGAAAACACAAGAAATTTGAATGAAATTGATCGAAAATGGGCATTTTTTCGTTGTTTCGGACTCATTTTTTTGGGATTTTCTGTGTTCTTTCTTTAAGTGAAAATGTATTTTTTTCCAATAAAATGACCAATTAGAAAGTAGAAAAAGATGAAATTTTTGCAGGTAAATGCGCAGGTAGGCTTGGAAGACGGGCCGATGGAAGGGCTATCGGAGGAGGCCTCCGTCGACGACGCTTTCGGGTATATTATTCAGATATTCATCCATTTTTGAATATAGTCCATTCACGGCTAGCTAAAGGGCGTGGCCTGTCTGCTCTCTCTATAAATCATGCGCTATTTCTTTTTTTTTCGTCTCAGGACCTTTTTCCGATGGCTCAAGGAGCCGTGAATCGTTCTTTTGAAAAAATCTATTTTTCATTTTATTTTATTCCAGAGTAAACTTTTCATCGGCCCTTTTGGAGCCGACGACGCACGATGTCCTCAGCCTCGAGATGAACCAATTGGGAGGTGATTTATCGATTTATTGATTTTTGTTAAGAAAACCAAATTGAAGAAGAGCTTCTGAAGATTTTTGAATGTGAAATTGGAGCTGGAGGATAGAAAAACTCATGGTTTTTACTTCAAATTGGATTTTCACTTTTTAGAAATTCATATTTTTCATTCAAAAAAATGCGAACAAGGATGAAGAATAATTTTTTTTTTCAAGCTTTAAATTTATCTATTTAATGATTTTTTTTGAAAAAAAAAATATACCTTGGCCTTAAAAATAGTTTCCAAATGCGAAGTTGGTCTCAAAGGATGGAAAAATTTATCATTTTTTTTCTTCCAGTTGGATTTTTTTCTCATTGATATTTTTTTGATCGAAACTTTGAAAAAAAGGAAAAAGTTTTTTTCAATTATCAAAGTTATTGATTTTTTTCGATTTTTCATCAAAATTTTGAGAGAAAAATGCGAAAAAAATTGAAATTTTTTTCAAGTGTGAAAATGGATCTGATGAACTGAAAAAAATTGATCACTTTTTTTAAATTTTGTATTTTTTTATACATAAGTTTTGTTGAAATAAGAAATAAAAAAAGAAATGGATCATTTGTTAAATTGGGATCTTGAAAAGGGAAAGTAGTATATATTTTTCATTTTCGAAATTTAATTTTTCTTCCAGGCTACCTGGACCCGAGGGGTTTCGGTGGCGGATCTCTGGATTTTGACGATTTTGGTGGGTTTTTTTGAGAATTGTTCAAGTCTGGAAAGGTAGAAAATAAAGAAAAATTGAAGAAAAATCGGTTGGAAAAAAATTTTTTTTCGATTTTCGCCTTTAGAATGGTTATTTGAAGACTTGAACTTTAATCAATTCTTATATTTATTACAGCTCTTTGAATAATAAAATTTTCATTATTTTTCACCTAAATCATTTTTTTCAGGCCAATCCAGCTCGATGTTCGATCTTCCGCATACGACTTTTTGACCCGCATGACAAGCCTTTTTGAGCCTCCAGGTTTTTCATTTTTGTCATTTTTTTATCATTTTAAAAAATTATTATCATTGTTTCAAGCAGAAAGAAAGTTTTGCAGTGGAAGAACCTTTGAAATTCGAGCCCCCCACCCCCGCCGCCACGTTTCGAACAACCACAAAGGTTCCATTTTTTTCTTAATTCAAAAACATATCCCGCAGAATTCAAAATAGCTAGAGAAAGAAAAAAAGATAACTGAATTTTGGAGAATCAGAGATAATTTTGAGCTTTGCGGAAATTATTTTGAAGCGCGCATAATAATTGAAAAAATTCTCAAATAACTCATTTTTCCTGTTTCAAATCCTCATAATTTTTTTTTGGAAGTTTTAGCTCTTTTTTCGCTCGCTCGTACATGTGTTTCAGAAAAAAATTTGAGGTTTTTTTGATAAATTAAAAAAAGGCATGCTCTCAATAAATTTCGACTTAATTGTTTTTTCAATTTTTTTTTTGGAGAAGTCGTATTTTAATGAAATTTTTCGGTAAAAGAAAATTTTCATTTTTCAAAAACGTTCTCAAAAACTTTTTGGCATACTCTAAGGGTCAAAAACCAGATTTTCCTGGATTTTTGAGTTTTTTTCTCCAAAAAGCTGGTATTTTGAAAAAAAATTTTTTTAAGGGTTATCAATTTTCGTTCTTTTTCTTTTTCACCTAATTTTTATTTTTTTATTTTTTTCATGTCAAACGAATTTACGAATCGTTCGCGTTCATGAGAAATCAGCTTAAATATTTATTTTGAAACTGTAAAGTGGAGTTGATAATTTTAATTCATGCCTTTTTTTCAAAGTAATACCAGCTTAATGCAAAATTATCTCTGGCTCTCCAAAATTTAGTTATATTTTTCTTTTTCTGACGGCTAATTTTAATTTCGTAAAATCACCTTGAACACGTATAATACATATAATCCATGTAAGATAAATATTCATTTTTTTCAGTTTTTTTAGATTTTATTATCGCTTTTTTTCCAGACAGTACGAAACACCACGAGCCGTTCCGACTTACCCGGTGAAAATGGCAGATCCGTCGACTTATTCCTCTTATCCGGCGGTTCGAAACGCTCTTCAGTGGGTTTTCCATCAATTTTGAACATATTCGAATATAATTTTCTATTGGCGATTGCGAAAAAACCATCTTAAAATTGGAAAAATTTGGGAAAAAAAATTTTTAGTGTTATAAATCGCAGAAAATTCTTAAAAAAATCGAACCTTTGGCGTTGCTTTTATCAAGAAATTCACTTTGAAAATTTCTCAATTTGAACGTAAATAATGTCTAGGATCGCAAAAGAGCCATCTTGAAGTCATAAAAAAATGTTTTAGAACAAAAAATTTGTTCCCAAAAGGCATTAACCGTCTAAAAAAATACAAAAATTTTTGGGTTATTGGGTTACCGAAAAAAAGAAAAAAATATAAAATTTAAAACAATATAGGTAATCACTGTTTCATATCGAGTACAAAGGTAACATTGCAACTTTTCAATTGAAAAATAAAGTTTGGTCCAAAAATATTTTTCTTTTTCTTTTTTTTCTATATTTTTCTCAATCAAGTAAGTTTATAAAGTTTTTTTCCCCCATTTTAATTTTTTTCCAAATCTTTCATTTCCCAGTTTTTCTTCAGATCCACGCCGATTTCCTCGAAGACAATGATACTATCGACGTCTTCTAGCGTCAGAAGATCGACGTCTTCTCGAACGGCGAGCAAAAAAGAACAACTGGACCCGCAAAGAGTCGAGGATGAAGTGGCCAGGTACAAGAAAAACCTGAAGATTCCACAAAAAATGGAAAATTCCAGAAACGTGTCTCAAATTCTGTCGGCTACCAAACAACAGGAAGCCCAGCAGAGGTGGAATTTCTTGTAAATTCATAATTTTTTCCATTTTCAGAAGCGGAATCGCGCCGCCGACGCCGCCACGATACGGATATTCGTGCGGGAATTGCAACAAACACGTGACCAGCGCCAGGAATTTGCAGGTTATTTGAAATTCCCGTTTCAAGACCGTGTATTTAAGATTTTAAGGTTTTTTCTGGTTTGATTTAAAATCGATCAGATGTAAAAAAAAAAGAAAAATTTAGCCGTGATTTCTTGAAGATTTCTTTACCTAGGAACTCCAGAGTGGTCCCTAAAGAGACACCAACCCCTATAGGGGATACTAGAGCTTGCAAAAGGGGTCCCTATAGAGGAATGCTAGTCGATAATTGTTATGAACTTTAAGCGAAGAAGCATTTTCATGGGGAAAAAACTGAATAAATAAGCGGTTTTTGAATGAAATTGAGAGACCCCTCTAGGGTCCACTTGAGCTTTAAGGACTCAGAGGTCGTACTTCAAACTCCTGTAGGGACCGCCCTGATTTTACCCCTATAGAGATCATTTTTTCGGCCCCATACAGGGGCTTGAATGCATACAGTTTCTTGGTGAATCTACTAAATTATTCGATTCCTCATATTTGGAACTTTCAGCGACACCGACAGGCGTGCTACTCCGTCAAAAAGGTCCCAACTCTGGCCCCGCCTCCGTCCCAACTTCCGATGACGTCATCTACCTCGTCGTCCTTCACGTCGCCGACCTCCTTCAGCACGCCGATGACGTCATCCGGACAGGCGACGTCGTCGATGCCGACGACGCCCGCCCCGCCGCACGTCTCCATGCCGCCGCCGTCGGCTTCGACGTCGGGCCCGCCGAGCAACTTCCTCAGCTCGCCCAGTGCCGATTCCAAGGTCTGGAGGGAGAGGAATTGAAAGCAAGAATGAGGAAACTCGAGAAGATAAGGCGATAGTTTAAAAAAAAAGTTTGAAAGTTCGAGCCAATGTTTTCATGGTTCCTCAAATAAATGTCCTCCTTACAGGAATTTCGGAATTTACTGTATCTTTGAGGACTTGACGGACATAAAAAACTGTTAGGAACATCAGACTTGAAGATCCACCTCTAGGGACCACTTTACCTAGCCCTATAGGGGCTACTAAAGCTTGCAAAAGTGACCACTCTAGAGGTTTCAGCCGGTGGTCCCTAGAGGAGAGAAATCTGAACCTTTCCCTTTTTCGTTTTTAAAGTTTCTTCCCAAAGGACGAATAAAATGCCGACCTTTTACATTCTCGCCATAACATTTCAATGTTGCGAAAAAAGTGACCTGATTTAAAAATAGACGAAAAACCGATCCAAGACATAAATTTTTATTGTGGCGCGTTCGAACCCAATAAAATGTTTCAAAAAAGAGAAATTACTGTTTCGGAGTGACCTAATAAACACAAACATTGGTCAGAGCATAATCGTATCTGCGTATGTGTGACTTACTTGAAAATTCTTGTTTTTACTGGAAAAATGTTTAGTGGCCACTATAGGGTTTTGACGTTTCAATGGCCACTATAGTAGTCAAATTAGTGGGCACTATAGAGATCTCAGTGCAACTTCTAGACCACTAAAAATTTTAGTGGCCACTTTAGGGGTCAATGGATCATCGTAATTGGTCCAATTTGTTTGTTTTAAAATTATCAGAGTTCCTGGAAGGAATACTGGATGAAAAACTACTGAAGTGGTCACTAGAACGGAAAATAGTGGCCACTTTAGTGTCCTCTCCAAGTAGTCCTTGGCGAGCCTCTATAGTGGCCACTAAAAGTTTTCACAGATATGTTCGTTTTTTTATCTCTTCTCTAACTTGGCTTGATTTTTTTTTTCAATTAAAAAATTTTTTGTTGAAATTCATCCGGTTTTGGTTCAGACGAACGACGAGAGCCACTTCTCGGATTGGTCCCGCAGCGAAAGTTATTCTGGACCTCATTCCGTGGGAAGCGCCATCGAACGTCTTCACGACCTGGACGACGTCGCCCCGAATCAGAATACCAAGTGGGGATTTTTGATCGATTCAGGGGAACTGGTTTTGAAACGAGGGCCGGAAATGGCGGAATTTCGGAGTTTATGATGTTTTTGAGGACTTGGCGAACGTGAAAAGCTTGAAATCGATCAAAAATTGATGATTTTTTGGATTTTCTTCTGATAATTTTTCTTTTTTCGACCTAAAACCCGGTTTTCCTACAAATATGTGGAAAAGAGAACCAAAAAAACGGCGGAATTTTTGGAGTTAACTGTATTTTTTTGAGGACTTGGCGGACATGAAAAGTTTAAAAAAATTGATGGAAAAATTGATGATTATCATAAAAATTTTCAAATTTTCAGATTTTTTAAAAATTCAATCTTGCTCCACAAACTCATTAAGAGCAGGATTCTTTTCAAATCTGAGAAAGTTTTTTTGCGAAAAATCTAAAAAAAGGCCGCACTTCCCAGAATGATTAAAAAGCGGCGCGGTCGCGTCGCGGTCGACTTGAAATTTTTGTCATTTGATATGAGCTCCTGATAATGATTTTGAAGTCAATAATATTCCATCTTCTTTAAAAAAATATTGATTTAATTATATTAATTTTTTATTATGGCTCGGATTGCTTCAAAAAAATAAAGCTCAAGAACTTAAAAAAATTTGAAAAATTTGCTTCAAGTTTAAATCCAACTTTGCGGTTTCAAAGTGAGAATAAAATAATTTTGAAAAAAATATTCTACAATCATCGAGGCGATAGCGATAGGAGCCTATTTTCTCAACCTTTCCTTTTTTTCGTGGCCATTAGAAGTTTTATTTTTATTCTCAGAAAGTGTTACAGCCTTTTTGCATTCCCAGGATAGAAAAGCAAGGCGAAAACTTTTTCAGCTTTTCCCTTCAAAATCCCATAATTATAGGTATTTCCCGAGGAAGCTTCACGAAAACAAGCCTAAAAAAGGAAACTTTGAACCTATAATAACCTAGCTATTTTTGAGTTGGGACAAGGATGATAGGGTGAATTATGTGTTTTGTCGGGAAATCGAAGCAGCTGCTTTTTTGCCCTAATCTCTGTTGACTTGCTGCAGCACCTGACTAATGGGCTTCTCGTTGGTTTCGCTATCATTCCTTCCCTCAGATTGCTGTTTCGAAAAGAGTCCACGTCGTCTTTTTATCAGTTTTAAGCATAGGCAAAGTCGGAAGGACCCTCCGAGGGTCCATAGAGACTCCATAGAAATTTTCCTTTTTAGGGTGACGAAGGCTACCTTTTCGCTGCCTTTTTGCTCCATTTTCCCGGCCCTTATGCATTATTTTTGCTGCCTCTCCCTTTCTCCACCATTTCTCGAGTCTTTAAAATCAATCCCAGAAAAACGGAAGGCTCAATAAAGGTCTCTTTTTTCTGCCTTTTTGCGGCCTTTTTTGAGCCTCTCTCTTTCAGCGGCCATTATCCACCATTCCGACTTTGCCTGAGAAAAAATTTTGTCAGCAATTTTTGGGACAGATTTTTGGAAATGGATCGAATAAGTTTTTTTTCCGTTTCAATGACCCTACTTTTTTGTAGTCTGCCCTCACAATATTGGTAGCGGTTGGAGACGCAAGAAAAATTAATCAGTTCTTTCGTTTTTTAACAGGGCCATTTTTTGAAAATTTTGAAGTTTCATTTTAACTAAAAATTGCTTGATTTCTCAAAATGCGTAGAATTTTCGATTTTGGTAAAGTTTCGAAAAACCAAATATTGGCAGCCCAAAATAGGAGATTTTTTTCGTTTTCTATTAATAAACATTTCGACATAATTTCTTTAATTGACTTTGAAACCAAATATACTATGTGCTAAACAGTAATCATTGAGATTCACTTTTAGACGAAAAAAGAAAAGTCCAGAAAAAATTAAATTTTTGAGAATCTTTTGACCAGAATTTTTCGAAAAAAATTAGTTTTTGAAAGTGGCCATATTATGAAAAATACGTACTTTAAAAACCGTGAAAAACCTCAATAATGCCAAAAAAATTGTTCAAAAATCAGAAAAACTCGAAAAAAATGATCAAAAAAATCCACAGAACCGACAGGATTTTTTTCCAGCTGCTTTTTTTGACAGCTTTAAATAAAAATTTGATTTTTTTCGAATTAAAAATTTGGGCTGAAGTTATTTTTTTGGCTTCCGAGGTCTGAAATTCGGGTTTTTCTGATAATTTTTTTGGTTGGAAAAAGGAAGAAAGTTCGTTTGAAGCTTAAAAAAATCGGAGCAACGGAACTTTTTTTTCCTAGGAAACTCTTTTCAGTGAATTTTTTTGAAAGAAAGTTGATAATTTGGTGAAAAAAATTACAAGGTGTTTGACGTTTTTCATTGAAAATTTTGCTGAAATTTAGCACTTCTAGTTTTTTTCCTTTTCTGAAAAACTGAAGTTGGATTTTTTTCAAGATCCACATTGAAATAAATTTCAAATATTTTTTTCAAAGTGATCTTGGTTTTTCGAGCTTCTACTGGACTTTTTGGGAACATCAAAACTCTATAAAAAAATCAACTTTTATGAAAAACATTGTTAGAATTTATTTTTTTTAAAGGTCATTCCTTCAATTTTTTTCCAGCTTTACATGCATTTCGGAATTTTTTTCAAAAAAATTATCAGCACTTGAAAAAGAGATTTGTGAAGGTTTCAAGAGATTTTTTTACAAAGTCCCAATTTCAAAAAAAGGTAAAAAGATTTTTTTGAAGGAAGTTCCGAAGTTTCAACAGTCCCTTTCCAACTTGAAGAAAGTCTAAACAAGTCTCTTTCTTCAGATCTTTTGAGAAAAGAAGAAAAGAATGGACTGGAACTTTCCTTTCTCTTCCCTTTGAGAAGAGTCTCGGAGCCGCTGCCGACGTTCGCTTTTCGTGTTTGTTGCGCTTTTTGACATCGGGCCAAGTTTTGGGCCCCGCGAAATTTTGCGATTCGACTCGCGAAACAGCTGGCCGTTCTTTGCGTGTTTCTGTCCCCCCGTTGTAATCATTCTCTTCTCCGCCTTTTCTTTCCCCTCCCGTCTTATTCTCTCTACTTCTTTCTGTACCTTTCTTTTAATTAAATTTCGAAAAAATTGGTTTTTAAAGCAGGATTCTACGAGATTTTACTGGAACTTTGTCTGTGACACGAAGTTTTGAGCTTGATTTTTTTTTTCAAATGCATTTTTTCGAGCTTAAAAGGGGATGCTGAGCTTTGAAAAGGAAATTTTAGGATGATTTTTATCGATTTTCAGAAATTTTCGAGGTTTGAAGCTTGAAATATACAGCGAAAAGTCAGTAAAAGTTCTTCATAAAAAAATGTCAAATCGTCCCAATTTTTTTCTCCATGATTTTTAAACTACACAATAAATTAGAAGTTTCACTTTGATATTTTCAAAAAAATTAATTTTTAAGGACACAATTTTGAGCTTCGAATTTTTTTCGATTAATGGTCTTGAGAATGGCTTGAAATTTCTCATCAAAAAAATATTTTTTTCGGACTCGAATTTTGAAAAAAATTTTAAAATGATTTTTTTCTTGAATTTCAAGAGTTTTCTAATTATAAAACTTGAAACATCAAGCGAAAAATTAAAAAAACTTTTTTTAAGCTAAAATTTTTGAATTTTTTTGAACTTGGGTGATTTTTTTCGCATTTTTTTCTTTATCAAATAATGTTTCAAATTCAAATTTTTTTAATAATTTTTTTCCTCAATATTTTTGTTTTTAATGGTCTTTTGATCTTTTTTTTCCTTTTTATAAACTCGAACGAGCCGTCAAAAAAACCCCCCAAAAAAATCATGCGTTTTCATAAAGAAAAAGAAGTTCCTGGACGTTTGATGAATGGCGATGTTTCCAACTGTGAAGGAAGAAAACTGGTTATTGGTCATTTTTTTGATGAATCGAATTTCCAGGTTCATCCATTAAACCTCTTTCTAGAAGAGACTGTCTGGAAGAAAGTTTTTCGAAAAAAGGAACATTTTTATCATTTTTTTTTTGGGATTATTTCCCATTTTTCTTATCAGAAGTGTCAGCCAAGTTCTCTCTTGAAGGTCTTATCTCAATTTTTCTTCTGTTGATTTTATTTGAAGCATCTTTTATTCGGTAATTTTCAAGTTTTCTCGCTCCATATTTCATTTTTATTTTTCGCACTTTTTCTGTTTCAATAGATTTATTTATATAGGAAAAAAAGTTTTTGAATTACATTAGAGGCTGCCTTTGATATCGTTCCGTTCAAGAAAAAAAGTTGAAATTTTTAAGATTTTCTTTATTTTTTTCAAGTTTATTGATTTTTTTCAGTATTAGAAAGTTTAGTTCAGAAGCTTTTTTTCTAATAATTTCCGCCTAAAAACTTTTTTTCTATCTATTTTATCGATTCGAATCGAATCAAATTGAAATGTTTCATTTTTTTCTCGATAGGATTTTGTCTTTGAACAGAATATAAACAAGTAAGAGTTGGAAAAAAGACTCCCGGTCTTTTTTTAAAAAAAGGAATGCTTGAAAAAAATTCTTTCCCGGCAAACCTGTTTCAAATTAAGATTTTAGTGAAGCGGCTCTTTTTTTGCAGCTTGTTCGTCATATGCGGAAAAATCGGTCCCTTCACGTTCTCTCGTTTTTGAATTTTATCATGAGTTCGAAATTGTTTACGTCTCCAAGGATTTTCTATTCTGGTTATTTTGAAATTTAAAATAGTGTAGAGGAGGTTTTTTAGTTTTTTGAGTATAGTACAGTTCAAGCTTTTTTAAATTTTACCAGGACTCAAAAAAAAAAAAATTAAATGACAAATAGTGTTCAACAAGATCTATGTGCACTTTTTTTCAAGGAAAAAAATGGTTTTTCAAAATTCAATGATTAAATTTTCGAAAGTCAGGCTTCAAAAGTGATCATCTCGTGAAGAAACTTGTCTTCTGATTTTTCACAGATGATTTTTTTTGTGAATGAAATAAATCATTATTAATTGCATAATTTAAGACCCTAAGAGCCTTGATAATATCCGAAAATCTTTTTAAAACTTCAAAAATTCAAAAAAACCGACCGACGTTTGCTGTTTTAGGCCTGTTTACCGATCAAAACTTCTGAAGAAACGAAAGAATTTGCAGCGGAACTGCGGGGATGCGCGAGGAGACGTGCCTGCCGCTGTCGCTGGACGTCGACGAGCCCCGGACGGCCTCCAGCTCCGCCTCGCTCAGCTCCAACTCCACCGGCACACCTCAGTCTCTTTTCACGTTCGTCCGCCTTTCTCCGCTGAGATCTAGTCGCCTTCTAGAGGGTTCCGCGCAACGATTCTTTCTGGAAATTGGAAAAATCTTCATCTTTTTTTTTGAAGTAGAGTAGCTTCTGTACGAAAGCAATTCTGAATTTTTTGAACCAAAAATCGTCCATTTTTCTATAAAATTATTAGGAAAGCTTGCAATCCTTTCGTCGTGTTTTTAAAGGCGCATAGGCGGTTTTTATAAAGGTCTCAAAGCGAAGACGATTTCTGAGCTTTTTAAAGTCTTACAAGACCTAAAAAGGCCCCAAAATTTTTTTATACGACTACAGGGCAATTTAAAATCTTTTTTTAAAGACGCACTGGCGGTTTTCATAAAGGTCTCAAAGCGAAGACGATTTTTGAAAATCTTACAGGGCCTAAAAATGATTCCAAATTTTTTTATACGACTGCAGGGCTCTTTAAAATCGAAAAAGCTTCAAAAATGTTCTCAATTTCGAACTGACCCGAAAAAAATGATGAGATTATAGTCTGTTCAGATTTTGAATGTCAAGTAGAATGACGTCATTCGAAAACGCTCTGTGGATGTTTCGCTCTCTGATTGGTTTATTGCGTGATTAGGGGCGGAGCTTCAGAGAGGACTTTACACTTGGAAACTGAACAGACTATATCATGATTCCTTGATCCTGGAAAGAGTCGTTGAGCGGAACTCTAAATTTATCGTTCCTAAGGCATCCCCGCTTGCTGAACCGTAGTTCCCCTCCCTAGAAATCCTAGAAACCCCGACCATTTTCCAGTTGCGAATCGTGCAAAAGGTCGGTTTCTTCACTGAGAAGCCTGAAACGACATCACACGACTTGCAAACAGTTCATCGCCGAGTTCGGACCACCCCCCGAGAGCGAGTCAGTCTTTCTTTGGACTTTTTCTGATGGAAAATTTTCATCTGAGTCGGTTAATCATTATTAGAATGATCCAGATACGCTCTTAAATTTTAGGTTTTCTAATCATTTCAATTCCTTTTTTTCCACGTCATACGATTCTGAATCCGAAACTTTTGGCAAAACTTTGTTTAAAAGAAATTTGAAACAGAGAGCTTGGATACTGCTGCATTTTTGGCGAGTTTCCAAGTTGATAAACGAATTTTGACCTGGCTAGGTTTCGTCTTCCGATCGATGTTTGTCCTGGATAAAATTTTATTTTCATAAGTTCAAAAAATTCACTTTTTATATAGCCTCAAATCAATAGTATCTATATAAAAAATCTCAATTTTGAATTTTTGAAAAATTCACTGTGTGTTCTGTCTATTTTAGTACCAAAAAGAGGAAAAGTATTAAGTTTTTTTATTTCAAAGACATAATTATTATTAGCTTTTTCAACTTTTCTGTTACTCGTCCGAGTTAAAAACAGTTTGACTTTAAATCCGGTAATAATTAGGAAAAGGAAGACCTCTACAACTTCTAATTGATGATTGACCGATTGGGATGAAAATGATACCCGAAAAAGAATTGTTTCTTCTTTTTTGCTTGCACGAACCTTGTGACTCTGTCGTGATAGTGTTTGGTGGTATTTGTAGATGGAAACGGTATCATCGGTCCAAGTGGCGACGGCAGCGACGGCCGGCCGCCCCGCGCAAGCCCCGCGCGCCTCGACCCTACGTCGTCGAGCCTTCAGAACCTCCGGAAGTCACCTCGACGACGACCGCCGCCGTCCCCTCGACGAGGAAGGAACGGGAATCGGCCAGGAAGGCCAAGTTGCTCACCGAGACGTTGAACATGATGCGAGGCTCGTCGGATGAGGAAGAGACGCCGCCGGCTTCGAAAACAAGGAGGTCGAAGCGGAAGATGGAGGCGTCGCCTTCCGAAGTCTCATCCTCGACGTCGGCTCCTCCGGAGACCAAAGTCGAGGTCCAGAAGCCTCCAGAAGTGCTCCCTCCGCCACGAGTCCCGCCGTTGCCCGTGCAGAATCCCATTCCGCCGCCTCAAATCCCTGCGCCTCCACCGCAAGTCTACCAGTACCCGCCATATCCCTACTACCGTCCCGTGGAGTTCAACAACAACGGTCCCTTCAAGAACGTCTACCAGCCGCCTTACTTCGAGCCGCAGCAAGGCTTCTATCACTATCCGACCTATCCACTCCCACCACCGCCTCCGCCGCAATACCTGACCCCGGCCTCGTCGGTATCGCCGTCCGGAGGTCTTCCTTCCATAACTTCTTCGCCTTGGTTCTCCGCCATCCCCACCGTTTCGCCTCCAAAAACCGAACTTCTGACTTTACAAACGCCGTTTCTCACTCCGGCGTCGACTTTGTTGACTCCAAAGGTGGAACCTCCGGCTGAGAAGGAAAAGGAAAAGGAAAAGGAAAAGGAGAAGGAGAAGGTAGAGGAAAAAGTGGTCGAAGAGAAGAAGGAAGAGACCAAGGAAGATTCTGAAGAAGAAGAGGTTGATGATGAAGAAGACGACGAGGACATCTCTCTGGATGAAATCACTGGGTTTGAATTTTTATATTTAATTGGGAAAAGTGAGGATTTATTTGGCAAAAAAACGTGAAATTTTTGAAAGGGTTTGGGTCATTTTTTTAAAGAACTGAAATTATTTTTTCAACTTGATTTGAAATTTTCTAATTTTCATTTGACTGATATGATAAGGCTTGTAGTATGGAATAGAATTAAAAAAAAATTTTTTTTTTCAAAATTTCAAAATCTTGATTCAAATTACTGTCAAAAATTATTAGGACCAGAATTTTTGAAAGTTTGCTTTTTTGGACGCATGTAGAATGGCTCAATGCTCTGCGGATCGAGTTGAAATTTCGAAATGAACTTGTTTCCGACGCGCAAGTCGTTTCTGGTCGGGTGCATCTTCAAAGCCATTCCTCATGCGACCAGATCAACAGTGAATTCGAAAAATTCCGATTTTCACACCCGAAAAACTGAAAAATATCGATTTCGCGTCTTTGCCGAATAAAAATATCCGTGCGATAGTTATGTTCCACTTTTTTTTTGTTTCCCTCGAACACGCTATCAATCATTCTCGATCTCGTGTTGGAAAAGTGTTGTGGTGCCGTTGTAATGTTCTTTTTTCTTCTTCAGCACGCGACATTTTGTTAGTTTTTTCGGACCTTTCCGATAGGTGGAACCAATGATTTTGATCGGGGAACCTCTGGGATGAGAATAAGTGAGGGAACTTGACAGACTGCCGAAGCAGGCGGTCGGCAACAACACATGCGAGGACTGCTCCCGACAATTGTGCTCCGCGAGCAACTTGAAACGCCACCGCAACACCTGCAAACTCGCCATTCAGAGGTTCCCTTTTTGTTTTCCTCCGACTTGTTGACTGCAGAAAGTTTGAGATTAGCATTACTTCTTTGAAAGATCCACCTAAATGAGTTATCGAAAAGAATCAGACTTTTTGAAAAAGCTATAATACCTATGCATATTTTGACTCGCAAGGAAGTTATTTCGAGGCTGGGAATTTCCTGAAAATTTACCTTACCACTCTTTGATGTACCAGAAAAAGATTCAGCGAGTCAACCTGCACAACTTTCTAGTTTTTAAGAAAGGACACCTCAAAGTCATAGAAAACCCTCAAAATCCGTCGAAGTAGGCCATTTTTGGTCTTTGAGCTCTCAAAAACTAGGAAGTTGTGCAGGCTGAGACATTTAAACTTTTCTTTGGCTATATCAAGAAGTGTTCTGGTAGGTTTTGCATTTTCCAAAAGAAAAAAGTTTTTTTTGATATTAAATGAAGGAATCCCATTTAATTTAGCTAATTTTGATTTCATAAAAACTCTTTTTTCATCACTGGTTCGTTATATTCATACCTTTCATGATTTTTTGAACAAAAGTTGTAGCGAGTTTGTGAATTTCAAAGCGGATTCAAGCTAAGGAATGCAAAGCTCCGCCCACTGTCCTCTCAAAGAGTTATTTTTAAATTTCTGTTGGGACTTTCTTGAAAATTGGTCAGCACACTCATTGATGCACCAGAAAAAAAATCCTGAAAATCTCAGCTTGTAAACTTTTCTAGTTTTTCAAGAAAGAAGGGCTTGTAGCCCCGAAATGACCTATTCTAACGGTACTTGAAGAAAATCTTTGTCTTTGTGGTGTCCTATCCCAGAAATTGGAAAAAAAGACTTGCAGGAAAACTTGAGAATCTTTATCTGGCACATCTGGAAGGATTCTGTTCAACTTTTCGGATTATCCTAACCGTAAACATTCCAAATTTAAATCTTTTTATTCGGTTGCTCGTCTATGAGATACTTATTTGGGCATAACTTCTAGTTCTTTCACATAAAATTGACTAAGATTCCAAATTTATTATTGAAAATGCGAAAAATGGCTGAGAAAGTGAATATGATTCAAAGGAGCTTAACTTTTTCAAAAATGATCTCAAGTTGCTGTTTCTTGAGAGCGAGCAGCGCCTCGGCGCCACAGACGCCGATGTCGGGCCTGCGGTCGTCGGCGGCGGCGACTCCGCAGCCGATGATGTCCTCCCTCTCCGGCACCAACACGCCGGCCATCCAACTGCCGATTCTGAAGCAGACGACGTCGGCCCCCGCCGCCGGGTCCTCCATCATCCTGACGAAGCCGGCTGGCTGGCAGCCGCAGACTGTAGAGATCGGCAGCAAGGAACGGTCAGTGGAAATCAATCATTCTCAGGTAGAATGAGGCATTTTCCAGGTACGGTACTTCTCAAGACGGCGCCAGGTCACGGACGACAGTCAGCTACGTCATCACCACGGAGCCCTATGTTCGTCTTCAGAAGTGTTTTTTATTGATCAAAAAGGGATTTTTCCAGAGCTCTGTGAAGTACTGGGAAAATTTTTAGTTGACTCTATAGGGTTTTGACGTTTTAAGGGCCACTTTAGTAGTCAAATTAGTGGCCACTTAAGGGGTTAAAAATTAGTGGCCACTTTAGGGGTTCAAGTGCTACTACCAGATCACTAAAAACTTTAGGGGCCACTTTGGGAGTCAATGGATCAATATAACTGGTCCAACCTGTTTGTATTAGTTCCTGGAAGTAATACTGGATAAAAAATTACTGAAGTGGCCACTTAAATGGAAAATAGTGGCCACTCTAGTGTCCTCTCCAAGTAGTCCTTGGCCTCTATAGTGGCCATTAAACATTTTCCCAGTAGTTCACTAAAAAGTTCATTACGGTGGGAATTTTAGAATGTTTCATGTTTTTTGATCCAGATCTCTGATAAACGCTATTTTCATGAATTCTCCATCGGAAAATTCACAGAAAAAGTTAATATTCTCCTTATTTGGTGAATGTTTGGAAAAACCTGCTTCTAGGCCTCCAAAAAAAGTATAGAAATTTTTTTAAATTTTTCACAAAAAAATCACCAACTTTCTAAGTAGTATCCTGACATGATTCTGAAAATTTTCAGTCATTTTCCGATTTTTTTTAAATCGCCGATTTTTCCAGATTTCCGTCGGTGAGCACCTTCGAGCTCAGCATGTTCAGCAGCAGAAACTTCTGGAGCAGCAAAAAGAGCAGCAAGTCACTCCGAAACCGATTCCACAGCCACCTCCGCCACCACCGCCGCCTACCTTTAATAATAATTCGCCGTCGAAACAGCCAGGTAAATTTTCCTGATTTTTTTTTGATAATTTTTAGGATTTTTCATTTTTTTTTTTAAATTTCATATGATGACTTTGAAGTGTTATAGAAGCTTGTTCTAGACATTTTGAAAGGAATTTTTAAAAAAGTAAGGAAAATGATCAGTTTTTTTGGAAAAATCTTTTTCGAATTTTTTTGTCTTTCAAACCGATTCGGACTTGAGTTTTCCGTTACAGACTGAAATTATATGTATTCATCCCATTCAGTTTTAGTTAAAATGCACCTTTTCCACTAGAATCGTCATTTTTCAGCCCTTCAAAGGGGTCGTCGAGAAGAAATCGACGGATTACGTCCAAATAACGACGCAGCCTTTGCCGCCGATCCGTGCTTCCACACAGGTTTTCACTTTTTTTTCAGTAAAATTATTTTTTTCAGAAAGGATTTTTTTCAATTTTGAGAGTTTCTGAGTTATTTCTAAGGTTAGAAATGAGTTTTTTTAAGGATTTCTAAGAGCAACCCGCAATTTTAAAAAAAAAACGACTGATTATGTGTCGGATTTTTTTCCTTTTTTTCATAAGAAATATACGAATTTTCGAATTTTTTTCCGAGAGGTTTCATTTCTTCATGTTTTTATTAAGAAAAACAGCATATCGATATTTTTTTCTACTGATTTTTTTCATATTTGGGGCCGATTTCCCTTTCCAGGATCAGAATTAAAGTTTTTTTAGCTCCAGGAAAAAAATTTCGAACGAATAACATCTTGTTACGGCTTTTTTTAAAGGATATCTCATTTTTTTAGAGGACTTTTTAGTCATTTATTACGACAAAAAAATAAGAGTTTTTTTGTCACAAAATGGTAAAAAAATTGAGAAGATTTTTCTTCTTTTTTTCAGGACAAATTGTCTCTATTTTTTTGAGGAAATTCTCATTTTCGAGAAACTTTGATTTATTTATAAGGACAAAAATTTCCTTTAAAAAGTTGGAAATTAAAAAAATTTCGGAGAACCATTCTTTTTGAATGATTTCTAAATTTTTTTAAATTATGAAAAATAAAGGTCCTATTTCAACCTCCTTATAAAAATGAAAATCCAAAAGTTCCAGCATCCATTCCAAATGATGCCGGAGGATGAGGATGACTATGACGACGACGATTTCGATGATGATGACTTCGATGACGATGATCTAGATGTAAATTTTGATTTTCTTTTGTATTATTCCAAAAAAGTCCCAAAAAAAAAGTGCTAAAACTTTGGAGGCTCAATTTTTGCCGCATGTGCGCTTCACTGATAAATTTGGTTTTTGGATCCATTTTCATTTTTTTTTGTATACTTTCTTTCAATTTTTGTTGAGCTCAAATTTCGGATTTTTTTTTTCGACAATTTACCGATTCTCTCTCGCTTTATAATAAAATTCTTGGGTTTTGGGATAATTATACTTTGGGATAAAAAGCTTGACGGAGTAGAAGTTTTTAGAATGACCTTTGAGGGAAAAGGTGTTTTCACACGCATATGATCTCGAAAATCGCTTCTGAAAAAGAAAAATTGCTTGGAAAAATGCTTTTTTTTTGGAGGAAATGAGCTCTAAAAATCTCGGTTGAGTGTTATAAAAACGATAAATTTGGACTTGATTCATTAAAAAAAAAATTTTGCTCTACTTTTGACCTGGGATCAACGTTGACCTTTTACTCCTCACCAAAAAAAAAGTTAATCAACTTTGTGTTCCCTTTTTGGTTTTCATAGTTTTTTTTAAATTTTACTCTTTTTTTCCAGTAGATTTTTTGCCCTAGATGTAGTTGCTGAAAAAATTTCCATGATTTTTCGGATTTCTGAGCTTTTGAAGATCCAAAACTTAAAAAAAATAAACCCAAAATTTAGTTTTGAAGACTCTTGAAGACGGCTATGGGCTCTAATAAAACGTTGTGCCACCTATTTCATTCCACGGCTTGATAACTTTTTCCACAGAGCTCTGGAGTATTTTTTGAGCCGAATTTCGAAATCAGCGTGAGAAACTGCACCTAGTTAACCTTACCTTATTTGAAAGCAGAAAAAAAGCTTCTTCGAAAACCTTTGACAAGAAAAAAAAATATCAGAAAATGTTATAATCCGAAATTTCAGTTCCAGATGTTCGACGAAGATTTCCGAATAGAACAGCAGCCGTTGATGAACAACGTCGTCATTTCGCAGCCGATCCGGAATCCTTTCCAAGAGCCGCCGATGCCGCAGAATCACCAGATGAACCATCAACAACAGTTCAAGCCGACGCAGATGAACCATCAACTCCAACAAGTTCAACACGTTCAACAAGTTCAACACGTTCAAGTTCAACAACAGCCTCCGCCTTCGATGCCTCCAGTACAGCAGGCCCAACAGCAGCCTCCAGTTCAACTACAGCATCAACCTCAAGTTGTTCAACAGCAGCATCAACCCCAAGTTGTTCAACAGCTGCAGCCAGCTCAAGTTGTTCAACAGCAGCCAGCTCAAGTTGTTCAACAGCAGCCCCAACCTCAAATCGTTCAACCACCGCCGCCACAGAACTTGCAAGCGACACCGCCGAAACCTGTCGAAACTCCTTCCAATGCCAAGATTGAGTTCGTCGACTTGGAATACCTCAAAGAAATCATTCATGATTTTCCAGGTATCCGATGGACGAGACCGACGTTGCTCCAATGGACAGTATCATCACGACTCAGCCTCTGCCTGGGTAATTTTTTTTGTAATGTTAAGAAAGTTCTCTTGAATAATCACGTCCTTCTTTTTTTTTTCTCATTCCAAAACTTTCCTTTTTTTAACCAGCTTAGAAATGATTCCAATTTCCAGTGACCGGATAGCGTCGTCGACGAACTTCGGCGGCGCTCCAGTGACCCGTTCAGAGACGTCGATCCGCAACAACTCCGCGGTCGACGCCATCACGACGACGCATCCCGCCGGGATGGGCGTGGCCGGCGCGGCGTTCGTCGTTGCCCCGACGCCCGCCCCGACGTCTTCCGCCCAGTCTTCTGCCAAGAAAGAGACCACCATGGAGTTCCAATGTCCCGAATGCCTGAAAACGTAGCTTGTTCCTAAATTTCACCTTGAAACTGGATTTTTTCTAGGTACTCTTGCCGGAAGAACGTGAAGCGTCACCGGATGGCCGTCCACAAGCTGACTTCTCAGGAAATCGCCAGAAATCCGGCTCCCGGAGCCACAGTCACCGCCACGGCGGTACCTCCGCTCTTCAGCCGGCGGCATAACCAGAGTGGGAAACGGGAGAAGTCGCCCGGAAATCACCCGGTGGTCTTTGCCTACGAGAAGGTTTCGTCGTTCTTCGTCATCTCAGAAGAGATCAAATTTTTCAGCTCCCAACTCAGCCTCAACAGTCGCCAGCCACACCTCAACCTCCGATTGAAGTCCAGAAACCTGTTCTCAAGCCTGATCCGCCTCCCAAGCAACCATTGGCGCAGAATCCGCCGGCTACGCCGCAGATGCACCTTCCTGCAGAAGTGACGTCACCTTGGGAGCAGCCGACTCCTTCGCCTTGGCGTCGGTCCAGGGAATACGTCGACGAGGAGGAGTCCATCGAGACGGCCAGAATTGCTGCAGAACTCAAGCGGAGTGCCGAGGAAGAGGTACTGGGAAATGCTGACCTTGAAGTGGCCCCTAGAGGGAGTGTGATAAGGACCCTCTAAGGAACCTAAATGATACCTCTACGTCCTGAAGCTCTAGGGATCGCTCAGAAATCGCTATAGGGACCATTAAATTTTACCCCCGTAGGTACCCTTAAACCATTAGGGTTTATTTAAACCGCTCAGAAAGCCCTATAGAGGCCACTGTATTTCTGAACCCTATGGGGACCGTAAAATTGCCCTCTCTAGTCGTCCCTGAAACACCAAACCCACACAGGGTATACTGTCGTATTAAACACCCTGATTTGATCTAAAGATTCTTTCCTTCAGATGGACGGATTCATGGCGAAAATCCCGAGGACAGAACTCGCCGAAGCGGATTCGACGTTCTCTGAGGACAACGAGAAGAAGTTCGAATCCTCCATGGGAACCCGTGATCAACTCCAACTTTCAGCGGAAACCATTTCACGCCACCGACGCCGATCCACGTCCAGCCGTTGTCGGTGCGATCCTTGACGAACAGCGCCTCGTCGACGCCTTCCTACCGTACCTCGTCGACCTCCATGGCCGCGTCCCTTCCAAGCATAGCCAATTGGGGCGATTATGGTACGTTTCAATCCATTGATCTCAAAACGTTCATTATTTCAGAAACGATCGGTCAAGGACACGTCCCCTTCGCCCAGCCGATCTCTTACAGCAGCATGCCGCCGCCTTCGGTTCAGAACCAGCCGTACTCCCAGCCGATCCCTCAACCAATACAGCGTGCCCCGCCCGCCTACGAACAGCCCAGCCGACCTATCATTAATCAATCTCCAGTGCAAGCCCCTCCTCAGACTCCTCCACAGCCGCAAACTCCCCAACAAGTCATGGACCGAAGACCGTCCCTTCCCATCAACCAGCCACCGACTCCCCAGTCCGTTCCGCCTCCGAAGAACGAAGAAAGCTCTCCTCCAACCCCAGCTCCTTCGCAAATGGTCACCAGAAGAGGGGAAAGAAAGGCGGAACCACCGCAGAAGAAGGTCCACGCTTGCGAGGGATGCAACCGAGTCCTCTCCTCGGACTATTCCCTCCGACGACATCGCTCGACTTGTCTCGAACTGAAAAGCCTCAACTCCAAAGGAAGTTCTGCACAGGAAGGCTCCGCCCAACCGACTGAACCGACGTTGAACGCGTCTTCTGAAACGCCGTCCGCCAGTGCTCGCAACGATAAAACGGCCGTGGTCAGCAATTTTTCTTGTTTCTGTTAAATCAGACTTTTTCAGATCACGACCGGACCTCTACCGCCGCTCTCGAAGCAGAACCAGCCACAGCAGGAACAACTCCTGCAGCAACTTCAACAGAAGCAACCCCAGAATAGGCCTCCTCCTGAGCCGGTCCTCGAATTGGACTGCAAGTTGGATGGATGGGACCATGTCGAAGTCGCGCCGGACAGCACGACGAGTCAGAGGTTGGTCCGGGATTTCAGAGCTGAAATAAATAGGGCAACCGAAGGGCATCCCGGGGTGCTCCGAGCCCCGTAGGAGTCCAATTTTTCCAAAGCTTATTTTGAGCTACATTTCTGCTTATAATATTTCGTTTCAAGTCATTTTTCCAGGCTGGACCGCTCCACGTCTCCCGGCCTGGACATTGGCGACAGCTCGGACCAATTGATCGGAATGGCGTCCCCATCTTCGAGCAGCCGTCACCGATTCTCCTCGGGCAACTCGGGACAGTACACGGTGTCGATGACGTCATTGGAGTCACCGAAGTCGCTCGGCGGCATGTTGGGCATCTACAGCCCCTCGCCCACGGCCATCGATAATAAGGCGAGATCCCACCATTGTCAGGTGTGCTTTGCTTGGGCTTACGCTTCCTGGTGTGTCCCGACGGCCGCCGGTTTTCGCCTCGGGCCTTCCCTATTGTCTCAACCATCGTTAACCGCTCTAACCGCTTTTTTGTGTGCACGGGGGAAAAAAAGCTCTTAACAAAAACCCTTCTTAGTTTTCGAAAAATTTACTTGTTTTTAAAATTTAGCGTTTTTTGTTGTTGAAAAGCCTTGTCAAACTTGCAAAATTTTCCAGCTTCAGTATTTTTTGAGAAATTATCAATAGAGCGCACTTGTTTTTTAAATTTGATTCGTTCTTGTTTTTGAAAAGATACCTTGACAGACAACAAAATTTAAAATGTAACATTTATCAACAGAGCACAATTGCTATTTTCTTTTTACTTTAAACGATAGCTTTACCTTCATAAGAATTTTCGGTAGACTTCGAAAAATTATCATTGGAGCGCACTTGCTCCAAGAAATCCAAAACTCCACAGCTCCATTCCCAGGAACCCATGTTTTGTCCCGCCAAACAGCTTTGCAAAGGCGTTGTCCATGTGCTTGTCCTTTCTTTTTGTCAGCTCAAAACTGTCGTGTCTTTTTTGCAGAACTGTGGAAAATTCTACTCGTCGGAGTGGAACTTGGAGCGCCATCGAAGGGAGTCGTGTCCGCTCAAGGACAAGTCCGGGTGAGATTTTCTCGGGTTTCGAAGAAGCTTTTCAAGGAGCAAAATAGACGTCTTCTAGGAGATTTTTCTTAGTTTTGCAAGTTTATTATTGTTTCTTGGCCTTCCGTATTGGTTTAGAAGAGCTTAAAAAGTTGGAAGTTCTGTTTTGGCCAGTAAACTTTATCTAAAGCATCTTACTGGCGAAATCGGGTTTTAGCATCAAGTTTGAAAGGTTCTGTACTTTTTCAAGCAACCTTTAAAGGCCTTGATAGAATTTTTAAGTAGCTATGTGCAAACTTTTGCTTCGAAATTTTGAAATTTTCTATTTTTACGCTCATGGAACTTCAAAAAAATGAATTTTTAGTGGCCACTTTAGGGTTTCAACGTGTTAGTGACCACTCTAGAAGTCGATTCAGTGGCCACTTGAGGGACTATATTTAAGTGGGCTCTTTAGGAGTATTTGTGGTACTTCTAGACCACAAAAACCACTTTAGTGGCCACTTAGACGCAAGATAGTGGCTTCTACATGAGGCGGTTTGAGTGGCCACTTAAGAGTCCTTTCCAAGTAGTTAATGTGACCAAAAAACTTTGAGAATCACACTGCAAGCCCTCTGACTCTCACGAATTATTGTCTTTGCAGAGGAGACCAGCACAGCGACGACTTCGCCGTCTACGTCGGCAACCTGCGATTCATGCTGTCGCGGTCGCAGTTGTCGCGCGCCTCGCCGTACTTTGCGCAGCTGTTCGCGATGCACGACCCGCTCCGCGGCGATATTCGTCTCGAAGTCGACGCCGACCAGTTCCAGACCATCCTCGACGTCCACACCGGCCATCAGGCCATCGATGGTTCCATTTTTTCGATTACTTCTAGGAACGGAATGTTTTGTAGAGTCCAACATCGACACCATCATGGAGTTGGCCGTCAAGTTCAAGTTCAACTCCATTTTTGAGACCTGCGAAAGGTATCTCGCTGAGACGGTTAGTTTTTTATGAACTTGAGTTGATTCACGGTCCACTGATTTTTCGGGGTACTGTAGAAAGTTTCGAAATTACAATGGGCCTTCGAAAATTGATTTTATTACCGGTTTATCAACTATATCGAAGAAGGAAAATTAGAAATGATTTATGAATCAATAGAGTGGACATTTTAGTGAATTTTTAGCCCTCTCTCATTAAAAAAATCGTTTTTTTCTCGATTTTAAGATTGTCTATTTTTTTTAACATTTTCTATTATTTTGATCAAAAAAATAGACAAAAAAAGTATTACTCAACGATTTTTTTCAGCGAAACTAACACAGGACTTTGAGGAAATTAATTTTTTTTCTTTTGAGTTTGGTTTTTTTCTCTTGAAGAAAGCCTTATTTTTACGTTGAAAAACAGCTTTTTTTCTGTAGAATGGACACGAAAGCCTATAAAAAACATTATTATGAATGGAAAAATCACCGTAAATCTTTGAATCAAACTATTATGGTCCAAAATTGTCTGGGACAAGTGGATTTTGTTTGAAAATTTGAACTCAGAATTCTGTAACGAAAACGGGACGCGCTCCGAAAGTTTCTGAGCGATTCTAGGGGTCACTTAAGAGCCTTGACGCTACTAAAGTGGTCACTAGAAATGCCCCGACACGTCCGATTCGCGTTACCAAGGTCCGAGAACTTTGCATTTTGCTTGAAAAAAAAAAGCAAATCCCGGGATTTGCAGTTGCCGCAGTACTCGATAATGCACGCGATTCGGCTCGCCGAGAAATTCAAGCTGGGGCACATCAAGCAGCAGCTCTTCGACACGATCTCCCTCGACGTCTTCCGGTGAATATTCAATTCTGATTCTCATCTCCCTTCTCAGTCCGTAGTCAAAGAACTTTGGTTTTATCTTCTCGAATTTGGGCATCTTTCCAGGGCCCTCTCGGCCGACCAGCAGTACCGGATGATGGACGCCGAACTCAAGGCGGAACTCCTCGAGAAATGGGGCACTTTCCTCTAGAATTCTTCCTCTCCTTTCTTGTTGCCTTCTACGGTTCCTTTCGCTTTACTTCTCCTGTCGAGTAACCAGATTTTTCTCCCAGATTTCCGACGAGTTTCCCCTTCTCTGTTCTTCTAGTTTCTGTGATGTACCCGGATTACTTTTCTAGGATTTCCCTCCATTTTTCTGATACTCGAACTTCTCTGGGTCCTCTTCTATTTCTTTACTACCCTACCCATACTACAAACGTCTTGATTCATAGCTTGCCGGATGAAAATAAGATTTTATTTATAAGGTTTGTCCCGATCTCCTTTTTGTAACGTTTCCCCGTCCGTGTGGCTCAAAAAGTACCGTAATCCTCGTCTATCCGGTATTACTGTGGCTTTACTTCCTTTCATTATTTTTCTCCCCCACCATAATTCTTTCATTTTATCCTATCTGCCTCTGTATTTTCTCTTTATTGGCACTAGGCCGTCTCGCCTAGTTCATCTTTCGTGTTATCAAGTAGAAAATCGCTTGAGGGCCCACTTCGACACCGTCAAGTGATCATTTTAGAGCCGTCCGCCGCTTCTTTTCGGGAACTTTGTGTGTAGTTTGATCTCTGATCGTTTTCCTTTTCACTGGAATCTCATTTCTTCGATGGAATTTGCTCGCCCAGAATGTTTCCGACCAAAATCTTCTTGATTTTCATTAACTTTATGGTTTTTTCTTCTGGAATTTTACGCCTATCCATATCATATCATTTCGTAGATTCCCGTGTTTAGAACTATTTTCCTATTTTTTTCAAAGTTCGGTGACTTTTTCTTTTTTTTACTATCGTAGACTTTTATCAATTTAATAATCTTCATTATTTGTTGTTTTTTTCTTCTCTCAATAAAGAAAATTGTTTCAAGATGTGTTTTGGAATGACATAATGACACGATGCTTGAAAGCGAAGAAATTTTTATCAGATTTATTCGTGAGAACCTTTTAAATAATGCTTATAGGGGCGATGATCAGTTACGAAAAATGGTAAGAGTTATCATTTTTTTTTTCTATTCTTCAAAAAATGATCATTAATTTTTTTGATCGCATCGTTTTGAAACCTTGAAGAAAGCATATATCTTCGATTTGAAAGTCGTTAATTGAAATCGTTCACCTTTTTTTAAGAAGTGAGAATAATTCGAACCTACTACAGTTATTTGATGTCCTTTCAAAAAAACTTTGGAAATTTTCAAAGCAGCATCTGAAGAAGGAGAAAAACTGACTGAAAAACCGAAGCAAAAGGGGAAAAAAAGCACATAAAACGAGATAGATTTCAAAAAAAGAAAAATTACAACTTTGCGCGTCGATTAAATTAAATTTTGTGCGTCACGGCCTAAACAACCAACTTCACGACGGAATGTCCGAGTTAAAATTTAAAATCATGAAATCAGATTTAAACAAAAATCTTTCACATATAAAATGTCTCAATCATTTCAAGTACTACTTATGACCCAAAAAAAAATAATTTGCGTTATTATCAAAAAAAAAACTTTAAGATGGTCAGCTCTGCATCATTTTGGTCTCACTAACCGTCTTTTTCATACTTTTGGCGTATTTTGGGACGGCTTTCCTCATTAAACTCGCAAAGCAAAGGTTGGAAAACGTTTCGAATTTTCTAAAAGAAAAGTTCAGATATGCAAAGTACGTGGAGCAACGATTGAAAGCCAACGAAGGAGTTATCGTCGAGAAATATGATTGAATTTATTTTAATAACTTTCTTTTAAAATGATCTATACGGGCAATACATTGATTATGAAATAGATGTTCAAAAAATTTTGAAAATGCTGAAGATTTTTTTGTAATATAAAGAATTCGTCAATTAACTTGTATGAAATCGGAAAAAAATAAATTTTGAATGAAAAGAAAAAATTTAAATTTCGGTGAGTAGCTTTCAAAAATATTCAAGCTTTTTGAAATTATACAAATGTCAGAAAACAAGAATTTGCCCGCTTTATGCCGTGTTCAATTTGATTCCGCGAAATGCAAAATGATCTCTGACTCTCCAAAATTTAGTGATCTTTACCTTTCTCTTACGAGTATTTTGCATTTCGCGGAATCAAATTGAACACGGCATTAAAAAAACATCATTCAAAGCTATTTTCACACCCAGTAAATCTACAAGAATCGGCTCTCATTACCGTGCCCATATTGCAATAAGCCGCGCCATCATTGCATGTAGCCACGCCCACTGACCATTTCCGCCTTCGAAACACTGTGGAATTGATTTATGCTATTGTATTTCATGAGTATTCGAATTTTTTCGGAATATGAAGAAACTATTTAAAATAATTGTATAACAACGAATAAGGAGTGAAATTCTAAACAAAAAAAGAAAAATTGAAATTCTGGTGAGTTTCTTCAAAATCGCGGTAATTTAGTGAACTTTTAATAATTAGTTTGTTTCAAAATATATTTTAAAAGAACATTTTTTAATTCTATGATAAATCAGTCTTTTTCGGTGTTGTTTTCGCTTTCTCGACTTTTCTTTTATTTTTCTCTTTCAGAATAAAAATGACGCAGTGGACAACCAGAACAAGATTTCTGTTATGAACTTGGTATTGCGACGCAGTTGGCCACGGCAATCCAATTTTACAATAAAAGGACGTTCCCTTTAAAGTATAAATTTGCCGTTTTTTTGACGATTTAGGACAATTATCGAAAGGTTAAAATGAAAAACAGCGTTTTTCGTTCACGTGAACTGCTGGTCAAGATGAGAAAACAGGACGGAGGGAAATCTTCAATCACACTTCACTGACCACCTTTGAACTGTATAAAAGGCCAATCGAGGCTTAATTTCCACGTCTGTTTACCCATCTGTCTGTTGATAACTTATCATATCAATGTTTTAATTTAGTTCATTTCGTTAATTACTGGTTTTGGCATGCTGGAAAAGTTCCGTCGTTTTTTATTGAAGCTCTTTTTTGAGAAATTTGGTGTTTTCAAGCTCGAAATTGTTTAAGTCTCTGAAATGCGTAAAAATTCCGGATTTTGATTATTTTGAAAGTTTCAAAAAACCGAAAATGGCGGCACAAAATAGGAGATTTCGGGCTTTGTTCAGTAAATTTGGTGTCAACTTTTTTAACGTTTATCGGCAAAAAAATAGAAAAAAATACAGAAAAAAAGTGAATATTTGAAATTTTAGTGACCAGATTTTTTTCAAAAAAACTAACTTTTTAAACTGGTCATATTATGGGGAAATACGTATTTTAAATTCTGTTAACACCCTAAATAAGGCCCAAAAACATTTCAAAATTTGAGAAATTGACAAAAGGAAGGCGACCGAACCGACCGACTTTTTCCAGCATTTCTTGTTTTCTTTTTTTCATGATATTAATGAACTTTTGAAAAAAATTTTTTTATCATATTTATTATGCGGGCGAAACGGGAAAGCTCCTCAAACTGTTCTCAACGAACTTTTCCGTTTCAAAAAAAAACTTCCAAAGGTCTCTTTTTTCACTTAATTCAACGAAACGTTGCTGTAAAGCATTAAAAGATCCCAGGGAATTCAAAAAGGGTCCTCTGAGGTTATGAAAAAGAAGCTCAAAAGACGTTTTTCAATGAATTTAGGGGCTTTTAGCGGAAATTTGTCAGCGTCTTCTCAGGGCCTTCAAACGAACTTTTCCGTTTCCCCTATGTTATTTGAAGTTTTCGAGATTTTTCAAGTAGATCCAGACATAAATTCTTGTAAAGTCAGTTTTTATCTATATTTTCTGCAAGTTTGAGGAGTGAAGTCGATTTTCCAAAAAAATATACAGAAAAAAATCGAAAGAAGGTATTTTTTTACTGTAACTTTCAAATTAGGAAGGAAATTCTAATTAATTTCTTGTTTTTTTGTTATTCGGAGGCCTTGTTAATTCGAATTTGGAACGAAAAGGATTCAAATAATGAAATCATAAGAGTAAATCAGATTACTGTTTCAAAAACTGATACAAAAAGACAGTTTTCTGTTTTTTTCATTCGATGAGTAAAATTAATTTCAATATTAATTTAATTTTTAAAAGTCTTTTATTTTCACTGTTCCTATTTTGATATTATTAAAAAAGTCGTTTTTAATTTATCGAGTTAGTAAGGAATTTAAAAAAAAATGAAAAGAAATAAAAAATAGGAAAAAAAACTTTTTTTTTCGATACTTCTAATGAACTAGTAGTTCATTCACGGCTGACTTGAGCCAAATTTCGAAGGAAATTTCACAAAATTGGTCTTGAAACGATTGATTAGATAGTGTGCGAAAAGGAGAGAGTTTTACAGTAAGATCAAACTTTTCTTCAGAATCAAGACTAGAATATTTTCCAAAAGCCTTCACATGACCGCTGAAGATAAGATTATTATCAATTTTAAAAGTTCCTTGTTTTGTTTAATTTCGTATCATCAGACTTGTTTTCCTCTAAATGATTCCACAGTTTCAAGCCTCCTTTGTTTACAGGAGCTTTGGTGTCCCAACCAAAAAACAGCCGTCGAATATAAAACGATAACGATTTCAATATCAAACTCGAGTTTTTCCTATTAAAATGTCACTTTTGTGTAGTTTGTAGGGTTAATAACTTGTAGTTTGTAGTGAAGCTTCTGGGAATGATATTAAAAGACATTTTGGTACCATTTGGAGATGATAAAGTTCAGTAGTGATAAGATTTTTCGATTTGTCAGAAGGCGAAGTGTCTGGGAATACTGACTTCTATAGCCTGTAGACTATAGGTAGCTAGAAAATTCCTGAAAACATTTTTTTTTTTTGATATTTTTTCTCTTGTTCTTTTCATTGCCGGTTTCTGCTTTCATATAAAGAAGATTACTATGAAAAAGAATGAACTTTTTTGCCTTCTATTTTTTTTTTTTGAGTTTCCTGATTGATTAATCTCTCAGTAATCAGTTATCCTGCTCAGAAAAAAAAATTTTAACGTCCTGGTCGCATTTGGAATGGCTTTGTAGCAATTTTTCTTCATATTCTTTCTATACTCTCGCGCGAAAACAGTTAAAAGTCGGTGACGCCTCGAAGAAGTCGTAAGCGGCTTACAATTTCGACCAAACTGTCTTAACTTTCTTTAACCAACCCTGAAATTATCGTAAAATTAAGAAGATCAAAAAAAAATCATTCCTTTTTCGGCTCAACTCACATTGTTGGAAATCTTCGAATTTTCAACTTGTCATTTCAGGAAATGAAGAATTTTCTGTGGCTGACAGTTTTCCTCTCATTTCTACTGGGAATCGAGTCTCTCAAAGTCCTCATCGTGGTGAATATTGTCGGGAAAAGTCACTTGGACTTCTCTTCGAATCTCGTTGATGTTCTCGCTCAAAGAGGACACATTGTGGTGAGTTTGGAAGTTTTAAGGTTTGAAAAATATTTGCAAATCCTATATTTCTATCTAAAGCTTTATTTTCAAAAAGAAAAAAATTATTCTCTTGGGGATACTTTTTGACTATTTCGAATCTCGAAAAAGTCAATATTTTTTTCATATTTTGAGAATTTTTAAACAGGATTAATGTTACCATAAATTTTCATGTTCTTAAGCACATGAAAAATTTCTGAAAAATTTGGTTTTTGGTTATTTTTTTCGTTAATTATCTGAATTTAAGGACCGTCCAAGATCGCATAAATTGATATTTGGAATTTCTAAAATCTTTCGTTTCTTTTTTTAAAGTTAATTTAATTCGAAACTGGTTCCGAATTTAAAATAATGCCGACGAACGGAAACCATATTAAAAAGCGAATAAAAATAAGTCGTTATATTTTTTCGTACGACACTCCGCTGGAACGCATCCAAACTAAATAAAAAAAGCATAGGCTAAAGAGGAAGGTTTTCTGTACCTTTTCCTCAATTTTCCTCTTTTACGGTGTAATATTGCGCTTGTACGGATACTGAAAACAGAAATTCCTCAAGTTTTCTATCGCGGAAATGGGCGGGGCTTTGCGGTCTTAATAAAAAATATTCCAGGATTATGTCCTTCTCCGACTTAATGATGTTGTGGTCGGGAATGGCTCTTCCAATGCAAATCGAATATTCGAATTCAGATTTCCCGAAAAAGGCAAGTTTTGAGGAACTTCTTGTTCTGATTTTTGGAGTTTTGGGTTACTGGATGAGTAAAATGCCGCACCTCAAAGATTTCTTCGAAAAATCGCCGCGGACCTTATTCGACCTTCCTCATTACTACGACATGGCCTATCGGGCTTGCAAGTGTGAGTTTTTGTTGATGCAACGAAAAGAGCGAATTTTGCATTATCGAGGAGTACGGTATGTTAAAGTCCGCATTTGGCGTGTTTGCACATTCGGAGTGGTACCGTTTCCATGTATTACATTTCAATTTGAAATTTTAATTTTTTATTCGCAGTCAGAATGAATAGTTAATGTAATTCAACTGTTTTCTACAGTCGCAATCCATTCCAAAATAAATTTAAAACAAAACTGGATAAAACGCGGAGAAATGTCCACTTAAGGTGTGCAAACGCGCAAAGTGCACACGCCAAGTGCGGACTTTTCACATACCGTATTCTTCATAAATGCAAAAATCGCCTCTGTAGTATCTTATGATTTAAATCTTCAAAAGATCCCAACACCTGAATTGTTTTTAAGTGAGCATGGAAGACGGCAGGATGCTGAAGTACATAAAGGAGGGAAACTACGATATCGCAATAACAAGCGACTACGATTTTTATGCGACAACGCTCCTCAGGGCCGCCGGGATCCGATCTGTTGCTTGTAACTTTTTTTCAATGAACATAAGAAAAGCAAATTGAAAAAAAAAGGATTAACTTGGTTCTTATGATTAGTCTGTTACATAAAAGTGACATATAAGTTTTTAGAATAATGTAGTCTGTGTCACGACTTGGAATTTCACGAAACGACATTCCGCTGTGCCGCTGCACGCCTTTACGAACCTTGGTCGCACTTTCAATTTTTTTTTCTTTTATTAAGGTGTTCTACTTTCATGTGCTCCCACAGCAATAACAATCAATTGAAAACTTGACTTATATTCGAAAGACGCTTCGCGAACGCACGCAGCGGAACAGCGGAATGTCGTTCCGTGAAGTTTCAAGTCGTGGCTCACAGACTATAATAAGATTCAGGAAATATTAGATATTTACAATGAGAGCGTCACGCAAATTAAAAAAACTAGTTTATTTCATCATAAATGTTAAATTCATTACAGTAAAGTTATGGAAGCAGTTAAATTTTAATTTCGAAGATTTTTTTTTCAATTTTTTTTTAATCAATAACTTTGACAGTATTTCTTGATAAAAAAAAAATCAATGTTGACTTTTTGATATTAAGAACTTTGTATGGAATTGGCTTGAATTCTTGATTTTACGGAATTAAAAAATAACTATTGGGATTTTTTTGCATTTAAGTTCATGTGAACTGAATTTGCTTAAACAGTTTATAAATCATCTTTTTGACGTTGAAATATTATTTTTCAGGAAAGTTTTAAGATTATTACTCAGAAATAGAGCAATTTTTATTTTAAAAATAGAGAAAAAAATGGCTGACAAATTCAAAAAGTCAAAAAAATGTTTCCATACAGTAACTTAATTTTTTTCTATTTTTTTTAAAGATAGGGCATTTTTTTCGTAGCCTAAAAATGTCACTAAAAAAACTCACTTATTTTTTTGCTTCAAAAGTCAATAAATACCGTTGGAAGTTGATAGACATATCTTAAATCAAGAAAAAAACGAATTTTTTTCAGCTTTTTCTCCCACTCCAATCTTCCCTCACCACCTCGTTTCCGCTGGAATCCCTTCTCCGGCCAGCGTTTTTGCCGGTTTTTCTCAAAAAAGTCGTTTTTTGATTTCACCGGAGCTTCAGGACCAATGGCCGGAGACCACGACGGAAGCCTTTTCGACCGCGTTTTTCACCTGTTGAGATCTGCGCTTTACCTGTACGTCGATCGGCCCAAACAAGCTAGAGAAATGGTAAATTCAATGTCATTTTTCGAGTGTCTGCGTCTCTGTTCCCTCACCGACGAGGTCAGAGAAATATGGAAACAGCATGTCAACATGAGAGAGGCGTCGAGAGACGAGGAGGGCGCAGAGAAAAAGCATTCAAGTTGCGAAAAACGGACTATAAAGAGTACAAAATTTAGGCCAAAACTCGGTTTTTGCAATTCTCTTGCTTTTTTCATTGTTCCAGAAACAATGGAAAACTCAGTTGAGATTCGAAATTTCAAACAACTAACTCCGCCCCTTTAGCTACAGTACCTTTTCGCGTCGATGTTCTACCGACAATGATCCTTTGATATCGCTAGTTTTTCTCAAAGAATCATCATCCGGCGTTGATAAATAAAAAATCGAAACGAAATATACTGTAATTACGGAGGCGCAGTCAGCTGCATGACATTTAAAATGTGAACGGACTAAGGTTCTCGATGAAATCCACTTGTTCGGACCTTGATAACGTGGATCGGAAGTTCCTGAGAAGTTCTAGGGATCACTTAAGAGTCCTGATGCTACTAAAGTAGTCCCTAGAAGTCATCAGTTTAGTCATCAATCCAGTCCAAATGTGCTCCATTGATAATACTGGCCTTTCAAATTTTCATTTCTCAAGCAAGAAAAATTCTTAAGTTGACTGAAAGAGTGTTCAAAACCCTAAAGTGACCGCTTGAAAAACCAGTCAACCGAAATATTTATCCATAGAGCACATTTTCAATTTTTCCAAATTCCGGGGTGCGTCCGGTTTGTATCACGAAAGTCCCACATTTAATTTCCTCGAAAAATGTTCATCATTGGAGCGCAGAAGCTGACTTCTAAACGCCTTCTTTTCGATATCATGAAATTTCAGAACGCCCTGGCACGAAAACATTTCGGTGAAGACTTTCCCGACGTCGAGGAAATCTCCCGGGACGTCAACGTCATTTTCGTGAATTCCAATGAAATCATCGATAAAGCTCGTCCAATTTCCCACAAGGTCAAATTCATCGGAGGAATTCAGATGCAGAGGCCGAAACCGTTGCCAAAAGTAGCTTTTTCCAAATTTCAACAAAAAGAGTTTTTTCCAGGAAATTGAGGCTTTATTGGATCTATCGTCACGTGGCACCGTCATTTTCTCGTTTGGAACTCAGGTTTAACGATTTTTTAATTTTATTCTGTTCATATTCATATTTTCAATGTCAAGTGCAATGACGTCATTCAAAAACACTCTGTGGATGGCTCGCTCTCTGATTGGTTTATCGCGTCATTAGGGGCGGGGCTTGAGCGACGACTTGATATTCAAAATCTGACTATATTCGCGTTTGGATGCGTAACGGCTTCGAAGCGGTTGCTTCTAGGATGCGTCAGACCTAAAACTACTTGCGCGTTTTGACATCAAAAGGTGTAAAAGCGGGAAAACTAAAACAGAAAAACTTGAACCATTCCAAGTGCGACCACAGCATTTCGATTTGAGCCGAAAATCGAGGTCTGAGTTATTTTTGTTAGAAAACAATGGAAGCATATTGTCGTCTTCAAAAATTTCTGCTTTATACATTCAGCTTTAAACGGGAAAGTGAGTGAAAATTTCGCATCATCATATTTTTAGTGGCCACTTAAGGGGTTGAATAATTAGTGGCCACTATAGAGGTCTAAGTGCTACTACAAGACCACTAAAAGTTTAAGTGGCCACTTAAGGGGTCAATTTATCATCATAACAGGTCCAATCTGTTTGTTTTAGAGTTATCAGAGTTACTGGAAGGAATACTGGATGAAAACTACTGAAAAAAAATTTTTCCCAGCACAAGAAACTTTTCCTTTTGACCCATTTCTAACTATTTTTAAAGGTTCCCACCACACGAATCCCTCTGGAAATCCGTCGAAACTTTGTCCGCGCCTTCCGGAAATTCCCCGACGTGACATTTTTGTGGAAGTACGACCGGATGGACGACGATTTCCAGCTTTTCGAGAACGCGACCAACGTCCACAAGTTGGAATGGCTCCCACAAACGACGCTTCTTCGTTCGTCATGAAGGAAAAGCCGCATTTCAAAGACGTCTTTCAGAAGACAAGAGAGTCATCGGATTCATCAGCCACGCCGGTCAGAACTCCTACGTGGAGACTGCGGCGGCGGGAATTCCGATTATAGCGATTCCATTAATCGTCGACCAGTTTTACAATGCCAGAAATGGTTTTTGAAGATTTAAAGGTTGAATATGATGTTCTTTTTTCAGCTGTGGACAAGGGCATCGGAATTCTGATCGATAAAGAAGAGCTGAACGAGTCAAACCTGGTCGTCGCCTTGGATCAGCTTCTGAATAATCCCAGGTATTTTTTGAAAGCCGTTGCTCACAATAGTTCTCATCGTAGAATCTTTTGATACTACTAAAACTTTTTTTTTCGCATTTTTGAAAAATTATCGATTGAAGCTAAATTCCGACTTTATTATGGTCAAGAAGTATATTTAAGATTTCAAAAAATGGTTTGAATTAAAATTTTCAAGACGCAGACGTTCTACTTAACATACCAAAAATGGATGATCTTTGAAAAAACTCCGTAGAAAATCAGGGTTTTCCACTTTTTTTTTTTGAAAATATGACCGCCGACGCAATTTTTCTCATTCTTGAACAAAAATCGAAGCTTCAGCTACCGTCAGAACGCGACGCGACTAGCAAGAATGATCCGACAGAAGCCAGACGACCCAAAAGAACACTTCATCGAGTGGGTCGAGTACGCGGCCAAGAACCCAGCCATTCATGAGGTTCGTCTCAAAATCTTCCCTTTTCATGGATATTTTCCAGGTTTTCAACCTTCCTGGAAATGATATGGGCCCATTCAAGTACTACTGTGTCGACGTGATCCTCTTCTTGATTTTTTCACTTTTCCTCACAGTTTTCGTGTCTTGGAAATTATTCAGCCTCGTCTCCGTTATTGCCAACACTAGAATCAGAATCACCAAAAAGGAAAAACTAACATAATTATCTTTTCATGTATTTTTTTTACGGGTAGCTGTGAAATTGTAAATAAAGTTTTGAAATCAGTTATTTCAGTACTGAAAAAAAGGCTTCACAAAAATGTTGTATAACTGAAATTTTCTAATCAACGGCTATTTTCCTTTTTTTCTAACGGTTTTAGGATTGACAAGAATGAAATAAGTGAAAAATCCGATTTCTTCTGGTTAGATGTCTGAGAAAAAGCTAAAGTGAGAGATAACAGTTTTATGAAGAGACGCCAGAGAAGCTAGAGATCTCTCCTTTCTCTGGTCTCTCTTCAGATTGCTACTGACCTCTCTTTTTTGCTTCTGACTTGAAAACAGCCGATTTTTTGACTTAACACCATTGCTGGAAAAATTTTCTCTGGAAATTTTTTAATTTTTGGGTGCTACGACAAGAGCGAGTTTTCCATTAGCGAGCAGTACTGTATGCGGCAAAGCGCATTGCGTGCATGCACTCTGCGTGTTTACACTTTTGTGGCGTGACGTCATCGCGCCGTACATCTGCGGGTTTTTTGCTTGCGGGTTATTTTTCGGATTTTTTTTTTTGAATTTTTTTTCCGGCTTATTTGTTTTTCGAAACAAAAAGAAAACTTTTTTTATTGATGAAAACTCTGTTTGTCAAGGGGGCAGCTTAGGAAAATGTTTCTTTATAGATAGGTCAACTTCACAAATATAGAAAAAAAAGAAGTAAGCTAATATTGATATTTCAAAGAGGAAAATATCAAACAATTGCATCATAACAAATACCAGTAATTGAAATAAGTTATATCAAAAAATAAGAAAATAAGAAAATAACAATTTTTTCAGAAAAATCATATCAAACAAAAGTCATTTCCCAGAAAATCTTCAAGATATTTTAAATTACATTGAAAGATTTGAAGGGAGTTGTCAGAAATTTTACGAAAATTGGATTTTTGTACAATACCGGTGTTGAGGGTGGAGGAGCAGGGACACCTTTTTTCGCCAAACTTCCTTTGCGATTTCTTGTTGCTTTAAAATTGAGTCGAAAACAATGTCGTTAACATAATCGTCACTTTCCATCCTGAATTTCATTCATAGCACCACTTTTTTTCATTTCAAAATCTGAACGAGAGAAAAAAATATGAGGAGAAGAAGAAGAACACGAAGATTTTTTGAGGATAAAAAGGAGCCTTCTTATGAGGTAAAAAAAAATTTTCTTTTTGTTTCGAAAATATTCGCACAATCAAAACCAAACCGGAAAAAAAAAATCTAAAAAAAAAATTCCGAAAAAAACATTGAAAAAAAAACCCGCAAGCAAAAAACCCGCAGATGTACGGCGCGATGACGTCACGCCACAAAAGTGTAAACACGCAGAGTGCATGCACGCAATGCGCTTTGCCGGATACAGTACTCCTCGCAAATGGAAAACTCGCTCTTGTCGTAGCACCAATTTTTGAAAAATATTTTCGAATTCTGAGTCCTTTAAGCTGAACCTTATGGCAAATCTTACTTTGATGGCTAGGGCGAATTTCTGAAGTTTGAAAATTTACATGTGAACATTCAAAGAACCTATGAACTTAAAAACCATTTTCGACTTTCATAACCACTTTGATGAGGTACCCCGAAGAAGCCTGACACAGGAAGTGGAAGGTATTAGATTTCGATGAAACTTTGTATATAGGTACTTTCAAACACCCTGAATCCAAAGAAGATAAAAAAACTGCGCCTTTTTGGTTCTAGTCGAGTTATGGCTCCTCAAAGTTTGTACGCAAAAAACGCATTGGATGAAAGAAGAAATGTCTTGCGCCAGCTAACTCTAGCTGCCGGCAGTCGGCGTGGCGTAGTGGCTAGCGGCCTTGCGCTGTGAAACCTATGATGCAGGTTCGAATCCTTTTTGGTGCAATTTTTTTTGCCAATTTTTTTCAAGCTCAAAGCGTTAAAATCCACCATTTTATGTCGTTTTGAAAAAGAATTTCGACAAAAAATATTTGTGAGCTACCAAAAATTCCTTTTTTGTGGACAGAAATCTTTGAAAAGAAGTTTATCAGTGTCGACAGAAAGAGGAAGACTAGGAATCCCTGAGACGGAAGTGGAGGAGTTGCTCGTGATGCGGAGCCGGGAGCATGCGGCTGAGTCTTCGGAGGCCCTCGCGGCTCAGTTGGGAGCTCGGACGATCTCCTCGGGAGACTGACCGTTCCTCGCACGCGACAACGCGAATCATCGGCGTCTCCGTCGAGGCTGACGACGACTTGTCGCGCACCCGCGCCGTTCTGCAACACCATCATAGGCAGGGCTCTGCTGAGATGGGCGAGGCGCGATATCGCTGAGGATTCACGATATCGCTTCTTTTTTCATCAAGAGTTATCGCGAAAATTTCCACTCTGCATAGAGTATAAAAATGCAATTTTTTCGAGCGATATCGTGATTTTTACCTCAACGATATCATTATTGTGGTTGTGTTAGAAAGTACAGAAAAAGCACCAAAATGTTAGAGAAAGGGTCACGGTGGCCTCAAGTCCGCAAAATCGCGTGAGAGGATTTTCTCCTCACGTTGGCGAGATTGAAAGAACAGAAAAAACAACTTGCGAACTTGATTTGACGTGGAAATGACGTCATTTTGAAACTGGTGCAAACACGTCACAGTATTTTGCGGACTTGCTCTACAGTAACTCTTTTTTAAAGCTTTTTTGACGCGCGAAAGCAGAAGTAGAATCCCAAAGAAGCATAGGCCGCAGGAAAAAAAAAGCCGCAGGAAATCAGCCGCAGGAAAAAAAAAATTCAATTTTATATTAAGAATTTGAAGTTTTTTTCTGAATTTCCAAGGTTAGTAGTGCTAAAAAAAAAGTTAGTTGTTAGTAAAAAGAAAGAAAAAGAAGAAGAAGCAAAGCGAAAAGACACCCAAGAGAAGAAGCCGACTAACTACTCTTGTAAGCTCATATTTTCATGCGATTTCCTCACCTTGCGATCAATCAATCCAAATGGCTGCGGACACTGAATTCAAGTCAAGTATAAGGGGAAAAGCCCTATTTTCATGAGAATATAAATTGAAACAAGAAAAGTGGGAAAGAGAACGTACAGACTGATCTCCTGGCCGGCAGTGTCCAGTTGAACGTTCCTCAGTTTGCTCCGAGACCTCATCCCGCCTTTCCTGTTTCGATACCAGTCGATTAACTGCAAAATATTCATTTTTTTATTAATAGATGATAGCCTAACAAATAATTTACTCGAACCCTTGTTCAAAATATAAAGAATTCTTCTAAAAAAATCTGGTTGTATGAAGAACGTGTCAAAGCATTGAAGGCGCCCAAATAAATTTCCAGAGTTGCCGATTTTTATCAAATTTGAGCAAAAAAAGGCATTTTTGAATTAATTTCACCTCCAAAAACCTAGCTATTTTCTGATGAAAAAAAGATAAGCTGACTGGGGAACTTTAACCCCCCGGTTGAACTTTTGCTGAAACTTTCCTTAAGTGTACTTTAGGACCTTCTGATTCTAGAACAAGAAAAGAAAATTTCTCGCAATAAATCTTGTTTTCGAGTTATGAAGCTTCAAAGTGTGCAAAATACGCAAATTAGGCGCCATTTCGGGCTTTTGAAGTGTCCTAACTCGAAAACGAGATCTCTTGCGAGAAATTTTTTTTCAAAAACGTTCTCTAGTGAGCTACTTAAAGTGAGCATTCGCGCTCTATCGCTAATATAATTATTATTTGTGATATAAAGGCTTTTTTTTTAATTGCTGAACTTCTCAGTGTTGAATGTCATTAGCGAACGTTGAAACTTTCTATATATTTTTTTTAATTTGCAACAGTTTTTGAAAAAAGTCCATCGTCCCGAACATTATTCTACTTTTTTAACTACTATTTTTTTGCTTTTCGGTTTTTTTTTAATCAAAAGGTTCTTTTCGATCCTTCACCATTTTTAATGATTTTCTCTCGTTTAGAAAGCCCAAAACGTAGAAAAAACGAGCTAACCCTTTTCTGACACCAATTTATTAACACTCTGACCTTTCCTAAAATGGTGAGCCGAAGGCGGAAACCGTCGTGTCGCGATTCGATACAATATTCGCCCAAGGCGATCAAGAAAGCCACGATCAGACCCGTCAATAACACGTAAAATATTCCTAAAATCAATTATTCAAATTTAAAAATGGAGTTTTTTTCGAACCGAATATATTTTGAGGTGGGGAGAATGGCAGTTTTTCTACTGGCGCAGTGCAAGAAGGTCCTTCTGTAAGTTCAATTTTTCAAATTTTTTTGAGAAAAATTGTAGCCAAAATGAAGATTTTTCTGTTGTGTTAGCTGAGGCTTGAAAAATTTGTGGAATGACTCTAAGCATCCGACCTGAAACGGCTTGCGCTCAAGAGCAGCGAGAATTGTTAGAGCCGGCTAAGATCCTACTCCAGCACCCGACTTAATACGACTTGCGCGCATGGTTAGGGAGCTTATTAGAACATGCTGAAACCCTACTTCAGCATCTAACCTAAATCGACTTGCGCCCAAAAGCATCGGTCGTTATTAAAGCAAGCTCCCCACTTCAGCAACCGACCTCAAACTGCTTTCGCGTTAGAGCACAAATATACATTCTAAAAAGCCGTTGCAGGCCTTACTGGAACCGCAACGCGACCGCGACGCTTTGAGCCATTCCAAATGCGGTCATGACTTTTTAGAGACATCTGTATCTTTTTTTGCAAGTCCTTACCTCGCATATCTCGCCACCATTTGTTCTTCAAAGCTTCTAAAATGGTCCTTTCCTGAAGTTGTAGGACAGTTCTCGAGAGAATATCCCGCAGCGGGGAGCCTTTCGGTAGAGCGATACCGTAACCCTGCATATTTAGCATTATTCAGAAACGACAGAGTGATCCCTTTAGGGGTTAGGTAAAAAAAAAGCACCGTATAGGCGACAAAATATAGTGATAAAATAGGTACCCCTATAGGGGTCTTTAGGGAGAAAATTCCCTAGAGGACAACCTTCAAGGGTCCCTAAAGTTGACCGTATTTGAAGCACTCTAGCGTTGTTAAGTAGAGTATGCTTCTTGATAACCTAGGTTTAAAAATGAGTTCTTGGTTTTTCTAAACGACTATACACCGTCTGACACCCCAACTTGACACCCCACCACCCCAACTTTTGCACGCAGTTTTAGGGGGGGGTTTCCTTCAATTATTTTTTTTCAAACCTTAGAATCCAACAGCCCTCCGATTCTCTGAAGTTCACAATCTCTTTCCAAGTAATATTCGAGCATCGACGACTCCATCATGTAGGCGTAGCCGCCGGCTTTTACTCTGGCGATCCCTAGAAAAAAATGTCCTGATAAAACTTTTTTTGAATACCACTTCTTATTGAAAAAGGTTTTTTTCAGAGTTTCAAAAAATTTATAAACTTGAGAAAAATGAAAAAAATTTAATTTTTTTGGATTTTTAAATCCCTTCTTTTTTTCTCACCAATACGCTTCTACGAAATTCCGTTACCTATCACAGCGAAAAAAAATCAATAAAGGTGGCGAGAAAATCAGGAAAACTTTCCGCTAGAGCAGATTTTCTGTTATTTTTTTATTTCTTCAATAAAGTAATAATCGATGGAAAAAAATTCCCACCAAACTCATAGGTCAACAAGAAATCTTCCAGAAACTGCAAAAGTCAATTGATATTCCTATTTTGTCAATTTATTTCTTTTTTTCTATGATTATACGCACGTAAACTTACACACATCCGAATTTTTTTGAATTTTGGAACTAATTTAAATTTTTTTGAATCTCACTAAAGTAGACCCTTACCTTCCTTGGAGCTGTTGACAAAAAAACCCCAGGCGATGAAGATTCCATAACGGACCACCTGAAAATATTATTTTCTTAAATCGAAAAATACAATTTTTTTCAGAAACATTCTCTCATAAATGGGAATTTTGCTCTCGCGAAAAAAAGTCCATGGTTGAGCCGCTTTTCAGCGTCCCATAACGTATCCGCTGTTGATTGGCCAGATCTTGAGTACTTTCTGGAAAAAATATGTATAGATAATTCAAAAATAAGGAAAAACCTATCGGAGTCGACATTCTCTCGACAGTGAGGAAAGCGGCGAGTTGGGCGGTGTAGGAAGATATCAATATTTGGGTGAACATCCACCTGGAAATCGTAGATAAAATGATGAAAATAAATCTACATCTGAAATTTAAGAGAAAATATACGAGCTCAAGAAAAAAACGCCAAGTCAAAGAGAACATTCCAAAACATTTTTTAAGGAACCCTGTAGGGAGCACTTAGATTTTAGCCCTCTGCGGAGCCCTTCTTTGTTCACTCAAGGGGTTACTTTCCTCGAATCTCAATAGTGACCTGGCCTTTATAAGTTTGAATGCAAAGGGGTCGCGTAAAATCCAACTGAAGAAAATTTGAACTATCCAATTTTTTGGAATATCCGAACCTGGTCCTTCACGTTTCTGTCTCTTTAAAAAAAACGACCTTTCCAACAAAAATCATACAAAATGAGCAAGAAATTTGGAACTGAAATGCGACCGCTTCGGACTCAAACTAGGGAATGTCAGAGTTGACCCTATAGGGGTTAGAAGACACCCCCCATCCGTAGACAAAAACGTGCTTCCTAAGGGGGAATATTTAGGTGGTCCCTATAAAAATCTGGGACCTCACCCGTAAGTCCCTTGAGATCAAGTAGACCCTATAGGGGACTATAGAAGACTTCTACAATTTTGTTCTTTTTTTTTTAGAAAAAAAACTTTTCAGGTTCTGAGCAATTTCGTTTATTCCCAATGATTATATTTCAATAAAACCCCTAGATTGACCGCTTTTGAAAGCTCTAGTGCCCCCTTATAAGGGAGGTAGAGTGCTCCCTTGAGGGAAACCTACGAGAACCCCTAAAGCTGTCCCTCTAGTGACCCCTTTGGCGTTTTCAAGAGCGACGAATGCCGCAGCGGGCCGTTTCAAGCACAGAAAAAAGTTATAGCTAGTAAAAAAACACCTTTCAAATTTTCAGGGATGTTAAAAATCATGAAAATAATGATGAAAAAAAAATAAAGCAAAAACGACGGACCAAACGACGGCGATGAGTCTCGTGGCGGCGGCTCTTGGGATGACGTCAGAACCTTGTTGCATCAGGGAACCCATCGTGAACCAGAACGAGTTCAGAACCGTGAACTGGTTCTTTTGGTTCTCGATGCTCCCCAGGTCTCTCTCGTCGATTCTCTCGATGTTGTACCTGAAAAAATTCTTTTTCTTTGGAAAATGGTTTTTTTTTAATGGTTCTAAGGTCACAAAATGGTTCAGAATTTTCCTGGTCGCACTTTATTTTTAAAAAAAGGCCCACCACTCATAAGGACTAAATTTGGCGAGAAGATGGATCGCATAGGAAACGACAATGTATCCGATCAGAAGCATCATCCAGACAGTCAAGGACAAAGGCTCCAGAAATGTCCATAACGATCCCTAAAGTGATCACTTTTCCCTTTCAGACTCTTTCTCTTTACCTTTTCACTTTCATCGTTGGTTCGTGCTAGCAGGATTGATATACCTAGGTGCATGAAAGGCAGTGTGAAGTCTGAACTTTTTCTGTTTGAACTGGAGATTTTGACAGGGTATAACCGACGACTTCAGCTCGACTGTAGGTGATGGTAACAGCAGATAACGATAAATCGGCTTCGTGTCTTTGCAAGGCTCCGATTATCCCGTTCCATCGTCCCGACTCGTCCTGGAATCGGTTATAAGAAAAATAACTGTCTAGAAAAAAGATCTCGATGACGGTACATTGACACTCTGGCAAATTAATCGCGTTGTCGCTGGACTCGAACTTTTTTGGCGCGATATCGCATTTCTCCCGCAATTCTCATTCACTCAAAAAAGTTTTGAAATGTTAAAAAACGCATTTTCGCGCCGAGGAAATTGCGAAATCGCGCCAAGGAGCTGCAAGACCGGCGCAGCACTTTTGCGATAACGTCGATGTACCGCGAATACGGATTCCAGAAACATAATTATTCATAATATATTAAACTTGCGTTGCAGTGAATCCTCAAGGGAACCTTTGAAATTGTCCAAACCCAGTTGAGCCTTAGGAAACCACTTGCAACTTGTGAAAAAATAGGCAAACCTAGGCAATTCCTAAGGCTCAAGTGGGCTTGGACACTTTTTCGCGACTTTGAATTTAAAAAAAACCTTTTCATGTTGTGAGAAAGGTGTTGTAGGAGTTTAAACTTAGTTAAGGGTGAAAAATTTGAATTTCGGGACTTTGAAATTTTCGGGATTTTAGGTGCACCCACGAGACACTGGACTGCCCCTGGAGTGCGGTGCAGTCCAATGTGTCGTAGTTGCACCCACGAGACACTGGACTGCACCTGGGGTGCGTTCTAGTCCAGTGTGCCAAAGATGCACCTACGACACACTGAACTGCACCAAGGGAGCACTCATACCTTTGAAATTGTCCAAACCCAGTTGAGCCTCAGGAAATCACTCGAATCTAGTGCAGAAGTAGGCAAACCTAGGCAATTCCTAAGGCTCAAGTGGGCTTGGACACTTCAGGCACTTTAAACCCTTAAGGGAGCACTCAAACCTTTGAAATTGTCCAAACCCAGTTGAGCCTTTAAAATTTGCGCCGTAGAAAAGCGCGATATGCCTAAGTCCCGAAATTCAAAATTTTGCAGCTCTTCCGCGACTCGTTTGGCGATATCCCGTGCCCCGTGTTCGCGACAGGCGACAAACGATTTTGTTACTTCTGTAAGAAGCAAACGACACGGAAGTTTCCCTGTCAAAAGTTTCATGATCGTCGCTTCGAAGGAGAGGATGGTCAGCAAATACACAGGTATCTTCGAAGGTGACTACTACCATATCCTGCTTCGATAAGTCGTGTTTGTCTAGGGCAGCGGCTTCAAACAGAGTCAGTGGCCTTACATACGGGCAATTATTGGATGCGATCAAACATTATTTATTTATATTTTCCACGAAACCGAAAACGTTTGAAACTGTAGAAACAAAGAGATTTGACCATAAGTCGCTGAATAAAGCTTTATAAAATTTAAAATTGCGAATCATCTTTCGAAAAATGATTCTCCGTACCTCAATGCCATAACTACCATCCTGAACTTCGATAATCGTGTAGTTGAACTTCAGGACGGCGGCCATTTCGTTCAGAAGATCGATACAGAATCCTTCGTACTGGTTCTCGCCTCGTTTCATCACAAATGGTTGTTCCTAAAAATATTTATTTTCCAAGAAGCCTGTAAATTGTCCAGAAGAGCCTAAAAAAATTTGAGGTTATTTATAATTTGATGCTTTAAACTTTAAAAAAATTTCAAGATTCACCTAAAAAAATTCAATAGTAGAAAGAGTTTTTAAAAAGCAAAAAGATTTTTTTCTGAAACTTTTCTGTTCCTGGAAACGAACTTATTACCACTTTTATGATAAAAACTTGATTGAACCAAATCAGAAAAAAATTCACCAAATAAACGACAACTCGAAGATGAAGTCCTTCCAAATCCTCGGCGTCTGGATCGATCTCGAATTCCCACCGATTGGCATAGCGTGTGTCGAACCTCCATCCTCGCTTCTCCGACCAATTTCCAAGCTGAAAAATGGAATTTTTAATGATCCTTTTTGGAAAAAGTTTTGTTAAGTTTTACTGTGACCAGTGCATAAGAATCACGCATTCAAAACTTTGAACTTTAAAAAAAAGTTCGAGAATCCAGGTTGTCATTTTTGCCAAAATCCACTTTATTCCAGAGTTTTTCTAAACTTTTCCCCGAGCGATATTTTCGGACAATTTTGATTAAGCGGTCAAGTGGAATGGCTCAATGCGTCGCGTAAGTCGTTTTGGGTCGGACGCGCTTTGAAAGTCAGTGTACAACGCTTAGATCCGTTCAAATGCGGCCGTCAGTTTTCAAATCACATTAGTTTTTATTAGTAATAAACAAGTATTCAAATATGCCCCAGAAAAATTAGGAAAAACCAAACGTATATTATATTATTATCATAGAAAAAAGAAAAAAACTTATGACGTGTTTTAGAGACTTATTCCCATCATTTCTACTCTTGAAATGAAAAGAAATTCATCGCGCAAACAGTGTGAGCTTAAATTTTCATGTTTGAAGCTGTAGAAGCCTAATAGTCCATTATTACGAGGGTGAAGCCCTAAAACCTTGAAAAATTGTTCATTTTCGGGAATGCAAACCGGACGCATCACGGACGTTTCTGAGCTTTACAAGTAGTCCCTTAAGAGTGCTGACACCACTAAAGTGGTCCCTAGAAACGCTTAGAAACGTCTGGTTTCGGTTACCAAGGTCCAAGCGTTTTTTGTTCGGTAGAGCGCATTTGTAGGAGAACACTGAATAAAATTATTGTTTTTCAGACGTCCCAACGATACCAGACTATAGCGTGGAGGAGGACCGCCATGGACGTCTGGTAAATTTTAAATATAGTCCTTCCGCCGCGACTAGAAAGTTTTCGCTTGTCTGCGTCTCTCTGTTCCCTCACCGGCGAGGTCAGAGAAACATTGCAATAGCACGCAAACATGAGAGAGACGTCGAGAGATAAGGAGGGCGCAGAGAAGTCCCGCCTTATCCTGATGTCATATTTTTTATGAGCTGATACGGCTTTATTGTAGATAAAATAACTTATAATAGTTTTTAGATAACATTTTTTAGGTGAACAAGGAAAAGCGGCTCATTTGGCCGAGTAAAGAACCTGTCTCGCCGGAAAGTTTCCGCGAATTTATGTCAGACCCAAAAGCCACGCCGCCGGCTTCAACCAAACCAGTGAGAAAAACTTTTTCGAAAATTTGAGGGTGGCCGAATAGGGTTTTTTTTCGAAATAGCTACGTTTAATCAGGAAATTATTCTAACTGTGAGCTGTGAAAAAACTCCAAGCTTCACCATTTTTCTATAAAAAAGGACAAGGAAAGATAGATTCGAAACGTATTTTCCGAACAGAAATATGATCCACCATCCATGCCAAGAAAGGATCTCCCTTTCAGAAATATTCTGTTCAGATTTTGAACTTCTAGTCGCGCCAAGCTCGCGCGATGAGCCAATCAGAGAGCGAGCCATCCACAGAGCGTTTTCAAATGACGTCATTCTGCTTGAAATTCAAAATCTGAACAGATTATATACTCCGTGTTTCTCTGCGCCCTCCTCGTCTCTCGACGACCTTCCCATTTTACCGTGCTATTTTTAAATTTCTCTGACCTCGCCGGTTAGGGAAAATAGAGACGCAGACACCCGAAAAGTGTCAGGACACGGCGAAGGAACTATAGACCACTTTTGAATAAATCGGAAAAATCAACGCTCATTTCCAACCGGTATAACTTGAAATGGAATTCAAGGCAAGCCGTCGAGGCCGATCCGAATCCACAACCGCCAGTTCGGTCGACAGTTCTACCGTGTACGAATCGATGGCCTCGAGCAAAAGCTCACGAAAAACTCCGGCATTGGAATACGTATCTCATCCCTTCTGTTTCACCCAATCAATTCTTGCTTAAGGAGAAGATCGCGAGCTCGAAAAATGTCAGCTACGTGGAGGTAAATTATTTTTTCCTCTCGAAAAGTTTTTTCCCAACCAAAAAGTAGAATGGCCTCTCTTGTTAGGAACACTTCTCTTTGCACAAAAATCTAGCTTCCCATTCTAAAAAAAAATTTCAGCGACCAGTGAAGCAAAGCGGATCAACGGAGAGTAACGCCTTCATCGGCGGCGCCACTTCGGCAGAAGCCGAAGGCAGGATCGGCTCCCGCAGCTTCATCCTCTACTACAGACTCCCGGACACTGGCAAACTGCAGCTTCATCTGCCGCTCATGCTTGTTTACAGGTAATTCCTCCCTAATTATATCTCGATTCTGCCTCAGGTAAAAATTATAACTTTTTTTTTTTGAATCTAGTGGTCCCTAGAGCAGTTAGGGAAAAATCAGCTCCTATAGAGGGTAAAGTGCTCCCTAGAGGGGTAAAGTTCAAGCGGTCTCTCTAGAGATTAGGAATCTGAGTCCCTGAAGCTTGAGTATTAAGCTTGAGCCTTTAGGGGTCCCTATAGTGGTTCCTTGATTTTTTGTTGAATTTTGATGATTCGAAAACATACCAAAAATGAATGGATTTATGGATTTTTTGTAAAATTTATTTTTTTTAAGAAATAACAATAAAACCTTTATGAGAAACATTGAAGACAGAAGATCAAATTCAAGGCTTGAAAAATCTCAAAAAGTCCTTTTTTGAGGGTCACAAGTTGGATCTGATTCAGATTATGTTGATTTTGAACTCATGGCTTTCTAAAATACCCTTTACTTTTTTATTATATTCGTCAGGAGCTCGACCAACGAACACTACCACTTCATGGTGAGCCGTCGGAATCTGTATCTGAAGAACGGCGAACAGCAGAAGACCTTCTGGCGGGTCGAATGCGGCGACGTCAACAGCCGCGAGGTTTCCCACTTCCATTGCTTAAGGGACCACTTCCGTTGCAGTTTCTGACGATCGAGGCCTTGATCCGTCATTACGAGACGTTCGTCTATCACGACGCCAAGACGGGAAACATGGAGACGTTCCCCGTCGGAAGGAACATCATCTTCGACGTCTTCCAGTAGAGCCTTCTTCGTCTCTCTTTCAGCTTTTGTTTTGAATAAAATTAGAATGATTTGGAGCCTCCAAGGAGTAAAATATAGCTTCGGAACACCAAGTGGCAACCCTAGGGGCCTCCGAGGGGGCTCTAAGGACCACTTAGCATCCCCTTTAGGGACCACTAGAGCTCGCGAAAGTTTTGAACTCTATGAGAAAAAGCACTTATCTTGAAAAATGTTTAGCGACCACTATAGGGTTTTGTCGTTTTAGTGGCCACTATAGTAGTCAAATTAGTGGCCACTTGAGGGGTCTAAGGGCTACTAAGGTCAACAGAGGATGAATTGATCCGTTTCAATTTTTATTTTCAAATTTGAAAAAATAAATTAAAGGACCCTAGAGGGACCACTTGAGCTTTAGAGACTTAGGGGTCCGACCCTAAAACCTTCTAAGGACCATCTAAATTTCCCCCCTATAGGGAGCACTTTTTGTAGGGCGCCTGTTTTTCCACTAACCCCTATGAGGACCACTCTGGCGTTCCTAAGAATTTGTTTGTCTTTTTGATTATTTTTCCGCAATTTAAGAAAAAAATTGTTTTTTTTTGGCAAAAATAGTAAACAGAACAATTACAAGCTACCATGTAGTTTCGAGTTTTTCCTGAGTAAATGACTTCCGAAGAATATTTAACTTTCCTGTATTTTACAATGTATATAGTTACTGAGAAACCGTGAAAATAGATTTCGATATTATAAGCTCAAAATTCTCGATTTTCAGCTGGAATATTTTCTAACTTTCACAACTTAATTCAAAAAAAAGAAACGAAACTTACAATAAGCTGGGGAAATTTTTTAGTGACCACTAGAAGCTTTTTTGACTACTATAGTGGCCACTAAAACGTCAAAACCCTCTAGAGGCCACTAAAAAATTTTCCAGACCATCGACTTTCAAGTTGAAATCGCTAAATTTTCGTTTGCCCCGTCGAAATATTGTACTTCTTCTAATAGAATCGATATTTTAAAAAAAGGATTTTTTCGTGCCGAACAATGAATATGACTTCTGGAGCAATCAGAAAAATCAAAAAAATTGATCTTTGAGCTCTAAGGTACTCATAAATCTTCACAGAGCCCCATCAATATTTGTCATCTCCAGAAGATTATCTACAATCTCCTCACTTACCTCAAACCGTTCGCACTTTCCAACGTGCCTCCAGCAAATTCGACTAATTCTGCGTCATCTTCTATCTACTTCTCATTCCTCATAAAAAGTAGTTGTTTTGCGAACTTCTGAAGGTCACGATGACGTCATCAATTCCCGACGTCTCCAGACTCTGATTCTTGAACCTTTTCTCTACAGATCAAGAAGCCGAGTTCCGTTGAACAAATAACCGCTCAACTCATTTTTTCTTCTTTCAAAAAATGTTTGCTCGACATTTTTCAAGCGATATTCCCGTTTATTGACAAATAAATACTCGTTTGTGACTGGATTCCTGGTGAAGTAACTATTGGTTTGACTTTTTGGAAAAGGTGCAAGGAAAGGAAAAGTTGGAAAGTCTTTTCTAATAATAAATCGGCTACTTCAAACAATTCCCCGGCGCTTGATTGTTGTCTCAGAGATTGGAACTGACTTCGACTTCGCACTTTAATGCCGAGGTGAACGCGGAACGAAGGAGAGATTAAATTTTGTCAAGATCAAAAAAAAGAGCCGAAAAAGTCTCCAATTTGATCTGAAAAGGGAGAAAAATGCTCTCAAATGAAGACATTTCCATCTTCAAATTCTCATAAAAAGTTTTTCAAAAGTGATTTCAAAGCGAAAAATGGATGAAAAATCGATAAAAAGTAAATTTTTTTGAAAAATTCGGAACTTTAAAAAAATAAAATAGGAATAAACACGTCGCAATGAACGGCACCTCATGCAAAAAAATTTTTAAAAAAATCTGGATTTTTTTGATTTTTAAAAAAATTTGAGGTGTTCGAATCCGTCTGTTTTCTGTTTCAAAAAGTTTTTTTGAAATTATTATTAAATCTATGAGGGAATTCTTGCAACTGTTGGAGCTCATGAAAAAGTTGGAAACCTTTTCTCCCCATTAGTGCTTATCACTAGTGAAAAACTCGCAAAAATGTTTTTGTTAAAATCTTTGCGAAAAATAAATTCCATTATTTTTGATTTTACTGTTTCAGCCAGCAGATTGATCGTGAGTATTTGAAAGTTTGGTACTACTTTTGATGAGGGTTGTGCGAGATGAGAATTTTTGAGTTCGAGACGAGATCGAGACGAAATGATGTGTTGTCTTGATCTTTCGAGACGAGATCGAGCGAGAAACTTTTCAGAAGTTTTCAGAAAAAACTTTTCAAAAACGTTTGCTGCATTTCAAAAATGTAGGATCATTATCATAATAACGGTAAAATATATTTCACGAACTAAACTTTAAAAAATGATTTCTCAGAAAGTAACAAAAAAGTTTGGAAATGCTCGTACTTCGGTAAGTGGTTCCATTGTTTCTCAGGGCTCCCGGAATACCGGTTTCGCATATTTCGCAGCATAATTCAAACGAATAACGAGTCAATTTTTGAAAAAGTTTTGATCCGAAATTTAAAAAAACTCATTTTTTTGAATAGAGAGAAACACAAAAAAATAGCGAGGAGTTTTTCCTGTTCTCGACATTTCTTCCAGAAATTTACATCAAAAAGTAAAAAAATTATGGAAAAAAACTTTTTGTTGCATTTTTTTCAAAAATTTCCTTTATTCTCTAATATATTACAAGTCAATTCAATCCAACTTTCCAATTTCTTACTCGATACGCAATTTCGACATCAAAAACTAGCATCAAGTACAAAAAAGGGACGATGACTATTCGGAACGCCATAAAGTGTCCGAAAAACACAAGTTGGGCAAACTTGGGGCCGAAGAAGCTGAACTGAATCGCCGCCGGCCGACGACGTGCCATGACGTCGGCCGGACGGACCGTGGCCACGCCCCTTTCGACAGGTGCGCGCCAAGGTATAAATAGACGAGTCGGGGGCCAAGTTCCAACATCAGCCCCCCGAGATGAACTCCGCCGTCGTCGTCTTCCTTGGCCTCGCCGTCCTCGTCGCCGCCCAACAAGGAGGCGATGGAGCCCCGCCATTCCTTCGTCGGGTTAGCCCGTTTTTTCCCGTTTTCATCCCGAATTATGTCCCATGGAAACCTTAATTTTGCTCGAGGGGAATCCAAGATTTTTCCTAGACCCTCAGAAAAGCTTTAGAACCTTTGAAGGGGAAAATTGAGAAGATTAGAATTGAAAAAGCTCAAAATTGCTATCCCAACTTGAAAATCGATAAATCAAGTTCAAAGTCAGAAAAACTGTGAATTCGGCCACTTTTACATTAAAAAAAAACTTCAAAAAAGTGATATTTTCATAAAAATTTTCCTCAACATTAAAAAAAACAAGTTTTGGATTTTTTTTAACTATAAGACACCATATACCTAAATTTTTAATTTTCAAAAGAAAAACTAGAAACATTTTCTAAGAAAATTGTGAATTCTTTCAAAAACTCTCAATTGCCTATTCCATACATACAGACCACAGAAGACGGTTTTTTTGATTTGTCATTTTTTCCAGGCGACCCCAGCCCAAATCACCTCCTTCCAACAGCTCATCCAAAGCAACGGACAACTGACCGACGCTCAGCTCGACGCCAAGGTCAACGATTGGGTCAAGCAACAAGGCGGAAACGTTCAGGTGATTCTTGAGTTTCTACTTTTGAGCTGCTTTTTGAAATATTACAAAAAAGACTTTTTTTGAATAATTTTTGATGAAGCTCACAACAGAGGCAATGCTAAGAAAGCAAGAGAAACTTGATAAAAACTTTTTGAAAAATTTTCTATTCCTAATTCTGTCGAAAAATCTTGCCTAGAAGCTTTCAAGAGCTCGCCTGTCTATGAAGATATTTCTAAAAATGATATTTCTCTTCCGAAAAGTTCGTAACCCTTCAAAATTAGTTCCAAAGCATCCCAGACAGTCCTGTGACTATACAAATCCCTCTAAAATACCATTTCTTGTCCTGGAACCCTTCTGAAACTCCAAAACTCTCAGGCCGACTGGAACGACTTCCAACAGCACGTCAAGTCGAACCAGGCCTCCGCCGAAGCCGCCCACGCCGCCGCCGTCGCCCGCTTCAGTCCCGCGGCGAAGAAGGCCGACGCCGACCTGTCCAAGATCTCGCAGGACCCGTCGTTGGGCGTCCAGGCCAAGGGCCAGAAGATCCAGGCCTACCTCGCCTCTCTGCCCCCAAACGTCCGCCAGGAGCTCGAGGGCTCTCAGTAGACACCTTCTCTTTTTGTAAATACCGTCATTATGATCTAATAAATTCATTCCTGCCAACTTTTACTGTGGAAAACATCTTAAAAAAGGTCCATATATCAAAAAGGAGTCGGAAAAGGATTGAAAGACGGTGAAAAATTGAATTCTCAACTCATTTTTCAAGTCAAAACCTCTAGAAAATCGCTAGAACTTCCCCTATTCGATAAACAGTCTTCAGAAAACTTTCTTGATTTCCTCAAAATGGCGAAAAATTTGAATTAGACAAATGATTTACCAAAAAGAAGTCGATAAAAAGTCAAAAAAGCTTTGAAAAGTCAGATTTCATTTTCAGAGTTGTTATTTATTCCAATAAAACTACGATTTTCAATATTTAGGTATAATTTGGACTTTTTACTGACATTTTGAAAAAAAATTGAAAAAAGTTTTTTTTTTCTTTGTAAGAGGAGCCCGATGAAAAAACTGCACTAAAATTTAGATTTTTTATTTTACTTTTTTTTTGCATATGTTGGTCAATATTACACCCAAAAAATTCTAAATCCAATTAAAATCGTCGCAATAATCCGGCTGACGACAAACCAAACAGAAGAAGACACATTTTACAGCGGAAAGTGGGTCAAATCAACAGGAAGTCAATGAAAGAACAATTCGGTCGTTTCGTCTGACCCCAAGGTTCATAAAAACCTTCCCAAAAGTTCCGAGTTGATAAGGAAAACTTGGAGAAAAACAGGTTGACGTGTACTTTCAACGTTTGAAGTCACCCATCTCATTAGGAAACTTGAGACCAAATTGTTTTCTGGCGGTGAAAACGAAAAAATGGATAGTTCTGTCAGTAGAGCGCATATAATCCTCAAAAAAATAGGCTATATAAATTAAAAAAATCGTTTTTTTCACAAATTTGTTTTTTTCAGTTGTTCAACTGTATCTTTTTGCATTTTAACATATGAACTTTTAAATTTTGTGTTGCATATTACTTATGATTTCTTACATTTGCAAGCTTTGAAGCCTTTAAATCAAATTTTTAAATCTATTTTTTTAGCTATGAAATTGGCCCATATATCCAGTTTTAACCAACAAACTCCTTAGGTCCAAGAAAAAAATCACAATTTCAAAAAGGAGCTTGAATGTCTCTCAAACTCCTAAAGGGACCACTTGAATTACACCCCTCTAGCGAGCCCTATGTTGTCCAATCTAAGGGCTGTTCTTTTCCCTGACACTTCTAGGGACCACTCCACCGTTTCAAAGAAACTCACAGTCCGTGTATTCATTCAAAAAACCGGGTTAAAGGGAATAATTTGAAAACTACTACTCATTCTGTTCATCTTCCACTTTTACAAGCGCCAAGAAACTGTAAAATCGACCAATCCATCCAGTTTCAAGCGAAAAATCTCCCAAAGTCGCGTTTCAACAAAAAAAGGAACGAATTCACCTTGAAGGAATCAAACCAAAGAGGAATTACAAGTTGACAGGAACCAGTCGCCCCGTTGAGGAACCTTGGCCGTTTATTCGATTATCCCCCCACAAACACGACGACTTTCGAACCAGTCAATTTGAAGAAAAACGGGTGATTTCGTTTCCAAAGTTTTCAGTTTTTGGACTAGCATTATCGATGAAAAAAAAGTGGCTGGGAATAGACCAAAGAGCTTGAAGGAACTTCCCGTTTCAAGAATAAGTCATTAAGAGAAGAAAAAGACTAATTCAATAAATTTTGCGCACGAATTGCAGTTCTTCTTTCCAATATTGTCTATGAAGAAAAAGAAAACTATTTAAAGCCAAGACAAAAAATAACCTATTTTATAAAAATCCTTTTTTACAGGTAATCTTTGATTTGATTCAAATTTTTCGAAAAAGTCAAAAATTTTAAAATCTCGAACTACAGTGAGAATGTTTGCTCCATTGAGAATTGATTATTTTTCAAATTTCAAAAACTCGGACCTTGGTATGTGCTGGAAACATTTTTAGTGGCCAAGGACTATTTGGAGAGGACACTAAAGTGGCCACTGAATCCACCTCTAGTGGCCGTTATTTTCCGTTTTAGTGGCCACTGTAGAGTTTCTCTGTTTAGTGGCCACTTCAGTAGTTTTTCATCCAATATTTTTTTTCCACTAACTCTGATAATTTTAAACAAACAGATTGGACCAGTTATGTTGATCCATTGTCCCCTAAAATGGCCACTAAAGTTTTTAGTGGTCTAGTAGTAGCACTTAGACCTCTGTAGTGGCCACTAATTTGAACACTATAGTGGCCACTAAAAAGTCAAAACCCTATAGTGGCCACTAAAAATTTTCCCAGGAACTCAATTTCTCTCGTTCTGAAACAGTTTTTTCATTTGATCTGACCATGCGGGTCAGAAAAACACGAGCTTTTACACTCTGCTAGAATAACACGACGATTCGGAAACAATGGACTTTCAAGGCCACTTCACACAATTCGGGAAACACCTTCCGTCGTCACAATTTTGACTCATTGTCTCGATTTGATCATTTCGTTTCAACTGACTTTGACGAACTGCGAGTTGATCCGTCCGACGCCGTGGTACATCAGATCTTCCCGTTCTCCGTTCGCTTTGAACTGCACATCGCCCGTCAGTTGGTTCCGGAGACGGATCTGTAGATCTCTGTTTCAAGGAGACTATTTAAAAATTCAACTTTTTTTTGAAATACTGTATCGAAAATATTCCAGCTTCTAATTTTAATTTCCAATCAATAAGCTCTCAGACACCGCAAGAAATCTTAGCGTTTCTTAGGAACGACAGAGTGATCCCTAGAGGGGCACTGAAGCTCGCAAAAGTGACCCCTCTAGGGGTTTCCTCTCTACTAATCACTTTCAAATAAGTACGAAAACTCAAAAGACCGCTGTAGGGACCACTTAAGCGTTAAGGGGTTAGGCTGTGAATCTCTACAGGGAGCATTATTTTGTCCTCTGTAAAAGCTGTTGTTTCCTAATCCCTTTGGGGACCCCTCTGGCGTTCCTGAGTTTTTCTTGAAAATAAACACTTAAGAGCCCCTTGAGGGACCACTTCACGTCTTTCTATCGATCTTTAGAAACCAAATTTTCATAAATTGTTTGAAAAATCTTTGAAACTGACTAAATTTCTATTTTTTTGGTAATTTGATAGTTTCGATGAAACAGGGAAATCGGGGATCACGGGAATTTTTGATTTTTGTATTTTTACTGGATGCTTTTTTGTGACAAAAACTGATTTTCAAATGAAAAAAAGAATGATATCTTTGCCAACGAAATATAATCCGAAATTATGAAAATAATTATTTTTCAAGAAATTAATAGAAACAGGAAGGAGAATTTTATAATTTCTCAAAAAGTTCAAAATTCCATCTTCACTTTCCATTTTCCTTCTTCTTTCTAGTGTCAGCTTTTAATAATTATCTGTTTTTTTCAATTTTTCCCATCCTCCCAAAAGCTTCAACTAGAAGCTTAGCCGGTCATTTTTCTCCTCAGAGACAGGCCAATTTTTTGTTCTTCAGGCCGAAAAAAGTAAATTGTCGGCAGGAACCAGTTGTTTGGCGACTCGAAATCGTTCTTTGAAAGTTGCCGGAAAGGCAAATCAAGCGTTTGACCTATTCTTCGCGGCCAACCAACAAAAAATGGATTGGATGACGATTGTGAGTCGATTCTAGATGGATCAAAGTAGATCGGGATGGTTATTTTGAGAAAAAAACTATGAAAAAAAGTTTCAAGTTTACAAAAGTTGAAAAAAATTGTGTTGAGATGGTTGAAAAGTTCTATAATTAAAAAAAAAATGAAATTTTTTAAAAGTCGCTCGAAAAAAACATCCAGGCCGCACTTGGAATGGCTCAAATTGTCGCGGGCAACTTGGGGAGAAGAAGCCCCTAAAGTGCCCCCTAAAGGGCTTGACTTTAGTTGTTCCTTGTAGTGGTTCAAAGTCTGATGCCTGACCCCCCTAAAGCTCAAGTGGTCCCTATAGTGGCCTTCAACCTTTTTGTTCTGATTTGAAAGTTACAAAGATAGTCTACAGCTTGCATCTTTTTTCTAATCATTTCCGGATCCTATAAGCGCAAGCCGTTTCTGGTCGGTTGCGCCTTGGAACAACCGCTTAGCAGCCGTTCCAATTTACGGCAAGACTTTCATTTTTATGGAAAAAAAATCCTTACACCTCAAGGTTTAAAAAATATGAAAAAAAAATGAAAAAAAAAAGTTTTGTTCTTTGATTGAAGGTAAAAAATCTTATTTTTTCGCTTCGTAAAGTTAATTTTCTTCAAATTCGATCCGAATAATGAAAAAAGAACCTTTCGAATTCCTTCGTTCATGATCGGTCCATCGTTCCACGTCGTTTCCCGCAAATCGCACATTAATGAGGTCTCTCTAGGAGCATGACCCATCTGAAACTGACCGAATTCATGATTTTCTATTTTTTTTCGAAGAAAAATCTCTCAAAGCAAGTCGAAAAAAAAGAAGGAAGAGGTAAAATGGTTTATAAGAGACCTTTCTGTTTCACAGCGAAGACTCGATTTATACTTATATATTTAACGATTCCCTTAGTTTCTAACAAGCCAAAAAAATAAGTTCTACTATATCTAAATTGCCGCGCGTGGAATGGCTCAATGTGCAAAGACTTTTTTCAAGATGCACCCGACTCAAAACGAGTTTCGCGCGGGGTCATAGTGAATCCTTGTAGCGATTTTTTCCAAACGCTTTTCAAGTCTCCTGAGGACTCTATTTCAACCGCAACGCTTTGAGCCATTCCAATCGCGACCGAGGAACTTCAATTTAAAAAAAAATGGAATATATTCCATTCATCTTTACGGTTTTCTCGGAAAAGCAATAGGTACAAAAAAAAATTTTTTTTCCCAGCAAAAAAAGAGATTCTTTGGAATTTGACGTACTTAGAAAAGCCAGAGTGGTCAATAGAGGGTTAGAAAAAGACCTTATAGTGGTCGAAGTAGCGCCCCTAGAGGGCTTAAATTCAGGTGTTCCCTATAATGTCTTAAGGTCTGATGCCTAAGCCTCTAAAGCTCAAGTGGTCCTTATAGTGATTTAAGATCAGATGCCTAAGCCTCGAAAGCTCAAGTAGTCCCTATAGTGGTCTTTAACCTTTTTGTTCTTATTTGAAAGTTACAAAGATGTATGGAAAAGCGGCGGAATCCCCTAAAGGGGCTACTTTCTCAAGCTATAGTGCCCCCTATAGGGAACCTCTGGTTGAACGTACAAATAATCTCAAGCCTTCCACTTTAGTGACCACTCTGGCGCTCCTAAGTAAGTTAGCTATGAATGTACTAAATCAAGCAAACTTTAAGCTTTTCAAAAATCAAAACACAATTTCTTACTGATAGTCCCATCCCTAGAAAAGAGAAAAAAACCGACCTCTCTCATCCTGAAAATAGCCATTCCGATGACGTAAGCGGCTTCTGACGTCAGAGCTAGACGAGTCTTAAAGTGATCATTTTTAAATGCGAACAGTTTTTGAAAGTTCGAACCTTCATCATCGGATCATTTTTGACGAGTTGCAGACCGGTGATGTTGCAGTGAAAGGCGCCGTACATGTTGTTCAGAAAGTCTTCGAGCAGGGATAAGTCCTGAATATTTCTTTTCCGACTAATTAAATAATTGTTTCATAGGTTTCAATAAAAATATCGATGATTTTTCATCATTTTCATAAAAATCGAAAAATGACAATGATCTCTGTCCATAGAGCAACTTTGCTGCAAAAACGCATTCTTGGCGGGAATTCAAACTTTTTCTCTAAAAAAATAGGAGATTTGAACGTTTTAAAGTGAACCGTTCGCTACGCAATGGAAAGCTCTACAAAATGGCACCAAAATTAATTATTTTTATTAAAAATTTTTTCTCAAATTAAACATTTTAGAACCTAAAATCGATAATTTCATCAACCAACTGTGAAAATTTTAGGTGGCCACTATAGAGGCTCTCCAAGGACTACTATGAGAGGACACTGAAGTGGCCACTAAACCCACCTCTACAGTGGCCACTATTTTCCGTTTTAGTCGCCATTTCAGTAGTTTTTCATGCAGTATTCCTTCCAGTAACTCTGATAATTTTAAAACAAACAGATTGGACCAGTTATGTTGATCCATTGACCCCTAAAGAGGCCACTAACTTTTAACCCCTTAAGTGGTTACTAATATGACACTATAGTGGCCACTAAAACGTCAAAACCCTACAGTGGCCACTAAAAAATTTCTTAAAAAGTTGATTTTTTTTAAGTTTATTGATTTCTTATCAAAAACTGATCACTATAGTAGCTTCAATCGAATATTTTTTTGAAAATTTATTCTAATTCAAAAATGAATTATTTCAGTACCAAAAAGCTGATTAACTCCGCGACTAACCGTATTAGTAAAGACATAAGAAAAAGGCGTTTCGGTCATATTCAGCCCTCGGGCTTGTTGGAGCAAAGTGTACAGAACGGTGATATTATTCGAGTGGATTATCTGGAAAAATCATGTTACAAGCATCAAAAAATCAGAAAATCATACAATATTCGTCTGTTTGAGGCGATTTTTGACGTATTTGAGGAAGGGCTCGTAGTCGTCCGTGTTGTTTGGTAAACGTCGGACCTAATAATACATTTTTTTAAAGAGAAAAATAAGAAGATTTCTTTTTGAAATTTAGTTAAACTTGGCTGAAAGGTACTTTAAAAAAATCAGGATTATGAAGTAAGAAGAAAAATTGTCCATTTAGGGGTTCTGGCGTCCTAACTTTTTTTAAGAGCAAAAATCAAGCCTTGAAAAAAATTTTAAAAAAAACCTTGATATGAAGCCGCCGACCTCCAGTGGCTTCTAACCCACGGTAGTACATCAAAGGTGCCAAATCTTCCAAATCTGGAACGATTTTTTTGATTGGATCTTATACCAGGAATGCTAGTTTGAAAAAGAGAAAAAAACCAGGAATATGAATACAAAGACAATGAGTAGAGTTAACCCTACATCTATCTAGAAAATACAAGTGTTTAGCTTTTTTTTTCCGAAAATCATCGAGGATCGTTCTTGTAAATATCATAAAAACGAAAGAATTTCAATTTGCTTTCTTTTTGAAACTAGTTGAGAATATTTTCAAGAAATTGTATAGTGGAAATCACCTGTGCCGGACTGATAAGCCAGGAGGAATCCCGGCCAGCGGAGCGAGTCCAGGAACTGGCTGGTGGCCCGAGCGCCGATCCCGCGGCCTGGCCCAAGCACAGTGACGTAGTCGTTGATAGCCTCGTTCAGCGACGAAGATTGAAGAGATATGCATGGGATCTGCACGAGGAAATATTCAATGAGAAAAAACTACTTCAAAAGTTATTTTGAGACGTTTTTTTTATTAATTTCGAATCATCCAATCAATTTTCCTACCTCTTTGGAATCGAAAAATACCTTTTAAATCTATTTTCATTCTTTTTTATAATAAACGAAACTCCAACAATGCCACAGCAACTTTTGAAAAAGTCAATCGGCGTATGGTAATCGGTGGTCGTTTGTATGCGACCGGGTACTATCTCTATGGTACCTGGGTCGTAGGTCGATGCAAGTAGCTACCGGGTAACTACCTGACATTCGCGATTTCTTTCGGAAAGTCTGGAATTGCTTCCCGGGTCGTTATTTTTTGTTTCAGCTTTATCCAATAAGACCCTGGAAGGCTTGGGAAGGTGTAAAAAACACTGATGCTATATAAACGACCGATGTGCCAGCCAGTGGCAATCGCGAATTTCAGGTACATACCCGGTAGCATCCAGATACCGATCAGGTACTATCCAGGTACCATAGAGATAGTACCCGGTCGCATACAAATGACCACCGATTACGATTCGCCGATTGACTTGAGTTGCTACCTTGTATCTACCTCTCGATTCACCAGTAGAAATCAAAGCTTATACTTACCCGGAAATGATGGCACATCGACTTGACCAACTGGACATCTAGAGAATCTTCGTCCGGGGACAAGACTACCGCCACGACACCGTGTTGCAGCATTTCGCACACTGAATATAATTATTTATTGGGTTCAAAAAAGGCGATCAGCGAGGAGTTTATTTGGCTTTAAGATCGGGGCTTTTCTGAAAATTGGCCAGGACACTCCTTGAGGTACCAGAAAAAGATTCTAAAAGTCTCAACATGCCCAACTCCTAGCTTCCGAGAAATAACAGCTCAAAGCCCAAAATATGCCTATTTTTACGGATTTTAAGGGTTTTCTTTGACTTCACGGTATAATTTTCTCAAAAACTGTAAATTTTTCTGGTTCAGAATTTCAGGATATTTATCTGGTACATCAAGAGATACCAATTTTTAAGGAATTCCCGATCAAAATATGCCCCTGTTAGGGCGGAAAAATTTCTTCATGCTGCTTTTTGAACTGTTTCATCTTCTTTAAGTATTTTTGTCCCTTATCCATCCTTTTTTTAGCTTGATTAACTTCAGCAAAAATAGAAGACCCGTTGAAAAAGGCCTTTTTGCACTATTCAGCCCGAGAAAATGAAAATGATCAGACTTCTGTCTTCGAATGAGGATCCATGACGTCCTGCGGCGACGATTTCGAAGCGGATTTGTGTGTGCGCGCCGTTTTCCGTGTTCCACCGGTCGACGGCATAACGGAGGTGTTCGAAGGCTATCGAGCCCTTTATCGACGTCGAACCTAGTTTTACAATGAAGCAATTGATGAAATAATGAGCTCAAAGCTTCAGTGAAGTATAAAAGGGGTTCCATAACCGTTTCCTATCGTTAATCAACCAAAAACAATTTTTAAATTTTTCGTTTATTCCAGGTTTCAAGTTGTAACTTACTACATTAATTAGCTACCCAGCTGATTTTCTTGTTTTAACATACTGGATATGCAAATAACAACTATAGAAAGTTTGACAGAAATTGGACAACTCCTGCAAAAGTTATGACGAAAAAAGTGAAATTGTATATCTTACTGCACGGTACTGTACATTTTTAATTTCCCAAGACATTTTGATAACTTCTTGTCAACACTTTGAATAAGTTTAAAGAGAGCGTTAGCGAGCGATGAGGAAACGAACCAAGAATATTCCATCTAATTTTATTAAAAATTATAGTGCTACAGGAATCAATGCTAAATGTCAAGCTTTTTTTTCCAAGTTGGACCTGATGTTAATTGAGCTGAAATTTGGCAGCGGAAAATTATTATTTGTTTGTTTGATAACCAAAATTTTTTGCGGTTTTTTTCAAATACATTTCAAAAAGTTTATACCCTTTGTGAGAAAACTAGAACATGATCCACAAGAAAACGTGGAAAATCTAACGAGGTAAACTTTGCCGATCTGGTCCAAACTTCTGTGACAGATAGTCCTAGATATGAATATTCAAAAAAAAAAGCAAACAATTAACTGTTAGGCGCCATTGGATATTAAAAAAACTCGATCGAAAGTGCAGATAAAAAAAGTCGAAGACTGCTTAAATATTGATTTAAATTTTAAAAAAAGGAAGAAATGAAGCCGATTCTCTGTTTCGAAACCGACTGCTTTTTGAATAATCTTATTTATTACGATAGTAGTTAACGGAAAAATTCTCGTTCCTAATAAATTTTGATTTTTTTCACTGTTCCGCGGCTTTTTTTCTTGGTAACCAATATCGCTTAAAAAAAGTAACTCTTATGGTTCTTCGAGGCGCCTAGGACTAACTAGGGAATGCTTTTTGCTCCCCCACCCTTCAAATCAGTGGGGGGCGGGGGGTAAAAAACGGTCTCTGGTCAGGACTACAGTCGTGTCAGAGAAAATACGAAAAAAAAATATTGCTCCCAACTTCCTTGTAGGGTCAATCTCTTAAATTTTCTGAATCTTCAATCTTTCTAGAGCTGCGTTTTTCTTTTCTAGGAGCGGGGTGTTGACCAGAGTGTTCGAAATAACAGCCATCACAACTCCAGAACGTTTCACGAAAACCTGTGCTTATGAGAGTATTTCGGACCAGATGGACACTTCCCTAGTAAGATAGGAAGCCTTACCGATATGGAAGACGTCGGCGGAGACTTGAGGAACGACGTTGCAACACAAGATGAGGATACATGCTATCCGCATGCCTCTAGCTCATCTGAATCTTTGATAAAGTTTGGAAGACAGATCAGGAAACGGAGGAAGAAGAGAAGGTACAGGAAAAGAGTGAAGCTCCATTGGAAATCGAAAAAAAAGGAAGAAAAAATTAAGAAGACAGCGAAAGACGTATAAACGCTAGTTTTCCCAGAAAAACTAGCTTTTATACGTATTTTGTTGTCTATATAGTAGTCAAATCAGTGGCCACTTGAGAATTTGAAAATTAGTGGCCACTATAGAGGTTGGTTTAGTGGCCATTTTAGTGTTCTCTCCAAGTAGTCCTTGGCGAGCCTCTATTGTGGCCACTAAAAATGATCCCAGTTCGCTCCATTTTAAGTTGCATCTATGATAATGAAGCCTCAACCTAGATGCTCTTAAAAAGGCTACATGAAAATTCAGCTTTCAGGCCCTTTTCCAGTGATAAGGATAAGGAAAAACGGAGAAAATCAGGGTAAGAATGAGGAGTAGAGGCCAACGGCTAATGGAGCAAATGTTGGCAAAGTGCGCGTGCCAAACGAAAATCCAATTTCGCCGCAGCAACTTCGGGGGGCTTCGTTTTCAAACAAAATTCAACTAGGCTTCGGCGGCTCTGATTTGTGTTAAATACCCCTTGAAATGAGGTTAATTGAGCGGCTCGATGAGCTCTCGAGTTGCCGTTTGAACGCTGATTTTTTGAGGTTAAACCGGAAGACAATTATAAACTTTGTTATAGTTTCAGATATCTTTTTGAAGATATAATCCTGGTTACTTCAGTAATAATATTTCCCGATAAGATAAAAATGATAAATATTCATTCTCTGAACTTAAAAATGACAAGATTTTTTTTCCATCAACTCGAAAAGTTCAAAAAATCGGTTTACTCGGAAAAATCCACAGAACTTCAGAATGTTATGTTGTAACTCCATACAATAAAATTTATAATATGACTTTAGAAAGCTTGAATTTTTTTTTTGAAACTCAATGAGCTTTTTTTTTTGGAAGGCCCTGTAATGACTTTCAAAAAAAGGCGGGGTAAGGACTAAAATATTCCAAAAATTAAAACTTCAAAATATCAAAATTCCAGCCTGAATAATTGAGAATACTGGTTCTCCTATTCATTTTCAAAATAAAGATCCACTGTGAACTAAACAAGTACATGAAAGTTTGACAGCTGTCATTAGCAAGAAAAAAATGCGAAGATATTCAAAAGTTTTTGGCATCGTGCCAATTTTCCTTTCATTCCAATATTATACCTAGCTTTTTTAATATGAAAAGGTAGCTCAAAAATGAAGAAATTTAAAAAAAAAAATTAAATGTGTTTTTTCGAACTTTGTCTGGATCAGTATAAATGTTGAAAAACGATTATTTCACTAATATTAAGTAAATTTCCTCCATTTTTGATTTAAACTTGACTTGAAACAGAAAAACGGAATAATTTGTACCAAAGTGTGTAATGCGTTTTTTTCTTGTTGTGAGAAGTCTCAATTTTTCGATTATTTAAAAATCAGCCTCAGATAATTTAAAACAAAAAAAAACGAACGCTTGAGAGAGATATATTAGAATAAATATGGCCTTCAACTTAAAAATAGAATATTACTAAAAATTTTGATTTCATCGATTAATTACAAAGGCCAATAGAATTTAGATATTCGTTTTTGAATGAAACGTGACAAATAAAAGTGTTCTCGCTGTTTTTCAGTTTTGACTTGATAAAATGTAGGATTCTGTTGTACTTTTGCATGACATGTTCTACAATTGCAGTGAAAAAAAAGTACTTGATAAAAAAAGGCTGAAGGACAATTGAGACTGTGAAAAGTCGAGACTAAATAGAAAAAGAAAAAAAAGAAAAAAATTAAAAAAACGTTTTTTTAGAAAAAAATTAAAAAAACGCTCTATAATTTTCAAAACAAATTGGCGGATTTTTCAAAAATTCGTTACTCTCAAAAAAGTTCTGAATTGAGAGAGGAAGAGAAGCAAAGGCCATCATTCCCATATTTTCAAAGAGCAACAACTTTTTATGAACTTTCCAAGATCCAAAAATAAACTCAAAGATCCGAATATCCGTCGATTTCTTCACGGTGGCCGGTTTTCAATTAAAATTAATCTTTGACTTCTTTTTTTTATCGTCGCAAAATTCCGAGAGAATCTTTTGAAGTGCACTTGAGCATGTCGGGAAGTTGCTGAGTTGTTTGAATCTTTCAAAAATGAGCTTAAAGGTCATTTTTTGAAGGTTCAATCGAATTTACCTTCTGAAGAAAAGACGAAGACTGTGTCAAAAGAGGAGGTAGAACAAAAAATTTTTGTTTTTTCGGGAGAAATTGTTGGAAAAAAAGAACTCTGGTTTGTATATAATAATGAAAAAAATGACAGTTATATTCGAATTTTTTTTCGAAAGCTTGAAATTATTTTTTTAATATATATTTTTTTCCTGGAAAAAAAGGACCTCTGAGCATATTTAAAAAGTTTCCGATTTCGAAAAATAACAGTACATATTTTCTGGTATTTTATTAGAAAAAGTCTTGTTAAGGTAGGAAAATGTTTAAAAAAACGTCAAAAAGACATTTTTTTAAATAGCTTTTTTTCAAAACTTTAACGAATTCTGTAAAGCGCTGTAAGCTTAAAAAAAGTAAAAAGTTGAATTCCGTAAAAAAAAAAGAAGCTTCAAAGTAAGCAAAAATCCATTTGAACTCACTATGAATGAAGTATGAAAGCCTTGTCCAATCGGGCTCTCATCAAAAATTCCCCAAAAAAACATTTTTGACCTCATTGAAATTAACAGACTTCGCAAAAAAGGTAGGAAAGAGGAAGTTTAATCCACTGAAAGCTTTTCATTTTCCATTCATTCTTTCCAAACTTTGTTCTTGCATTTTGGATAGGAACGAATTGGTAGAAAGAGCCTTTTGAATTGGTAAACTTTTTGAACTTTTGTCTTGAATCCAACAAGAAAAAAACGAATAATAAAAATTTATTGAGAAAAGTACAGTAGCCAGGTCTGAAAAATTGAAACTAACTCTGACAGAACGTGTGAGAACGACTTTTTTCGCCTTGAAACCTCTAAAGATTAGTCTATGCTCTCTCTTCAAACATCCTAGCAGGGATTTTCGGACAAACTTTATTATTTGATGGATTCTAAAAAGTTTTTCCTCTTTTTTTCACATCAAAAATTTATTTTTCGTTTTAAAAAGTTTGATTCGGCTAGAATCTTCAGAAGGCAAAGGCTTCTTGAGAAAAAAGAGCCAAAAAGGGTAGGGAATAGAAATTTCGTTTCCAATGGAAGTTTTTGGTTTGAATTTTCGAGAACTGAAATGAAGAATGATGAGAATATTCTCAAAAAGGTCCCACAAAGATCAGTGATCTTACAAATTACAGTATCCCTTTTTGAAAGAAAGAGCAACTATGGGCAGAAAAAGGTGACCTTTTCATCTTCCAGAACTTATTTTTATTCTCTGATTCCGCGAAATCTCCAGAGAGCAAAGGTTCCGCGAAAAGGAAGAAAATGGGCCGAAAAAGCTGGGGGCAAAGTGGGAAAAGGAAGGTTGATCAGATATGCGCGAGCATTGTCTTTTTTGTCCACACATTTTGCATTCGCGGTGTGGCTTTTCCCCCGAGGCTCCACCAATTTTTTCTTCCCTATTATTTTCCGTTCCTATTTCCTTGATTTCTTGCGCATATTTTCTTTCTTTTTTCTGGGAGGAAGTTTTGGAGGTGTGGGTGAGAACGAATGTGAGAGAGAAATCCCGCAGAAAGTGAAGAAAACCAACCTTTTCTATTTTTATCGTCGAGAAAATGGTGAAATGATTTCTATGTGATATATATTGTTCCAAATTTTTTTTCTGTTCTGTTTAAAGGAGCATGGGATAACTATTCAAAGGTTTCAAAACTCGAAAGAGAAAATTTTTGAACAGGAAAAAGCCATTGAAAAAATATTCAGTAGATTTCTAGAACTTATTTTTCAAGATTCAGCGAAATTTCTTTACAAGAACTGGGATCGAATGAATAAAATAAAATAAGAAGGAAAAAAGTGATTTGAAAAATGGAAAAATGAGGAAAAATAAAGCATAAAGGTTCATTCAATCAATAAATCGACAAGCAACCGATGGATGGAAAATGATAAAACACCAAAAAAATTAATTTACATGCATCTTGAACCATAGAAAGTGCTCTATTCATCTTCAAACCATGAGTAAAAAAAATCAAGAAAGAAAATAAGCTTTCGAAAATTCTCCGAGTAAACGCTGACCTGTCGTGTTTTGAAAAATGTCTCACCAAGAGTGAAAACAGGAAACGAATATAAGAAGCTACCGATTACTTATTTACTATTTACATCAAAATAAATCTATTTTCCTAAAAAGCATCTTCGCTTTTTCGAGCAATCATGTAGAGATCTCTGTTAATCAGCTGGAATTTTGAAGAAAAATATTCATTAAAAAAATAAGATTATAAAAAGACTTTTGATTCAGTTTATAGCGACAGTTACTTCAGAAATTTCATTGAAGTATAGACTTTCGAAATCTGAGGTTCGATATCTGAGGTAAGCTGGCAAAAACCAAACGGTCGGTTTTTTTAATTGTGACCGTTTTTTGAAAAATTGAAATTTTCTAGTTAAAAACTGTCTAAGTCACCAAAACGCGTAGTTAGTTGCGGTTTAGTTTGAAATTTTCAAAAACCAAAATTTGCACTTTTTGACTAGTGTTGAATAAAATTTGACGGTATTTTTGGCCGAAAATGGAAAAATTAAGTGACCTTTTGAAAACGAAACGACCAAATTTTTGAAATTCAGACTTCGAAACTGGTCGTATTACGAAGAAATATGTACTTTAAAGCCGTTAAAAGCATGAAAAAGTACAAAATTTCAGCATTGTAAACTTGGAAAAAAAATCACAAAAAAAATCGGCAGAGCATCTAAAAGAATTTTGAAAAACTGCATGAGAAGAAAAATAAATATACAAAAAAATTCCGTAAAACTGAGAAACATATTCAAAATTTCAACATCAACCCAGAAAAAGACGAGGAAAATAGATGTTCTCGAGGAGAAAAGCGGTTTTTTTTCTCCTCCTCCTCTTCTTTCTTTGGCAGGCGTCGGGAGGGAGAAATCGTAAATTTTGACAGATATTCCAGGCCTCAACGACACCTTCTTCAGAATTTAGGGAGAATAGGGACCAGAAAATTGGTCTAGACATGGATAAATTTGAAAATCGATCCTTGAACTTTTTTTTATGAAAAATCACGAGGTCTGAAACCTTTGTTGATCAAAAATTAAGAGAACTTGGAAAACTCTCTTCAAAAGAATAGGAAGATTTGAAGTGGGGGTTTCTCAAGAGGTTATAAACCAAAGTTTATTCATCGCTGGCTTGAGAAATCAAATAATTAGGGTCTTAACAAGAAGAGAGAGTGTGCAAAAAGAAGAGATTCAGACAATATTTCAGAATTTTTCCTAGCAAGACAGCGGTGAATAGACTCTACTTGTTCGGTCAAAAACGCAGGTCAACATTTCTCGAACATCTCGACGAGGAAAACGCTGCAGGAAAATGCAAATTCGACGAATACTACGCATTTTTCTCGGTTCAACCCAAGTTCCCGACGCTCTTTTATTGATATTTCCCGCGGCAGGGACATCTGTTAACAGCTTCACAACACTGGGAAAAGCTTGGAAATTTGCAGGAAAGTTTTTTTAAAAAGATTAAAAAGTCGCGAGATATTTCTGAAATAATCCGGAAATTAATACCTCAAAAAAAGAAAGAGAAAAAGCTTGAAAAATAATTTTAAAAAAATTACAAAAAAACTAAAAAGACCAGAAAAAGCCCTGGGAAAGGCTTGGAAATATTTTTAAAATTTTAAAAAATGAAAAATTCAAGAGGAATTTGTTCATAAATAAATTCTCGAAAAAAATATTTTTAAACAAGGAAAAAAATCAAAATTGTGGGAATTTTTCAAAGTCTCAACTTTTTTTATATTTTTAAATTTAATGTTTGCCAGAAATTCTAAATTAATATTTTTAGGCAAATTCAAGAAAAAAAAATCTAAGCTTCCCACTGAAATTATTTCGGCTAAAAGACTTTTGAAAGGAACCGAAAGAAAATAACTGTCGATTATTTTTTTTGGCCTCAATTTTCCTCGAATTTATTCATTCGAACGACTTCGACAGCTTCAAAATCATCAAAAATGCAAGAACAAAGTTTGGAAAAAAAAGAATGACAAATTGAAAGCTTTCAGTGGATTAAACTTCCTCTTTTCTACCTTTTTCGGTTCAAAAGGATGAAATATAAGTCAAGCAAAATTTTTGCCAGTTTATCGAAATTGATATTATTAATATTAGCTTTTCCTGAATTTAGAGATTCTTGAAAAAAATTCATTCACAAGGTGAAGTGAAAAAAACAAAAACTAGGGTAAAAAAATATTAAAACGGGACATTTCATCCATTGCGTCGACGTGTCTTCAAAGTTGAGTACCGTAACTCTCATCAAAAAAATTTTTTCAAAAGCATATTTTTTTCAAACTATTTTTTTGGCTTATCCAGTTTGTTTAAAGATTTTTTTGAATTGAGTAAAACATTTTACGCACTTCATTCATCAAAATTCAAAAAGCCAATTTCATTTCATCTTTTAATTTTGGGACCTCTAGGAAACGGTAACTTGAATTGTTTCTCTTATCAAAAAAAGAAAGCTCAAAAAAACTCTACACCTTTATATTCATTAAGTTATATTAGTTTACGAAAATCACTCTAGAAAACTTGAATAAATAATTAAACATGGAAATTTCTCAAAAACTCGGATATTACGAAACGAAAATATGAACGCCTAGAAGAAGAAAAAAAAAAGTAAAAAGAAAACCGCCAAAAATTTCATTTCCAAATCGAATTTCCTTTTTTTTGGAGGCCCATTTTTCGAGGGAATCAGTTGCAGCTCGTCAAAATACGAGATGCGAATTATATTTTCAGCCAAATTGAGCATTAGAGTCGCTTGTTGGGATTTCATAACTTCTTCTTTTTTTTTTGGGTTGAATATATATTTTTTGAATCACAAGTTCATTTTATTTTAATTACAAAAGTTTATTAGACATTCCACAATCTGTACAATAAACAAAATAAATAAAACAAGTTACTAGAGAGGTCTTGGCAGGAAAAAACGATTTCAAACGAAAAAGATTCGAAATTGTTGCAAATCTTTAAAAGAGTAAAAGAAAAACTTCATATCCAGTTCAAAATCTCGCAAATTGAAAAGAAATATCAACTTTTCCAAATTTTCTCCTCACTACAGAGGTAAAATTTTCGAAAAGGCTTTTTTTTCTGAAGTTACAAAATGAATTCCTGTTATTTATTTCTTTTTTAAAAAAGCTTACAAAAATGATCACGAGTTCCGTTTCGTGAAGAAAATAACTGAAAAAAAGCGGAACAATCAGCTTTTTTCTGGTGTATTTCAAAACAAAGAAAGAAATTGAAATATTGCCGTTTTTGATTTTCAGTCGGCTCATTCTGTTCATTTTTCAAAAAACGTTTATTAACCCTGTAACCGTGAAATTTGTCTAGGAAAAAGAAATTTTGTGGCTGAAGCAGGAAAATGGTATAAACTGCCTTTCAAAAAAAGTTATGGAAGGATCTTCAGGTCTCAAATTTTTTTATAATAACCAAAATTGGAGGCTAAAACTTTGCTAAAAAAACGATTGTTTCAGAAAAAAATATGTTCAAAAAAACGATAAAATTCACCTAAATTGGTTAATTTTTACCTCATGAAGCTCAAATTTTTGTAGGGGTTTGTTAAGGTTGTATATAGAATTGTTAAAAAAAATTGAAAATTTCCTTATTTTTTCCGAGAAAAATACTTTAGTCAAGGCTCATGTTTGAACCGAAACAGGAAAAGTTTTTGAACTCACACAAAAACGAGGAAAAAAGTCGACCTTCCGGGGCTCGGCCATTCTTCGCGCACCTCCCATTGTGGCGAATCACTCAACCGACAATTTTCTCGATTCCTTTTTTTCCTGCTCGAAAAAGTTTCCCGGTTTTTTTCCCGCGAACAAAGATCATGGGGGAAAAGAGTAAAAATTTATTTTACAGGATATTTTGGTTAGAACAAGTGTTAATTCGGAGGCGACATAGAATGGATGGAAGGGTTTATTTGTCGATCCTCCTTCTCTTTTATTTGCGGAAAATTCGGTTAGTCATGTTGGCGAGGGAGCGACGTTTCTTCATTGTTGAGGCCTGGAAAATGAACCAATTTTTGGAGGATCCGATGAGAAGAAAATCAAAGTTATGGAAAAAAAAGGAATCTGCAGACCTAATCAGCTTATAAAAATAAAGTGAGGCTTCTAAAGAAAAAAAGAAATTGAAAATAACTTTAAAAAAAAGAACAAAAAATGGTAATTTTTCACGCTGAAGCTTAAAAGTTTGCGAAATACGCAAATTATGACAAAAAAGCGCTGTTTATAGCCTTTCAAGCGTCTTATTTCGAAAACCAGCACTACGAAAAATCGTTTTGGAAACTTCCCTTCAGAGTAATAAACTTTCATTTAAACATCCCATCTTTCAAAAATTCCAAGCCGAAAACACTAAAAAGGTTCAAATATCTTCTATTCAAGCTCCATTCATGGGAAAATTCCTACAGTAACCCTCGATTTCCACATTTTCGAGAGTATTTAAGTTCAGTTATAAGCCCTAAAAACCAAAAATTTGAGTGAACAAAGATCAAAGAAAGAGCAAAAAAATACTAAATTTCAGTTTTTTTCATTAGAGATATATTATATTATGAAAAAGATTTTTTTCAAATGAATAATGGTGTTTGAACAGAACCGAGACACAAGCAAAAAAAAATCGTTCCTAAAGAATATTCAACACATAAGCTCAGTTTTTTTGAAAATTTTGCAACAAAAAAAAGTTTTCTTAAAGATTTCGCAACGAAAAAAAATCCTTGACCTCAAGGAAATGTTCTCCCAAAAGTCAGGCAAGAATCGGGCTCACCTTGGGCATTTTCATGGACCCTCGGACGCTCTCTTCGTCGCCAGTTGGCGAGGAAACTTCTGCCATTTCTGTCGCGTAGGCCGATCTCAGCGCCGGCGGCTGTAGACTGGAAAAAGGACACGATATTCCTGTCTCCGGCTGAGAAACCTTACCAATTCCTTCTTCGCAGCTCTTCGATATGATCTCGGGTGACTGCTGACGGCTCATAAGGCTTCTTGAAAGACGACGACGAGGCTGAATTTGAGAAAATAAGTTTCAGAATCTGGAGATGATCATCTCACGAGTGCTGGTGAGTTCGTTGGAAAAAGAGGACAAGCGAGACTTTGAATTACGGTTGAACAGTGGGAATCCGTTGGAGGAGAACGTGTCGTCGGGTTTCGGTTCGTTCTGAGAATTTTGAAATTATGGAATGGTTCGGAAATATTTTTCGTGCAACCCTGAGTGTAGTCCGTTCAGATTTTGAATGTCAAATAGAATGAGGTCATTTGAAAATGCTCTATGGATCGCTCGCTCTCTGATTGGTTTATCGCGCCATCAGGGGCGGAGCTTAAGCGACGACTTGACATTTAAAATCCAAACCGACTATACTACCCATGAGGCTAAAAATAGATTCGATTCCTCATTTTTTCAAAATTTCTGAAAGTCTACTCCTTCTCCTACACCTATTGAGTTCTTCACTTGAATGATCAAAAACGAAACCGAGGTCGAGGTCTTCCCGGAGGCGAGAGACCGATTGTCGTCGTCGATGTTGATCCACATCTTGACGGACTGGGCCGAGGCGATGCTCTGTCGTGGAGTCGGGGCCGTCGACGACGAAATCGAGGACATCCGATCTTCTTCCTGCACAAGACACATATAACCACGAAAATGGAGGATTCCAACAAACCCTGGTGTCTTCTTGGACCGCAGCGCTGGACCGTTTCACTGAAAGAAAAGAAAATTGAATAGAATTTCTTCAATTTCAACTTGAAATTTATTTCTCAAAAGTTCCTGAACATTTTTCACTTCAGATGACACCAAAAGATCGATTTTTTCTCTTTTCTCACCGATCAACACCTCCTGCGTGCCCCCCTCGTCGTTGTCGGTCGTCTGGGTCTCAGATCGGTACATTTCCTGCTTCAGTTTCATCTTATACATCAGAAATGCGAGCAAATTTACCAAGATCTCGAATTTTGACTTGAAATCGTCACGTTCAGTCTGCATATCGATGAGGCGTTTTTCCAGACCCGAATATTCGGCTTTTATTCCTTCCCGTTCAGCCTCCCAGTCTCCATGGTTCCTCTGGAATTCGAACTTTTTTAGTCTCCCCAAAATGTCTCTTTTTTGGATAGTAGCCTCAAAACTTTGAAAAAATTGATCTCTTGCTTCCCCCTAGAAACGGTGCACGTACCCCGAAAAACCGTGCAGGAACATTTTTCTTCAAGTTTTTTTTCGAAAAGTCTTTTTTTTCAGATGGTAGCCTCAAAATCCAAAAATTTGATTTCTCGCTTGCAAATTTGAATCTCAAACCATAAGTGGCCCAAGACACTTTTTTTTAATGGTGACGTCATGGCGCAGGTTCCCAGAAAAAAGGCGCGCGTGCCTCGAAAATAGGCGCACGCTCCCCAGAAATCGGTGTACCACCCCGAAAAAAATTTCCCCATTTCATACCATAAGATCGTCGATTCGAGCTTCTACAATCCTGAGGGCTTCTTCGTGTGTGGCCTTCGCTCGCTGGAATTCTTCCTTGTTGCGAGTCTTCTCATCGGCCAACTTCTTCTCGGCCATCGCCTGCAAAAATTTTCATTTTACTGTCAATCAAAATTCTACATTTTAAAAACTCTCTCTATAATTCAGATCATTTTCGTGAATAAAAAAAGTTTTTCGAGCAAAAATTTCAGGGAAAAAAACCAGCCTAAAAATGGAAAAACCCATTTTTTTGGGGAAAAACTTGCCAAGTCGGTCTGGACCATGTGGATCATCGCCTCGGCCTGTTGGATCGCCTCCTTCCGCAGCGATTTCTCCTTCTCGAGGAGCTCTTTCAACGACGCGACCTGCGAGAAACTCTATCAGGGGTCCGGAAAAAGAAGGTCTTGCCATTTCTTCGAGTTTGGCGTTTTCCTCGGTTTTCGCCGTCAATTCCTTCTCCTTGGCCATCAGAAGCTGCTCTTTGAGCAAAAGATCGGATTTTGTCGCAGCCAAATAGGCGCGAATATCGATCTGGTTACCGTCAGCCTTCAAATAGGAAAATCAAAATGGGAACGAAATCAAAATTGGCCAAAATAGGAAGTTAATTTTCAAAACTTGGGAAAGCTACGCGTTTCTTCATCCGATTTTGAAATATACTGGGAAAACTTTTAGTGGCCACTATAGTAGTCAAATTAATGACCACTTAGGGGGTTGAAAATTAGTGGCCACTATAGAGGTCTAAGTACTACTACTAGACCCCTAAAAATTTTAGTGGCCACTTTAGGGGTCAATGGATCAACATAACTGGCCCAATTTGTTTGTTTAAAAACTATCAGAGTTACTGAAAGGAATACTGGATGAAAAACTACTGAAGTGGCCACTAAATAGAGAACCTCTATAGTGGCCACTAAAACGGAAAATAGTGGTCACTATAGAGGTGGGTTTAGTGGCCACTTTAACGTTCTCTCCAAGTAGTCCTTGGCGATTCTCTACAGTGGCCACTAAAAGAGATTTGAAAAATTCTGATTTCTCTGCGCCCTCTCTTCGTCTACCGACTCTCTCGTGTTTCTCTACTTATTTTCCGGGTAGAGAAAGGAGAGCGCAGACAAGTGAGACTTTTATCGAGGCCAGTGGATTATAAAGCAATTATTATTTACAAAAAGAGACAAAACATAGAAGGAAAATGACTGAATATAGCCAAGAACTTAAAAATATTCCCGAGTGATTTTTTTCCTTCCTGCTTACCGTGACCCGGCTACCCTAATAGGAAATGGCTCAAACAGTTGTGGATTATCAAAAAATTCTTTCTTTGACTAATTTCCGAGAATATTCTACGTTTCAGAGCCTCGAAATCACCTTGATGGTTTCCTCCTTGGCGGCGAGGGACAGTCGATTTATTTCGCCGTACAATTCTTCGACCTGCTCCTTCTTCAGCACTTCCTGTAACGCAATATATTGAATTAATTCAAACGGGAAAAAAACCTCAGCAAGATGTTTTTCCGCGTTTTCGCGTCGTTCGTTCTCCGCGGCGAGGAGCATTTCGAACGTTTCTTTTTCTTTTTTCAGGTCCGCCTCCCATTTTGCCCGATTTTCTTTGTGAGCGGCCCGTTCTGCCTCGAGGAAGCTTTGGAGGTCTTCGAGTCGCTGGAAAATGATCAAAATCATGATTTTTTTTTTATTTGAGTAAAATTCGTTTGCCATGACTTGAGAGTTCTAGAATGTCTGGGTCTCTCTGTTCCCTAACCGGAGAGGTCAGAGAAATATGAAAAAAGCACGTCAAGGTGAGGAGGGCGCATAGAAGTCGCTAAAAACAGTCTCTACCTAACGAAAAATGTTTTTTATTCAAAATTTGAACTAGAAAAAAAACGTTTCTCTTCTTTTTTTCTGAAAATTCATATTGAATCTAGAAAAACCTTGTGCCATGACTGCTTGGTGGTGATCAGCTCGTCCTTGGTCAAATCCTTGGAGAAGAGGGCGTCGTCTCTTTGGGCGACCTGAACGAGTTGTAGATGATCAACTCGGGAAAAGGTACCAGGTCTCTTGTGTGCGCCCTCATGATCTCGATCTCGGAGAGCAGCGACGAATTCTGTTCGCTGAGCTGAGCGATCTCTCCCCGCAGCTTCTCCTCCATCTTTTCCTTCGCTTGGCATTTCTGAACGTTATTATTCGGAAAATTAATGGCTAAAATAAAATTTATACATATGTAGAACTCAATTAGCATCTGACTTCCAAGAAAAAAAAACTTGTGAGGAGTTTGAATCTGAGAGTCAACTCAATATTTAATTAGTCTCAAAAAAACCCTGTTTCGAAAAAAATCGGATTTTTTTGTCATAATTATTAGGGAGCACGAAATCTCGGTCAGATACAGACGGGATTATTACATTTTTCAAGGAGTCGTACTCGTCCCTCGCGTCGACCAACTTCGTCTGGAGACTCTGGATCTCGTTTTCCAGCTTCCCGGAACCTTCTGCCAATCTTCTCTCGGCGGCTTCGAGATGTTTCAGCGCGGACTTCAACTGAAACCGCAAAGTTGATAAACTCTCTCAAAAAGGAGATGAACAATGCGGACAAAGATCTTTCAAAAAAATTTTTAAAAGCGAAAGTTTGGCGGGATTAGGGGCAACATAAAGGGCGCTCAGAGCCCTACAAAGACCACTCGAAAGCCCGCAATAAACAATAAAGCAAAAAAATAAAAAAATAAATATTATTTTGGCACATAAATATTCCCAGGACCTAAATTTTTTTGCTTCAGGAAATTTAAAAAAAGTTCAATTTTCATTCAAAAACCCCTTTGATTAAATATTTACTACAAAAAAACCCATCAATCACATTTTTTTATCTTTACGAATCTTATAAAAAAATCTTCTTTAAATAATGTTTAGAATCAGATGATGAAACATATCTGCTTCGTTAAATAATTCATACGAAGCCCTAACATTCTCGGACATTGGTGCCAAAAATCTGGACGTTTCTGAGCATTTCTAGGGATCACATAAAAGTTCTGACGCTGCTAAGGGGTCACCAGGCTTGTGCGTCAGGCCGGGCTTTGGGCCTTATTTTTCAGGAAAAAAAGCCTGCGTGTGCTCAGGGCCGGGCCGGGCTTCAAAAATTTAAAAATTTCTTTTGAAAAAAAATTTTTCACCGAAATGTGACTTTTTACCTCTGAAATCATAGTTTTTGTTGAACTTTAAGTGAAAAAAATGAGCAAAAAAACATAATTTTTTTGTCGTAAAAAAACTTGATATTCGACTAGAAAAAAATTGCGCGCTCGGGTCATTTTTGAGGCCCCTCTAAGGCCGGGCCGGGCTTACGAAATGGTCGGGGGGCCGGGAGGGTGACGGGCCGGCCCTCGCACAAGCCTGGGGGTCACTAGAGACGCTCAGAAACTTCTATTTTGCGTTATAATCCATCAGTTAAAACTGGGGATCTCAAAGTCTCACGCTGATTTTGGTCTGATCGTGAGAGTCCTTTTCTTCGGATAGAAGTCGCGAGACGGTGTCGAGTTGCTCCTGAAGGGAGGCTCGGTTGATCTCCAGGATCTGTCTCTGACAAGTTTCCGAGGAGCGGAGCGAGCGAGAGTCTTCGGCCCTGGAAAGCGAAAATATTGTGGGAACTGTCAAGCCATTTTAGAGGGAATTATGAAATAATTATTGAAAAAAATCGCTCAAAATCCTTACAAAGATTCATCAAATGCAAACTTTAAGATATGAATTTTTGATTTTGACGGTTTCTTAAGAATCACAGGTTTCTATGACTAAAGAGGATTATTTCAGAGGACGTTCCAGAGCGCATAGAGCAGGTTAGAGAGCGCTATGAACTCGGAGAGAAGAGATTTTTACTCTCCTCGTTCTACACACTGCCTAGATGCCTGCGTAAATTTAACAGAAAATGGCTTGACAGCGCGCAGATCCTTAGACAGTGTGTAGAACGAGGAGAGCAGATCTCTCCGAAATTACCGTGCTCTCTAACCTGATCTGTGCGCGCTGGCGTGCCGTTTTAATTCACGTATGTTCTTCTTCAAGCCCGCCAAATCTTCCGGACTGAACTGCTACCTCTTCGTGACGTCCTTCAGCTGTCGCTCCAGGGCCTTCACGTTTTTCAAAGCTTCCTCGGTCCGCATTTCAGCCTCGTAAAGTTTGTGACGAGCCTTGGCCGCCTCAGCTTCGGCCCGATAGATTCGAACTCGCGGCGAATCGACCAGTTCAATCAGAGGACTTCTTCGCAAACGACTGGTGCTCATAGGCAATGGCCGTCTGGTGCTGTGAGGCGTCATGAATTGTGCGCCTTGAAAAGTCTCTTTTATGGATCAAGAAGCAGGAAAATAATAAAGGAGTGGTAAAATTTAGAGATGAACCGGGAAAAAAAAAATTCGTAAGAGAAAGTTTTTCAAAGGGAAAAAATTGAGCAATCGAAAAAGTGGATAACTATGTACCTGGGTCTACCTGAATGATGAAAGATTTCTAATTAGGTTACCCTATTTCAGAAATTTTGGAAATCTCCTATTTTGAGGATTTTCTCAGGTTTTTTTATAAAATTTTTTTGAAGAAAAGGAATTTCAGGGTTTTCTTGAAGCAACCTATGACTACGACCTATACATCAAACTCCGAAAAATCTTAATTTTCAGTAGGAAACGATCGAATTCACCTGGAGTCCTGACCGCCTCCGTGGGGGAATCCGAGCTTTCGGCGATTGGAGTCGTGACCGTCGTGACGTTTTCCTCGGATTCCTCCAAAATCGGCGCCCACCAATTGTCGGAGCTGTCTGATTCCATCACCTCGTCAATTTTTTTAAACTTAAAAATTCCCGTTAATCATCGCCAAAACAGAAAATGCCCTCACAACAGCGCAAATAGGTTTTTCGTCGAAAAGGCCCTTCTTTTCGTTCATAGCCGAGATCAAATCACGCATGATATCCCCCTGCTTTTTCCTCATCGATTCCAGGTAGAGCACGAAGAACTGTGAAATAGGTTTTCAAGACCGGAAAAAAACTTTTTTCGTGAACAGACACGGATTTTTCTAACCAAAAATTGGCAAGTTCTGAAAATTTAATTTCAGCTTACAAAAAATTCCTGGTCCTCGAAAAATTGAGCCATTATTCTATCGCATCCAAAAGTTCTCACTACGTTTAAAGTCCATATGTCTTTAATGCAAAATTGAAACCTTGCTGATTTCGAACAAATTTCCATTCGCCGCCTCAACCACGTCCATGTCTCCACACAGTACATTGTGTTCAAAACTGAACTTTTTATAAAGATGATCGAAAAATTCGTGACTTTTGACAAAGGGTTTAACGTCTTCTTCCCAGCTGAAATCCTGATTTTAAAATAATCCAAAACAATTTCGCTCACATCAAATCGGCAAGGAGTTTTCCATGGCTTTTCCACACATCCTTGAGATCGATGACTTCGCTCAGCTTCTTTTGCTCACCAATAAAATCGATCTGAAACAAATCAATAAAAAAAACGAAAGACCATCAGCCTAGTCACCAATAATTTTATTGATCTAATAAAGGCCTCGTTCACGTCTGGCATCTGTCCGTTGAAAGACTGAAGACGCTGAAATATTCCACAAGTAATTTCCCACCTTTTACAACTCAGAACGACAAGTTTCACATGAAAAAAGACGGGAAACAAGTAATTTCCGTTAACGGCTAGCTTCGGACAGCGAACGCAAAAAAATTGCTCCAAAACAAAAATTAGTACTGTTTTGGAGCAACTTTGGCCCGCCGATGAACACGAATTATCGTTTTGAAGCATGTTGCGTTTCTCATAAGAACAAGCCACTACTACTATATATTGTATATATATATATATATTTATAGAAAAAAATATAAAAGGTTGAAGGTTAGAAAAAGTTTGAAAAAGTGAAACTGCCGCCACATTGAGAAATTGTGCAGTGGAGCGCATAGTACAATACTGAAATTAGAGAAAAAAAAGTTGCGCGCTTCCTTCAAAACTGGACAGTTTGAAAATGCCTCGAAACACCTAAAAATTGACTAATCTATAATTTGATGCTCAAGAAATTTATTTGAATGAAGTCGGTCTTGAGAAATTTTTGGTCCTCAATATATTAACGTCAAAGTTTGTCAAACTCCAATATTGAACAAATATATTTTTTCGAATCCTAATTTATTTATTTTCTAGAGTTTTTTTCTCCGTTATCGCTTTTTCTTTTCTTTTTTTTTGATTTATCGAACGTTTAAGAAAAGAAAATGTTCGATTCGGACGAGAACGACGAAAGCGAAGAAGATGTGGAACAACAAGATTTGCATGAGGAAGACGTCAGAGAAATAAATCAGCATCGTGCTTCCACGTCTCATGACAGGTGAAAAACGTCCTAGTTCTCTAATAAAGTTGTTTTCAGTTGGGGGAAGATTTCCGTGACCCGTCCATCGGGAAAAGAGAACGGCTTCATGTTGTTCGCCAAAAACGAAGGCGGCCGAATTTTTTATCAGCGATATAAGATGCGTTTTGATGTCAAAAAAAGTTTCGACATCGGAAAAATGGACGGGATTTGGAGGGTTTTGAGACCGATTTTTCTGGATAATACAAAGAGAGTGTTTTAGGAGCTCAGCGAGGAAGAAAAAGACAGGTACAAGCTTAAAGCGAAGCAAGCCAACGCCAATGCCCCGGCCGTCGCGGTATGATTTTATTTCGATGAAGTTGAAATCAAGAAAATAATGGAGGAAACTTGAGAAAGTTTGAGGGAAAGGAAAATATAAGCAATTGTAGAAATACGTTTTCATAAATAGAAAAAGATCTATAGAAGAAAAACGAAAAGAGGGAAAATAAAACAAACTATCGAGGAACCTCTATTCTCATTCTAGAGGGACTAACTGTTATAAAACAGGATCTCCGCGGGTGTGCCCTAATTTAGCCCGCATAAACACATCTGGTAGAAGAACCGAGGCACAAATAGCCTCCAAAACACAGGTTTTATGCGGGAACACTCTTTGGGGCAGCGTGAGAGTTGTTCTAAAATTTTTAAGAGTTTTCTAAAGGCCAAAAAGCTTTTTTCCATGTTATTCAGGTCATCTGAGACTTTTGCATTCAAAAAAACTTCAGAAAGAAATTTCCAACCTTTTTTCAAAAACTTTTAGAGAAACTTTGAAATTAATTATTATTCTCACATAGTTTTAAATCTGCAGAAGCACCGAAAAAAACCTTGGCTTCTCGACGAGCCAATAATAATTGGGATCGTCCTCAGGAATATCTGGAGAAGAAGGTTTTTTCAATAGTTTTGAAAAAAAAAAGCTAGTTTAAGCTCGAAAAATCGGAAAAACACCGTGTGACGACCGTCCCCAAGTACTTGGTGAGACCGGCTCCTTCCGAATTGGTATCCATTCATTTTCGAGTTTAGTTATAAGGTTAATTCATCCTCAGCCCTGCTACGAGGATGACATCGCCGATTTCCGCAGTAAACAGGTGAAACGTCTCCAGGTTGGGCTGCAAATCCGCATTGAATCAGGAGGTCTTTAGAACTTTCAGGGTCTTTCATTTTTCAAATGAAACAAAAATTCATATCTCGGTATCTTAAGATTCATTTAGTGTGTTCCGCGGTCGCGTTTCAAAGAAACTGGGAAAATTTTTAGCGGCCACTATAGTGGTCAATGGATCAACATAACTGGTCCAATCTGTTTGTTTTAAAATTATCACAGTTACTGGGAGGAATACTGGATGAAAAACTACTGAAGTGGCCACTAAAACGGAAAATAGTGGCCACTATAGTGGTGGGTTTAGTGGCCACTTTAGTGTCCTCTCCAAGTAGTCCTTGGCCAGCCTTTATAGTGGCCATTAAAAATTTTCACATAAAAGCAAAGGTCTTGAAGCGAAGTTTGGTCAATTTTGATTCAATTTAGTATACGGTCTTTTTTTGAAAAAAAGGCTTCAAATTAGAACGGGATCTGAAGCGAAGATCCCTTTGAAACGTAAAAAAAAGCAAAAATATTAACTATGAAACTTTGAACTTTCCAGTTCACCATTTTTGATTTAGTCAGCTTTTAAAAGTTGATCCCCATTTAGGCGAGATGGGAGACAGGAAGTTCATGGAACTCGAAAGACACCTGATCTCCGTCTTTCCGATCGCCTGCAACACGTTTTCCGTCGACGAAGCCGTCCATGCCTATCCGGCCGAAATCGCGCTCACTACCTTCAGTTTCGAGCAAGGTTTTCAGTGTCCCCTTGAGCCGAAAGGCCAGAATGAGGAAATTTTGAGGCGTCATTCATAGCGAATCCAAGTTTGTCAAGTTCGACCCGCAGTTCTTCTACAACTCGAGAGTCGATGACCCCTTTGACCACAAAAACGAAACTTCGAGAGAGAATTTCGGCAAGAAACGAGTTTTTGCCCGCGAAATGAATAAGGGAATTTTGTAGCCCGTTTTCTGGGAGTCCCTTCAAGCGGGCCGCAGCCCGGGCTGGCCGAACCACCCGATCATGTCTGGGAATGGATCGAAAACTTTCTCCCTAGAGATTCCAGTTACGTTTTCTACGACGCCCGCCATCTCATGTGGGTGGTGAGTGATTTTTCGGCTTTTTTCTGAACAAAAAGTTGGAAATTTCTCTAGTTTGAAATATAACTACTTGTCAAATAGGAGAAGCCAACCAATAACAATGAGAAAAATCTTTTTGAAAAAGTTTTTCTTTGAGCCACTCACACATGCGATGAGCATGAGAAACCAAAGACTTTCAAAAAAATTTTTAAAAATATGTCCCAGATAGATGTTTCACTTTACAGTTTTCACAGATTTTTTTCCTGTTGAAAAAGTCCTTTAAAAGAACATGGGTAGATTTAAAAAATGGTCTTGATTCGAGAAAAACGTTTAAATTTTTTTATTTTAAAGTCGTTTTCATCAGATAAAATACAACAAAGTTGTCAAAAAAAGGATTTTTTTTCATTTTCGCGTTTTAAAAACGGGCTCCGTTTCTCAGTTTATTTCCCACCACATAAAATTTCATGATTTTTGCGAAATTAAAGACATGTTATTTTGCTGCGATCCTTAATATCAAAAAAAGTTTCCTTTTTCTGTAGTTTTTTTAACAAATGAAGACGTCCTGCGGTTCATAAGATTTGAAAAATGGGATAAATATCTTATTTTGATTTTCCGACTTTCCATGAGAAGAGAATTCGTACAAACGAAGAGCTTTTTCCTTCTCAAAAACGGATTCCATCCGGTTTCAGCTGCCCGCTTTGAGAACTCTGGCAGCACGCTGCGGACCTGAAGTCATTCAAAAGTTCAGAGGTACGGGAAAAATTGGGTTTTTTCTATCTCTTTTCTCTTCAGATACCATGGACTTCCTGATCTCGCTTCAGGACTTTGTTATCGCGGTTTCTACTCAAGTGGAGGTCGAAAAACAGTGGTCGAAAGAGCAAATCGATGCCCTTTTTCGAGTTGGTTACTGTTATGATGAATGTAGAAATAGAATGTAGAAATTCTAAGTTTTCTTCAATAAAAAAGAAAAAAAATTTCAAATTTATTGTTTTCACAATGAAACTTGTTCTTCTTGGTCTGATCCAGTTTGTAAAACCTTGAAAACCAGAAAAAATCAGAATTCTCAGGAACGCCAGAGTTGTCCCTCGAGAGATTTGGGGAAAAAAGCCCCTACAGTGAAGTTTAAGTGGCCCTTTTAGGATTCTGACGTCAAAATCTCGAGGGGTCCCTATAGTGGTCTTCAATTTTTTTTGTATAGATTTGAAAATTAAAAATACATGGAGGGACCGCTAGCTTCTACTCCTGAAGAGGGTGCTAACGGAAACCCCTAGAGTGGTCACTTTTGAAAGTTTTAGCGCCCTCTACAGGGAAGTGGGAGGGGCCGTCAAGGGCTCCTAATGTTGCCCCTCTAGGGACCACTCGAGCGTTCCTAAATTGATGAATTGATAAATTTTCAAAAAATTTAACCTTCGCAAAAAATTGGAAAAAGTTATTTTTGTTGTATTACCGAGATAAAAGGAAAAAAAAACAAAAAAGAAAGAAAAAAATGAAGAATTTCAGGGAAAAATGTTCAAAAAATTATCAATCTTTGAACAACAAAAACACGAAAAAATCAATTATGAACGCCTATCTTTCCTCTCAAATATTCCTTTTCTCTGAATCTCAAGCGCTTCAGAACCGCACGATCATTGGACACAACAGGATGAGTTGTGAGTTCCACCAAAAACGAAGAACCGACCCCGATTTACGCTACATCTGTATGAAGGAACACGGCTTCATTGCCTGGTAATGGAAATATTTTCCAAAAAAAGGTCAAATCTAGAACTTCAGCCACCTTTTCTTCAAAGCCCTGAATGCGGTCAAAATGCCCCGCTTTGACTACAACGACGTTCATAAAATGTGTCTCGAGGGTCAGGAAATCAATAATCGGATGTGAGTTCTAGGTCTTAATTAAAAAAATAAATAAATAAAAATTCTTAAAAATTAAAAAAGAGGATATTTGATAGGACAAGCACGGAATGAGGGATTTTTTAAACCACTATAAAGGTTTAATCGAAATCCTCTTCATGCTAGAGTCTTTTGGTCTGACTTAATCATCAATTTTTGTTGAAATTTCAAGTTTGCGAGTAGGTAAAGCATACCCTTACTGTATAAGAATATTTTTTTGTTTTTTCCACGGATTCCGACGTTTTTCAGCCCGAACGCGCAGCCAATGACCCGTCAGAACGTGGCCGATAGTCAAAGGGCCCGTATGGAAAGATCCGAAGCGGCCCTGGCGAACGGCGAGGGGCTTCCCGAAGAAGAGACGTCGGACGCCGACGAAGATGTCTCCGAAGGGATGTCCGAACCCAGAAACGGTCTCTTTCCTCGAAAAAAAAATACGTGCATGTTCAATTGCTTTCTCGAGTCAAAAGGGCTTCTGAATGAAGCTCGGGAGTTTTTTTTCTCTTTTTGGAGCTACTAAAGGAAGTTTGAAAGCCCTATCAATTGATTTTAAGCCTTCAGAATATCTCACTTTTTTTGATTTTCAATGAGTTTTTTTGAAAAAAATCGTTAATGAATAATTTTCAAGGCATTATGGATTCTTGGCAGCCCATGGAGCGACCCTCGACGCCTTGTTTGGAACTTTACCATCCGGAGTTGGTTTTTTTTCGTTTTAAGAGCGTCAGAGTGGTCACTAGAGGGGCTAGGGCAAAAAACCCCTATAGTCGGCTGAGTAGAGCTCCTTATAAAAGTTTGGACCGAACGCCTATGGTCTGTTCAGATTTTTAATGTCAAGTGCAATGACGTCATTCAAAAACACTCTGTGGATGGCTCGCTCTTCGATTGGTTTATCGCACCATTAGGGGCGGAGCTTGAGCGACGACTTGACATTCAAAATCTGAACAGCCTATATTCACTTAAAGCACTTAAAGCCTCTAGCGGTCTTTAAATGCCCCCCCCCCTTGCTCTTATTTTTGTTCCTCCAGAGTAGCCACTAACTAAATCCCCTTAAAAGGCCACTTTTGCAAGCCCTGTAGGGAGAGGTAAGGCAGTCGTCTGAGTGGAACATACAAGAGTCTATACGGTTGCCCTCCAGTGAGCACTCTGGGGCTCCTAAGTCAATCCTATACTTTTTAACCATGATTTTCAGCGTTTCTGACAAGTTTTCGTTCGTCGACACGAATGCGTTGAGCGAGCTGATCAAGCTCTCCCGTAGGAAATGATTGAAGTAACATCCGAATCTTGTCATCACTAACTCCCAGTTACACTTTCTTACCGACGTGTTGTTCTTTTTATGCTTTTGTGTGCCTTTTTTGCTCGCTTGTTGTCAACTGTTGGATTCTTTCCATCAGATAGTTATGCTTTAGCCTTTTTTTGCTCACTTTGAAATAGTCGGCTTCATCCGCAATAAACTCATTCGAAAAAAAAAACTTGGATGAAAGTTGTGGTGAAAAATTGTATTGGTCACGTACATTTTGTCGGTTTTGTTTGAAAAAGTTCAAATTTTACCGCGGAAGTATTTCCTGAAAGTTTTTCCTATTAGTGAACCAATTTCTTTGTTCAAGAGTTAAGCGATCAATTGAGATTTATCTGCAATGTGGAAACTTTTTCCGGCAAAATAATAATTTTTCAGATTACAAGTGCCGATGGAAAATAATATACTCGATGTCGACTTCTCTTTTATTTCTGAAAAGGATGAATTGAGTGATGTGAGGTTTTAAGTTTTTTGAAAAGAGGGTTATTTTGATGCTTTGAAAATCCCTGTAGAAGTTTTGAAAGCAAAATGAGAAAAGTTTTCAAGACAAAGAATTTTTTCTGATAAATAGGCTTCTGCTCCTCCAAACAGCACAAAAGTTGAATCAATCTTAATTTTCTCAGGTACTAATCAAATCTACTCGATATTTCTTCGCTGGAACATCTTTCCCTCCTGATTTGCTTCAAGAATTCGTTTTGGCTTGTAAATCGGACGAAAATGTTCTTCCTGCAATGCTTGAAAATGTTTTTTGCTCGCCCCTCGTTTCTCATTTCCCAGTCGCGAAAAAGTTCCAGCGTCACTTCTTCAAAAAACTCCTCAGACTGGTTTGAAATCCTATGATTTTTCAAACAAGAAGAAGATTTTCAGCTTGAAGAAAGCGATTGTGAGGTACCCGACAAGCTTTATGACATAATTGCCGGTTCCATGTGTGAAAGTGACGAAGAGAGGAATTTTTGCCACAAGATTTACCTACCCGAAGATTTGTCTGAGAATCGGGCATTGGCAATAATCCAAGAATCCGTACTTCAATTGTCGCGCGGAACTACGGGATTGTCTGTTTGGCAGGTTTCGCATTCTTTTTTGGAAGCTCGGAGAATTTTCAAGGCGTGTTCAATGAAAAAAAAGGGAAAATTGTTGCGAAACAAAAGTTAGAACTTTTTTAAGCATTTTTGGTGCGCCAATGAACACGCTTTCGTGTTTTGAAACTTGAACGCGCCATCAATAATCTTTGTTCGATTTTTCGTGAAAAAACTCAAATTTCCGGAGGCGCAAATTCATTTTTGAACCATCTTTCGCGGTTTCTTTTCTGTAGAAAACTGCAAACTTCCCAATAAATCTACCTTCCGTAGTCTTATTTATAATAAATTTCACGGGTTTTGATCAATTTCAGGCGTCTTGTGACCTGGCGAACTTGATGCGAACCATGTACCTGGAAAATAAGACCGTCGTTGAACTTGGCGCCGGGTGCGGCCTCGCCGGAATCGCCACGGCTGCTTTTTTCCCAACCTCAACGGTCTATTTGACGGATTTCGACGAAAACGTCATCGATAGGATATCTTCTAATATTGAAATTAACCGATCTCAGGTTGGAGAAAATTAGAAATCGTTGAAAAAAAGCAAATTTGAAGAACTCCACGTGTCACAACGCTCACGTCAAGAAATTAGATTGGAAAGAAGGTTACGATTTGGACGAATCGACCTTTGGAAACGTCGATGTTGTGATTGCCGCAGGTTTGTTGAGAAAGGGGAAAAATTATAATTTGTTCCAAGATCCTTTGTTGTTAAAAAGTTTACAAAGGCGCTGTAATTTCGCGAAACATAAAAAAATCACTGAGAGCCGCTTTTTTTTTCTTTAAAAACTTCAAGGAAGATTTTCATGTTTTCAAGCATCTCAATTGGAAGGTCGTTCTACTTGGGAACTTCAGAAGAAACTTTCCAGATGTTGTCTACGATCGCGAACTTCTCCGCTCCTTATGTGTAACAGTGAGAAGAATTTTGGAAACTTCAAGATGTTCTTACGCCATTTTCGCCTCGACTTTGAGGGATTCCGCAACTCTTGACTCTTTTTTGGAAACTTTAGGTATGATCCGGCTCTTTTGACGGTCCAGTCTGTGCAGACTTTGAGCGTTAATTTTTCGCTTAAGCTCCGCCCCTAAAGCGCAATAAACCAATTAGAGAGCTAGCAATCGAGAGAGCCTTTTCGAATGACGTCATTGTACTTGACATTCGTAATCTGAATAGACTATAATTCGGAAAAATTCTCGTTTCTACGAATAATAAACCTTTAACAAGTAACATCTGAGAAAAAAAGCGAATCGGACGTGTCGGGGCATTTCTAGTGACCACTTTAGTAGCGTCAACACTCTTAAGGGATCCCTATAATTGCTCAAAAACGTTCGGAGCACGTTCGGTTTAGTTGCCGATGTTCGAGTTGTAGTCCGTTTTTCGCGACTTGAAAGGGCGGGACTTCTCTGGTTCCTCCTCGTCTCTCAGCAACTCTCTTATTTTGAAGTGCTATTTCCATGTTTCTCTGACCTCGCCGGTGAGGGAACAGAGAGACGCAGGCACGCGAAAACTCTCAAGTCGCGGCGGACGGACTATATTTCAAGCAAAAAATCAAAAATGAACTTCCAGGCAAGACCCATTTGATCGTTTTCGAAGTGCTCCGCTATCAAAATTCTCAATACACCTTGAAAGATGGCATTTCAATACCCTCTGAAACAATTTTCCCATTCTGCTCGTCTTTTGATTCGCCGACCATTTTTCATAAAGTCCGTCTTTCTCCATTCAACTTCTAAGTTTCACCCCAGTTGGAAACAGATTGAACTTGCACCCTTTATATGTTCTTAACATTTTGCTAATTTGAAGAAAGTGTTAATAAAAAAATTTTTTTTTCAAAGTTTTACTTCAAAGGTGACTGTTTTTACAGAGCAGTGGTCCCTATAGGGGTTTAGGGTTGACCCCAGAGCCGCTAAAGCTCAATTTTTGAAAGTTCTCATAATGTTCATAACAATGATCGACTAACAGAACCCCTATAGGGGCCACTTTCGCAATCTTTAGTGCCGCTATAGAGGGAGGAAACATGATTCCTTGGGGAAAACCTACAAGAGATTTCGAAGTAGCCTTTCTAGTGACCACTGTGGTGTTCCTGGGGATTTACTAGGAATAATGTTTTTATATTTAAAGTGTAGGTGATGTTGCAAGGTTTGTTCTCGTCGTGTTACACCTCGGCTATTCCTGACCTGGAATGCGACAAATCACGGCGGCGGCTTTCCAATCAGGAAGCGGAACCAGGATTTGTTTTGGGACCTCTCTCAATGCAACAAATGGACCAACTGTTGCCGATTCAAAGGTCGTCTCAATCAGTTTGGCGCCTCAGAATAGCTCAGTCAGGTTTTTTTCCTTGTGCAGTCGTATAGTGCGTTCAAAATAGCTTGCTGGAAGTTTTTTGAACTGGAATAGGCTCTTTTCACATTTAGTTCACTCATGGCTCCTTCGAAAACCCTCCGCAAGCAGTTTAGAATGCGCTATTTCTTTTTTGATCTGCTAAACGAATTTTTTCTCAATTTCAACTTTTTTTTTCAAGTCAACAGTAGCTGTCAATCAATGCAAACTTGTTGAGAAAATCAAGAAATTTGGCTTCAATCAACGCCAAGGAAAAAATGTTCGTCTTTCTGACCTCATATTTGGTTTTTTCCGCATCTTTTGATTGTATAAGTATTTTAGAAGCTTGAAAGGTTTTAGTGAGAATTTTGAGATTTCGGAAATTGCCGTAGACGCTTCTCTTAATTAATATACATTGTAAGGTATTTTTTTGAGAATCGGCACTTTTAAGATTTTTAATAGACCTTCTCAAGCCACTTTTTTTTCGCACTGAAAGCAGTTATTGTTTTTTTATTTTCTAATGAACAAGGTATCTTTTAAAAACTTTTTTCTCGGAATTTCATTTCTTCTCCTTGATTTCAAGCAAACTTTGTCAATTTTTTTTTTCATTTTTTGGAAATTTTAAACTTTTCTTTCAAACTTCATCACCCATCTGCGCTGTCCTAGGGATAATCAGGTTTTGTTTGACATAATAATGTTTTTTGCGAGGTTTATGAATCTTCTTCATCAATAAATGTTTATTTTTACAAACATCTCAAAATCTGAAAATTCAATAACGGATCACTCGAAGAGCAGATGCTTACACTTTTTCCGAACCTATCCATCTGAGCCCATCAAAAACATTGCATATGACTCCCTCAAAACATTGATTATTTTTTCAAAACATAAAACGACGTCATCGGAATTTAAACCGGAAAAAAGAGCCGCCGACACGTGCCGCGACACGTGCGTTGTTTGTCCTAACGATATCCGCCTCGATATCTCTTTTTTTCGCCTTTTCAATATGGCCTATCAAATATTTATTCGTTCGTTGAATCTATTTACTATCGGTTTTAGATCGTTTCTTCTTCTCGCCCGAGTTTTCTCCTTCTTCCGATTGGCTATTCATTTTGCTCTTGGTGGTTGACTTGGAGATTCTGCATTTCTTTGGAACTCCAAAGTGGTCCATGTAGGGGCAACCTTAAAGATCTTTGAAGGGTCCCCTCTAGGGCCCTCCGTACCTCCTTTTATAGTGGTTCCTTTTTCAAGCTTTAGTGGTCCTTTAAGGGTTCAAATTAGTGGCGCCTATAGGGGAGTATGCTGGTGGTCCCTTCTCAAATTAGCGTTACTTTCTCGGACTTTGGTAACGGGAATCGGACTTGTCGGGGCATTTTTAGGGATCACTTAAGGGTGCTGACGCTACTAAAGTGGTCCCTAGAGTTGCTCATAAACGTCCGGAGGGCGTTCGGCTTTCGTTACCGAGGTCCTAGGGAATGAAGAGATATCAGCAGATCAGAATGATCAAGTTTGTCATTCAATCATGGATTTAAAGGCCCCTTCAGTAACACCTGTTTTTTGCCCCTATAAGGACCACTATGTAGGGAACGTTGATTCGATGAAATTTCTCAATGCTCAATTTGATAATTATAGAAAAAAATTTGAAAAAACACTGTAGTTTGTCAAGTATCATGAATCATTTTCTGAGAACTTCATTTCCAGCAAAAGCTTTCTTCAAACCGTTTTCTCCGTTCTTTCACCTCTCAACTTTTTTTTCAAACTTGGACTGCACTCAAGTTTTCTGTTGATTTTCACGCTGAGCTGAGGCGCCAATACTGTAGCACATGATCCTTGGGAGAATCATCTCAAGGGTTTGGTTATTATCCTTTATCAACAGGAAGGTTTTTCTTTTTCGGCAAAAAAATTGTTTGTGAGAGTCAAAGAGCTTTGACCTTCTGAAAAATATAGGTAGTTTTGGAAAGACTTGGAAGTTTTTTTAACATCAAAATACCTAGAAAAATAGAAAAATAACCTGGAATTTTCAAAGGAGAACGGATTAATTTCGTGAAAGGTCTCGAAACGAAGAGCCATTTTCAGTGTTAATTTAAGTCTAGTAAGACGTCTGCGCTTTTCAAAACTACAGTGAGATTTTCGAATATTATCTCTTCAAAATCTTTCTCAAAATTGGTTTCTGAGGGTTGTGAAACTCTGAAAAGTCTCAAATTACAAAATTTTCGAGAAGTTAAGGGTCAAAAAATCAGGGAAAAGCTTGCCAACTGTCGCGCCAAACAACCTAGAAAAGTCCATGGCAATATTGGCTTGTTGTTCATTTTTCCCATGTCCTTTTATTTTCAGCCTGCTGTCGAAATCACTTATTTTCTGTTAGCTCGGTGTCTCTTTCCACTTCAGAAGCATTCTTTGAACTTGAATGTTGGTTTTCTTGCAGTTCTTCCTCGATTTTTCCGGTATTCAGTGAATAAGCCTATTATTATTATTATAGTCTGTAAACAATGACTTTTCTCTATCTTTTTGTCAATGACTTCTGTCTCTAATTCAAAGAAAACCACCAAAATTATTGAAAATGTCACGTTTCAAGCATTTTTTTTTACTCGGAATCTGAAAATTACGCAGATTTAGGTCCTCAATAGGTTTTGGCCCTCCAAAAGAAGTCCAGACCACTTTCTAGGGTCTACCGAGCCGCAGGAAAAATGAAAATTATTGCCAAGACCTTCACGAATTTTTCCTTTTCTCTTTGAATTTTCTAAGCAGATATTTTAAAGTCACGAACTAAAGACAAAACTTTTGAAAATTCTTCGAAAATTTCTGAAGGAGAAGCTCAAGAACCGCTGATTACACAGCTTTCAAAGGGCGCTTGTCATCCTCGGCCGTCAACTTCTCATTTTCAAAAATGCGTTCGCCCCCAAAAACAGAAAGCGGATACCCGCGAGTTATGAATGACAAGGATAAAAAGCCTGAAAGTTCTGCCGGGATGTCACGATTTGTCACGCAAATCACGCAAAACGGACTGTGCGTCAAACGCCCACTTGAAACCCATTTTTTTCTTCTTTTTTCCGCCAGTGCAAATATTACATTGTTATTTAACACGCCGCTCTACAAGCCTCGACACTGACCCTTCAACTTTTTGAGCTTTTTGGAGTCTGAGAATTTTCTGGAAAGTTTTTTTTTTTTGAAATGAAATGAGTGCCTTCTTTTGAACCGTTTTGAGGCGGTAACAAAAATAAAAATAGTTCAAAATTAGAAAAATATAAAAAAAGAAATTATATATAATTTAATTCTGAGGATATTCTGGAAGCTTTTTTCTGGACTTGCTCTTTTTTCGAATCATTTTGAAGTGGGCGTTATTAAATTTGAGGTTCTTACGATCTTCCATGGACTTTCATACTTTTTGAGTTTTCTGCAGTCTGAGAATTTTCCTGGAAAAATACTTTTTTTTTTGAAATTACTTGAAATGGGTCTCTTTTTTTAAACCGTTCTGATCCATTTTAAAAATCATCAAATTTTACATGGAATCTTCAACTTTTTGAGCTGTGCGAGATTCGGTGGACGTTCTTTCGATCCGCTTTTTCCGTTTACTGTTTCAAAATAACTTTATTCAAAAGTTTGGTTCTTCGGACGCAATTTTTCGGACATATCTCATAAGACAACTAAAATTCAGTTAATAATACTTTTCGATCCGTTTCTACAGTAATCTGAGCTTTTTCGTGTCATGAGCCCGCTGTTTGAAGTCAATATAATTTCCTGGGTTTTACTGACAAGGGAGTTTATTTCACTTTATGATTGGAATTTCCTTGAAATAGCCCAGAATACTTCTTGATGTACAAAATGGTGGTCCTGAAAGTTTCAACCTTTAAGACTTTCTAGTTTTCCTAGAAAACAGACTTGGAGCTCAAAAATGATGTTTTTTCAACGCTTTGAGGGTTTTCCTTGGCTCTGAGGTGTCATTTCTCGGAAACTAGAAAAAAATTACAGGTTGAAATTTCCAGGATCTCCATCTGGTACATCGAGAATTGTTTCAGCCTATTTAAAATGACCTTACTTGTGAAGTTTATGAATTGTTTATCGGCTTTTTCCTTCTAAGTTCCTTTTCCTCAAGTTTGAAGCAATTTCAGAACTCTTTCGAAACCGCATTTGAAGCATCGAAATGGCCTATTTGCGTCAGCCGATCGACATCGAGATGAATGAACTGTTGGTCCGCAAATGGCAGCACGCTTTCACTACATTTTTTGGTTTGTTCAATATTTTCAATGATTTTTAAAAGAATATTGATTCAGATCTCGATCAGAATGGGATCATTGAGTGGAACGACTTCAAAGGTCTCATTGAGGTGAATTTTGAAGAGTTCTGAAAAAATAATAAAGCAAAAATAAATCTGAAAAAATAGGCTCTTCGCCAGCAGATTAATCGGAATTTTGAGAAAAGTCGGAAAATTGGAAATATTTTGTTGTTGATAGTCTCTTTCTACTAATAATTGAGGACTTTCCTGTTTGAATATGAAATTTTGGATAAGACTTCAAAAAAATTTGAAAAGCACTTAGATTCGATTTTATACTTTTTGAAATACAGCTATAACTATGAATTAGCCATGGAGCGCAATTGAACCTGCATTAAAGCCTTGCGGAATAAAAAAACAACATTTTCAAAAAAATATTTTCAGTGTCGAGATTTTTTATGCCAGATTTATGAAAAAAATAAAAAAATGTAGGAGAAAAAAATTGGAAAATCAGAAAAAAAATTTTTTTTCAAAGAGATATTTTACCACGAAATTGTGATTTCCAGGTAATCGGAGAAGTCCGAGGACGGAAAAGCGACGTTTACCTGACGGCTCGATTATGTCTACCTGACATTTGGGAGAAGCTGACCGAAGCCGTCGGCAAGGAGGAAGACGAGACGGTAGACGAGGATACACAGATTCTGAAGACGTCGGCCGGATTCAGATATCAATGGCCGACTGGCTGAAGATGTGCGAGGCGTCCAGAACGTCGGCCAAGGAGCCCGCCTGGCAGAAGGCCTACGTCGACTACATGTTCAAGCTGCTCGACGAGTCAGGTAGCGCAGTGGCTAGCGGTTTTGGATGGTGCTCGGAGGGTCGGGGTTCGGATCCTCGAGGGGGAATTTTTTTGTAACGATTTCACATATTCTTTTTCTGAAAGAATTCAAGCAGAGCTGTAAAAAAATAACTTCAAACTTTGAGAATAACTTTTTCAAGATTTGAAACTTTCTCAGAAGCTTTTTATTGAAATTTCAGAAATTATTGCCACTTTGTAGGGAAAAATCATGAATACTATTTTATTTTTAATTGAAAATTATAAATTCTTCTGAAAAAAATCTTTAAAAAAACGACATTTTTTTAATGCAATTTTATTCTTTTTGTAGAACGGAATCATGGTTTTTTTCGACTATTTATTGAAAAAAATTGGGACCTATAAGGAGAAAAAAAGAGTTTATTCACGTATTAAATTGAAAATTCAGCAGCTTTTTTTCAAAAATTTCAAAGTTTGGAAGTTTTTTTCTATTTCATACCTGCTTTTTTTCTAAAAATATATTCCTTCTGAGATTTTTAATATTTTTTTCACATTTTACCCGAAATATCTTTTTAAAGTTCCTTGTAGTTTTTTTGTTCCTTTCTTTTAAATTTCTTAATTTCCCCTTTTTTTATGATTTCTGCAAATAATATTGGTGATTAAGTCATATCACTGTACCTTACGAATAATAAAAGGCAGGATAAATTGAGTCGTGGTTCAAAAAAGTGTAGAATTCGATTTGCAGGAGACAAACTGGTGGACCAAGCCGAATATGTCCAAGTTCTCGGATATTTCGGCGTGCCGCGAAATGATTCGATACATTGTTTCGACCAGTTTGCCTTTGTAGGCCAAAAAAATGAACTTGAAATATAATTATATCAATTTTTTAGAACGCCCGAGGGCAATTGGTCAACAGCATCGACTACAAACGATTCGTGACCCTTTGGAAGGAATTTTTCACTTCTGGCGACCGTCGATCCCCCGGAAACTTCCTACTCGGCAAATTCTGAACCTTTTTTCGATTAGAAATGATCTAAATATTACTGAAATCAGTACAGTACAGGTGCCTCAAGGGTTACGGTTGCGGTCATGAAAAAAATCAGATTTTCATTGGAAAAAAAGAGTTGATTTTTTTCTTAATTTCTCACTTTTTTTCAGTTGATTTTTTTGTCTTGAAATAGAGATTTTTTTGAAGTTTGGCCGATGCTCCTATTCACACTTTATGAAGAATCAATACCTATGCCTAATTTTTTTGAACTAAATTCTTTATATACTTATTTACACTAAAGATTATGAAAGAATTTACAAAATTTTCTCGAAAATTTTTCCTTTTTTAAAGGAGCATCGAACGCCTATCAAAATATATCCTGACGCGAAAATTACATTTTCTTTTCGACTATCCACTTATAACTGTCAAAAATCGCCAAAATCAGCTGTTTGCTGTTTTTTTTCTTCCCGACCGCCACTCTAACCCCAACTTCTCGTGTTTGAAGAAGTTCAGGCCAAAAATCGACGAGCTTATCCATTTTTTTCCAATCTCCCTCTACCCCCCGTGTCAAATCGAATTATGCGCGTTTGCACACGATCCACCGCGCTTTTTTTCGATGTTTATCGTCCCTTTTTTTGACTTCGAAATGTCTTGTAAATATTTGGTCGAATCGCAACAAAGTTCTTATTATATTGTACAATATATCGGCAAGAGAGGTAGCGCAAAATAGAAAGAGAATCACAAAAAAAGCAACAGAAATTGTTAATCTCTACTTAACTATGACAACAACGCTGTCTATGATTTAGAAAAATGATAATAAGGCAATTAAAGAAATAGCACAGGGAGCAATGTATACAAACAAAAAAGAAGAAATTTCGCAGAGATTCCGCATTTTGCAACGGTAAAACGATTAACAAGGCGCCACGGGGACGTATTCTACTCTCTTCAACATTATTACAACTATTATTAGTCACAAACAACTAAAAATTTTTTTTATTAAATCCAGAGATTCAGTAGGAGGCGCGGAATGGTAAGGCGCACACGTATCAAATCTGAAAAAATTACTCTCACTACAAATATTGTTTCAAAAAAAAGTTCGCGCTGTTTTATGTTGCACTTGAAACACGAGAGCCCTGTTTAGAAAATAATTCAATTCCATTTTTAGACATTGCCACATTCTCAGAACGTTCTGAACTTTGAGACGCTCAGAGGCCGTTTAAATGTGAGTTTACAGCCTGTGAATGGTTCAAATTTGTGAGGGTTTATGACCTGGGAATTCTTTTTTCATGGCCTACAGCCAGTATTGCAAAATAAAAACTTGAAGTGTACTTTGAAAACTCTCAAAATTTAGAAAAAAAGATAACTTAGGCTTTTTTAGAACTTCATGTTTGGCCCGAATATCATTATCATCAGGTTAGGTCTTTTTTCAAACTCCAGCAATAAAAAAAAGCCTTCAAAAAAGTTTCGATTTTCATGTTATTTTGCAATTTTACCTGACTAGAGAGCAATAAAAATTCAAAAATTTGCCAAAATTTCAATTTTCTTTTCTCCATTATAGAGATTTAATTATCTCAACCTCAAAAAAGCAGATTCTCAAAAAATTTACGGTTCCAACGTAACTTTGAGCCCTCAAAGGGTGATAAACTGGCCCATAAATTAAAAAAAAATAGGCGAAATCTCATATTTTTCTGGAAATATGTTCCAGCCCATCTTTTCTCCCAGAATCCTTTTTTCAAGCCTGTTCTTTATCTCCAACCTCAAAAAACGCCACCTAGCCTTTCAGCAGATTTACGATGCCAACCTAATTTTGTACCCCACCCAAGCAATAAAATGGCCAATAAACGTGGACAAGAAGATTTCCAAGGTGCGAGGCGATAAACCATCATGAAGACGTCCCCAAATGCAACTTCAGACTGTGGTGGATCACATTAACGAGTAGAAAAGCCGTGTCCTCGGCCTTGGTCAGGCGATAAGCGTCTCTTGCACAACGCCGACGGTTTCAGACGACGTTGCGCAACCAGAAGACGTCGACCCCGAAGACGTTCCCCCGACATGATAACGATCACTTGCTTGCGTCGTTTTGCCAACCCCCGAAAACAATCAAAAATGCCATCGTTTTGTCGGATTCAAAAGTCAGTCAGAACTTTGTCTCTGATAAACTTTTTTCAGAGCTCTTTCTAGATTCAAAAGGCCATACAAAGCGGCTTAAAAACACTTTTTAAGAAAAGGTTCGAAATCTCCAGAAAACTGCTAACTCTAGGCTAACTCTTTCTAGCCAAAAAAGAAGAAGCTGAATCTATCAAGCTTCTCAAGTAATTTCCAAGAAAAATCGACTCAACGACCAGTTCCGAAAGTAATAACTTGCTGACCAGCTGCCGACCTTGTTAGTCGGTCTCTTCAAATGAATTTTCACCTTCCTCCCCTAATTAGAACGTCGGCGGCAAGTCGGAAAAACTTCCGACGTTCCTATTAGACCTCCAGTCGCAAAAAGTATACTCTCAATTTTCTACCCAGAGAGATAAGACCGGGTGGTCAAGGCAAAAAAAAAGACTTGTTTTTGAGGAGCAACCCTGCTGATAATGATAAGATAGACACGGGTACCAATAAGTCTACCGAGCAGCAATCCGATTAGAAGTGTACGATATTTCTAAGGAAAAAAACCGCAAAAAATAATGAAAACAAAATATGAGCGTGCTTCATCGGAAAAATCATCAATGGGGCGCAAAAGCTTGAAAAATAGAGCCTCTTGAAGTTTTCTTGCTAAAAATCGTCTTAATTTGAGGATTTCTGCCGATTCTTAAATAAAGAACTTGCATCGAAATCGCCGTTATCACTGGTCAATAGTTGGAACAATCCATTTCTAGAGATATTTCCGGTTCTTCAAAATTCTCTAGGAAAGGCCTTATGAATCCTTTATTCGAACCAAAACCACACAAAATCCCCTTCGAAACGCCTAAAACGCGTCCGGACTGTCCCAAGAACCCGTAAAATCCAAGATTGCGCAACACTCGCCGTATTCAACACACCCGTGGGGTCTGAGAATTTTTTTCCCCAATTCAAACCGAGAAAACGCGAACATCTGTGAAGCCCATCGCCAATTTGTCCTTCCTTCAACCCACACACAAATAGCCGCCGCCCTTTCGGTGTGTCGTGAAAAAAGCCATGCTAGTTATCCGAAAAGTGAAAAGAAGGGCAGAAAAAGGCCGACTACACATCGTTTCGAGGTGTTTTTTTTCCTCGGCGAAGTCGTCAAAATCGTCGAAAACGACACGGCGGCATCGGAGGCATATGAGAGAGTGAAGAGCCACCGAAAAAATTCGAAAATGTCCTCAGAAAAAACGACAAAACGGCCACCTTTTGATCTGCCACACCTGTTGTTGGTCTTATGAATTTTCCGATCGTCGGAGATCTTCAGATATCAGATAACGGTAAGGTCATTTCGGTTTGAATTCCAGCGACAGGACCTTCCAGCTCTATTCCCTATTTTGGAAACGAAGGAAATATCAAGGTCCAGAAAAAGAGCTACCAAGAGTGATTATGTCCCAAAATCGACGCAGAACCTCAGGAATAATACCTGTAGAGTCGAAAATCCGAAAAAAAATAGGGTGATCTAAGAAGCTTCTTCCTAGCAAAAAAGGAAGAATATATCAGGAACTATGTTTCTGAATTCCACCCAGAATTCCAGTAGTTCCACTTCAAAACGGAAACAAACCACCATCATTTTGAATTCCAATGACAGGTCCCTTCATTTTTTTCGACTTTTTGTTCCACTTTTTTGTTGTACAAGACAAGCGTAACCAATAAAAAGTCACATTCTCATCGGAAATGAGGCGTTGATTCATCTGGATTGACCGAGAAACCCATTACTTGTTGCAAATGTCACCGGTCGCCGTACAGCCATGTCGTTTTTGACCGATATCTTGCTTAGTCACGTCTTTAGGTGAATGTTTATGGAAAAAATTACACATTTCTTTTTTTTTCTTGCTTCTCTCGCATTTCGAGATGTCGTAAAGTCATTTTAAATCGAGAAAAAAATAGTTGAAAAGGCTCAAACAACGAAAAAAAAAAATGATCGACTGATTGATTGACAAGAAACGACCTTTAAGATTTCCTTAGCTGGAAAAAAGAAAGTATTTTCACATTATGATTGAAATTAACAGTAAGACATAAGCTAATAAAATTTTTTGAATTCTGTGATTTCCCTACAAGCAAATTGTAGAGCACCGTATCAACGCTAGAAAAAAAGTACCTGTCTATTCAAAATTGATGTCAATCCCAACATGATGGGAAACATTGAGTTTTTGATCAAATTTCCATCTTGTTGGAACGAAAAACCACTAGAATATAAACAATGGAAGTGCTTATTACATATTATTCGCGAGAGAAAAAACTCTGAAATCGTTAATCCAACCATTTGCAACCGGAAAGAAGTATCTCATATCAATCCTTTTTGCCGGACCTCCTTGAACCCCTCAAAAACGCCATGTTCAATCCCATCAAACGTGGGAACCTTGACGCACACAGTACACAGGAAGTGTAAAGCGTGCTGGCTCGAGAGTAAGTTGCCCAATGATTCATCGCGAAACTCGCTTGACACCGCAAGTCACCAACACATTTCTCCCCAGCAACTGAACAAAACTCCAGGCTAAACAAAAAAAAAATCTCGCGACTTGTAGGTCACAAGCACGTGTGAATTGGTCCGTTGCATTTGCATTTCTCGGCCTCGATCCCTTGAAAAAAAAAGTGAGGCCAACAATGAAGACTCGCTAGATCCGCAATCTTGCCATAAAACGGGGAATAAACCTCAATTTCGGACTCTTCGGACCGAGAAGAGGTTCTGACGAACACAAAAACTATGGTCTTTTTATTGGAGTTCGAGGAGGACATAAAGATTCAGTTAAGGTCGCTGGAGTCGTCAAAAAAAGGAAAAATCGGAGAAGATACATCTTTTGGAGGCTTCGAATCACGTCATGAAGCATTTTCATAACTTCAGAATTCCCTCACAGTTACGAATTTATTGAAGACTCGATTACTATGCGGTCCGAATTGTACCTGATCTTTCCAGTTCTGCAGCTAGTTTATCTGATTTTGGGATAATTCTCAAATTTTCCGACATTTTTCCAAAATTACTCGTCAGTTTGTATTCATGAAAATTGTCTTGCAAAACAAGTAAGAGTTTATCTTGAGAAAGGAAGGATCTCTATGAAAAAAGTCTTCAACTTTCAGCGAGGTCAACCCGTCTAAGAAGGTACCTTGAACCTTCTGAAAGTTGGGTCAAACCGAAAAGGATCCCTAGGAACTCAAACGAGACGGAAATCGAGGCGACAGCCGCTCCAAAACCGAAACCGCAAACTCTTTCAACTCACCGCCTCCATTCATCCACACCTTTCCTCTCCTCTTTTTTCTTTTCAAAGGATCCAAAACCACGGAGGTAGCTATAATGAGATTCTTCTGAAGAAACTAGAGAGTACATGTTTGCGATTCTCTCTGACTATGAGTTACTTTTCAGAAGGAAAATCTTCCTTGATCTTTGGAAACCTCCTTTTGATACTGTTGGTTTAGAGGGTTGAGAAAAGTTCCCAGAAGAACAACAGCTTTCGAAAAAATTTATGCACTTTTCTTCGTGCTTCACAGATAAGATTTTTTTTTCAGATTTTGTCTTTTCCTGGCATCTTTTAATTGTTCAACCTGCACAGTTAGTCCTCCCGACAAATGTTGGGCCATTCCCAGCACCTCAAAATGAATTTCTTTCCCGCATCTGACCTCAACCACAACATATTTCAACTGACCAAGGCAATTATGGGAAAAAAAAAACAAGTAAAGTTGGTGAGGTACACCGATTTTGCCATCAATCAAGCGCGGCATAATGGGGAAACCAACGTGAAACCGTGTGGGGCCGTTCACGGTCGTCAAGTCGCTCATTACCATTATCCGCTCGATGGGAGAATCGCTTACGTCGCTCAAGGTTGTTGCTCAACCAGCTTCTCAGGAAATTTTCAAGAATGCTTCATTTAAAAAAAAAATTTTAAAACAACTTTTAGGAGGCTGCCAAAGAAGATGTACCTATTAAACGTTTTTTTCTGAGATTTAAAAACTGTCATGTCTGGTCTTCATAGATCTGTCACATAGTCTAGTGAAAAAAAGGAGTTTTCGAGTAATTCTGTGTAGAAAATGAGACAGACTTGTCTAAAACTTGTTCTCGACCTTTAACTCAATAAAAATTGTATCATTGAAATGATTTAATGATTGTGCAATCAGTTATAGCGATCTTACCAAGCCTGTGAGAAGATTTTTTCAAGAACTTCTGGTTCCGCTGTTCGAAGAGCCGGTGGTATGAAAAAAACACCAGCAAAAATTCAAACGGCGACTTTTCCGATTTTTTCATATCGCTAGGGAACTTTCCGACGGCCACCTTTTCGACGAAACTTTTTCCGACTTTTTTCCCTTATAGTTTTCAGTTTTTAAAACATCTATAAACATTTTTTTCCCCATTTTTTTGTGTTTTAATCATGAACCAACCACCTACTTTATATAGGGAAATTTAAAACGAAGATTTTATCGAGAAAAAAAGTCGGAAAAAGATTCGTCGGAAAGGTGGCCGTCGGAAAGTTCCCTAGCGATACAAAAAAATCGGAAAGTTGCCGTTTGAAATTTCGCTGGTCTTTTTTTCATACCACCGAAGAGCCTGAGGCTCAATGAAGTCTACTTTTCTCATTTCACAGATGAACACATTATCTCTAGTCTCTTCATCATTCCGAGTAAAATCTTCACTCGAAGTGGTCGCTCTCATTCTGAGGCTTCCACCTAGAGCAGAGTCTCCGGGCTCCAACACAAGGTCAGCTACATTCTGAGCTTGTCAAGGCGCAACTGGATGGTCTACGCGCAGAAGGACGAGGCGAAGGACCGTAAGATCATGCTTTCAACTCTTTTGGCTACACGCTAGGACTTTTAGTTCGCAAAAGGCGGTCGTTTTTTATAGCTTTGAAAGTTCTTGTTCACCGCCTAATCGGTTGCATCTATGACTAAAAAACAAAATAAATTGAATCATCTTTCCAAAAAATCCAGCGTCGAGAAAACTCCCAACAATCTACTGAACCTTCAAACTCCCCAGAAAGAAACCGATCAACCCATTACCAGGCCATCGTCCCCTCTAAACGATCCGAATTTCAAACCCCATTTACTTGACAGCCGACGCCGCCGCCGGACCAGCTGCATGTTGCAAAGATGCGGCAAACCGTCACAAATCTATCAAGAAGGGCGTCCAGCCGAGGTGGCGGAATTATTGTCCGCGATGGGTGCGCGACAAACGGTTGTCTTTGAACCGTCCGTCCTCGACACAAATCACGTCGACACCTTGCAGCTCCATCCGTCTTGTCCGACCCATTCGCAACATGTTTTTGAAACCGCCGATCAAACCCCCAACACATGAATCAATTAACAGGTCAGAAGACAGCGTGAATCCTTTGTTTCATAGGAAATTGAAATAAATTAGCAGGGCTTTGAAACCTGAGAGAGAATTTTTGAGAGAAAGCTATTTTTCAAGAGCTTTTCGCTCTGTTGACAAAAAAAAATAAATTTCTGAAAGTTTACATTCAAACCCCCGATTTTGCCGCTGGTCGACCTCCTGACAAATCTAGTAAGAGCACATTTCGGAATTTTCTGGGCTTCTTGAAGTCAAAAATAAAGTTTGAACTATAATTTTTGCCAAGCTTTCGATTTTCTCCGCAAAAAAAAAAATTATCCATGGAGCACAATTTCTTGAACTTATCACGGCCGTTTTTTCTCAATCCGAAGCCCTGATTAAACCGTTATCTTTCTTTAAAAAAAAAGAAAAAAGCCGCAGCTCGAATTCCAGCTCAATCTACCTTCTGAAAACTTTTTTTCAAGTGATTTTATACCTCGAAAAATTTTGCTTCGAAATTTCTCCAAAAACTGACCAAAACAACGAGAAAATCCTCCCGACGGCTCCATCACTCGGCGTGTTTCCTGAGCGAAACGCCTCGTTTCACCTTCTTTATTGGGGAAAGCGACGTCTCACGATCAGCACCGAAATCCGGTTCCGCTGTTGCAAATCTGCAAAAAACATCTTCCCATTGAATTAATTGATTGTCGGACACCTGAACGGGCTGCGAGGGGCTTCGGATTCGTGGGAATGCTTGAGACGGTGGCTCTTTCTTGGGGTGAAGCCGAGGTCCCTGGGCTCAGAATCGCCTTTGATCGGCTCCGAAGAGTCTTTCGTCAGGCGACGGTCCAGAAGATTCGACTCGGAACGACGTTTTCGGACCATCATGTAGTCTGGAATTACCAGGAATATATTCTAATTTTTCAAACTTAGATCACAAAAATAGCTTTTGGAGATAAGCGGGGCATCCAGTATAGTTGATCCCGGATCTCTTTTTTTAAAGGAAACATTTTTTTTCTTAAACTTCCGGTTCTGATTTCCGGTTTACATCACATTCATTCAAATCGTTATAACTGAATAGTTACGTTTTTTTTCCTTCCTTGAAAAATTGAATATTTTTTTGTCGATTCTGATTAAGCAGGCGTATTAGCTTATTTGTTCGAAAAAAACAGTGAAAAAAATATGATTTTTTTGATTTTTTTACTGATAGAAGCGAGTCTAAAAAAATCATTTTTTTATGATTCTTGAAGGCGCAAACATCTTAAATAACCTAAAAAAATACTTTCAAAATGGTTCATAACTTCGATTTCTTCATTAAACATGTACATACTCCTTCGAACAGGACCTTTGAAAATACTATAAAATGTCGAAAACTATCAAAATTTGTCGAAGTTTAAAAGGTTTACTGTTTCAAAAAATATATTATTTCACATAAATTGCCGACATTTTCCAATTCTCCAACCAAACGGAAAGTTTTCTAATCCTCCCAATATTTTGGCTGTTTACGCAACCAACTTTATCAGAGCCAAGAATCAGTATTGCGCACATTATCGTCGGTCCCCAGAAAGGGTTCAATATTTGCGACTTTCGACTTGATCCGTTGCGCAAGCGACGCATTAAGGCCGCACCACATACTTGACCAGTTCACTTGAAACACGCCGAACAACGGCCAACAGGATTAGTCACTCTCGTCCCAAGCGCGTATGTCAAAGTGTAATTAAACATGTAGGTACGAGCTAGTCGAAATGAATGTCAAATAAGTCAGAAAAAAAAACTCTTATCACTATGAACCAGTTAAAAGTTGTTCCTTAAAAAAAGAGGTTTAACTTTGATCACAGGTCATACTCTTTTTCTTCAATCGTGAACTCAAAACGGCTGAGATTAGTTATCTTATCGAAATTTGGAAAACTTCCTTAGAATCTAAATATTTTATTGGCAGATCTATTTCATGAAAAAAACCACTAATCCTATCCAATCTTTGAAAAATCCAAAAACTCATTAGAACTTCATTCTTTAACCTTCAAACCTTCCCCAAACCATTAAGGTCCCCCAAAACTCGAGCCAAAAAAGGACCATCCTTATCATTTTTAACGCCGTAAATCTATGAAGAGTCTTGCGCAAGGCTTCGCTTCCAAGCGACGTTTGCTTAACCTACGCTGCTGCGTTACACGTTTACGGTTCTCAAACCAAATAAGGTTATCTACACTTCCAATAGTGGAGGTTTATGACTGAGAAAGTGGATTTTGAACTGTATGAAGTTGGTTAGGTTGTTCTCTTTATGTCGGTTTTACGAGATAAGAAATTGGAAAATCTTGAGAACGAAAAAAAAGACCAACTATTTTATCCCATTCAAAACGTGCAAAATTTCAATACTTCTTCATTCATATCCAGCTTTAGAGAGTTTGAAAAATATTGAGCTCCACCCGAGTAATGAAAAAAACTTTCCATACCTTTTCCGACGGTACGTTAAAGTTCCCCACAGAAAACATCAATTCCGGCAAATCCATAATTTTTGTTCGCTTCAACCGCTCCAATTCCTCATTATTCGTGTCGAACCAAGGCTGGCAAAGCAACTGCCCGGTTTCAAGGTTCACACAAAATCCCCCGATTGCGCAGCGTGGTTTTGTTGTGGCGAGGCGTCGTCGCGGGGTGTCCTACCAGCTGTTATTGATCGGATGGGTTCGGTCGTTCCCACCAACGCCGCCTCTTTCTTCCCCTTGCAAAATGCAACCACTTTGTCCGGTTTTGCGTTGCCACCGAACGGCCCAACACAGAGGAACACATGGCAAATCCCATCAAAGTTAACGTCGAAAATGTGGAATCGACCACTGGGTGAAGGTCGTTAATTTTGGTCCAACTCGGAGTTTGGGCTCAAAAAAATATGGTCGCAGAACATGAACAAAAAATGATGATCTAGTTTTTTAAAGACGCAAAAATGCTGCCGTTTCAAATTCCAAAAATTCAGATCTTCTGAAAGTTTTTTTCTAAAGGATCATTTTTACAAGAAGACTAATGAAGATTTTGAGCTTACCAAAAGCTTCAATCTTTGAAATTTTTTGGTCAAAAATGCCTACTACTCCTCCATAACAGTCTTTTTGTAACAATCTGACCGAGCCGAACTGGTCGTGGTCAAATATTTGACGGGAATGTGTCAATACTCGGATCTCTATGGGGAAGGAAGGCCGGCTCAGCCTAATCCCATCCTCGACCTATGACGGCATCGGTCAGCGCGTTTCAACGAGGATTTTTTTGAACCATAAAAGAAGTCTTCGAGGGTTTTCCCATCGGCCTTGACGGTCTTTCCCGAGTTCCATCATCGACAATTGCATAAGCGGATGATTGACTCAAGTTGGTTATTTATTGGGACGGACAACACGTGTGTTCTGCGGCCGTTGTGCAACATGACCACGACACGATCCAGTGAAATCGAGACTTCTGACCTCGGTTTCGGTTATGCAAGCCGAGCCGTTACGTTCAAACTTTCGGACATTTATCGAGTATGATCGTGATTAATTAGAAATAAAAACCGTCATTTGATAACCAAAAAAACATTCAAGCCTTTTTTTACTGGAATTCCAGCTTGTGGATAACAAAATCGATCAATTCAAATACTTCGAATTGATTCTAGCTGCTGTGAAAAAATTTTGAGGTCCTAAAAAATTAAATCTTTCACAGTTAGACGAGATTCATAAAAACCGTCCAAAAATGAGAAAAAAATAAATTCAAAAATGATAAATCATTCGAAATTCTCCAATTACCCTCCGAAAAATGTGAATTTTTGGAATTTTTAAACAGAAACCTAAAAATTTTAGATTTTTTTCAATCACTACTTCTATCAAAAAGTGCTGAACACCATGACTTGAGACAATTTGAAAAAAATAATTTGAATTTTTTTCTTGAAATTAGATTTCCAATTGTTCAAAAAAAGTTATTTCGAAACTTATAACTTGTTAGATCTTCCTCAAAAATTATAAAACCGAAAATTTTCTCAACGAAATTTACGAAATCTCTACAGTATAAATCCTTACAAACCCGCTATGAAAGCCTGCATGTACAAAATTTAAAAATTTCAAAGATTTCAGTACTTTTTTTAACCTTTTCCTAAAAACTACATCAGGCGCTGTTGCAACGCACAAAGCGCCTTAAAAATCGCTCTTCCTGGCAATAAACCCCAATCTACTCAACGACCAAAAAAGGCCTGGAAAGTAGCAATTTAGCCGTCCCGGATCAAGATTCGAACTGAGATTTGGCGATGGAGCGTGTCGTGACAAGCAAAATTGGCAGGTATCCGGCCAAATAAATCACGAACCACATGCCGTTCTCGCTTTTTCGAAACGAAATTGAGGGCTCGACGATTTTAGAATGCGAGCAGTTCATGAGGAGGGCAATTAGAAAGAAAAATGGCCTTGGTGAAAAAAAAACAAACAGAATCCTACTAATTGATTGAAAACAAGATAAGGAAAGGTCAGGAAAACTAGTGACTTTTAACCGATTAAAAAGAACGGGAATTTCTTTAGAAAACTGTAAAATTTCTAAACAAAGTTATATGGATTCACGAAAAGCTTTGGCTTCAGGATACACAGATTTCGAAATATCTGAGAAACAGGAATCCTATTTAAACAAGCTATTCAAAATTCTAATGAGGAAAGTCAGAAGTTTCAAAACCATTCTGACTTTACTTTGATTGTTAGAGGAAACTTTGAAAAAAAAAAAATATAGGTTCGAAAAAAATTCAGACAAATATTTTTCTTGCTTCATCTTAAAACTTGAAAAAAACTTTAAATTCAAAAAAATTCTTTCTGGAGTTTTTTTGAAAGGAGCATGAGGTCTCACGGCAAAGAGCCATGTTTCAGTGAAAAGCAAAGCCAAATCAAAAAAATTATGTACCTTTAAATGCACTAAAAATAACTACTAAACGAAATATACTGAATAAAATATCACGACAAAACCCATCAAACTTACTCGTGAGCTTGGCCTGCTTCAGAGTTTTATCTTCTTCGAGGCTTTTCTCCTTGATCAGTCGGGCTGATGACCTAAAAATAAATATCTTTGAGTTACCTTCAAAATTATTTTTCACCTGGTAACTCTTTTGGAAGTCGACGGTTCTTCGACATTAATCTCGACCCTTTCTTCTACTTCTTCTTCAACTTCTTCGACGACTTCCCGTTTCTTCTTCGGACGGACAACACGAGGATGATAGACTTGTGGAATCTGAACCATCAATTTTTATTCAAAAATCAAAAAATAAACAAACATCAGCCATGGGAACCGGCTCGAAATCGTATTCACCGCCCTTCAGAGGAACGTCTTTGGAAAAGTCGAAACCGTACTTTTCGCGATTCGCCTTGTTGAAACCTTCCAGCTCCGTGCGCAGCATTTTGTCCAACTGAAAATCCGATAAAAATATCCAAAATTTCCTATCATCTTCACCTTTTCCTTGTCAGGCCGTCCGAATAAGCACCGTGAAGCCTTACGCTTCGCACAAGCACGCTCTGACATGTTGAACTGACAGAATTTACAATCACCTGCAAATGTAATATTTCTGAAAAATAATATAAAAGCAGAACAAGAAGAATGGCATTTCGCCAACCGAGGATCGTTTGAACAGAGATTTAAACACGGCGAAAGTCGTAAGACGGCAGAAGAAAGGGAAAATCGCACAGAAAAACAAGTTTTCCCATATTTTCAATTTTAAATATTTCCAAGTTTTTTTAAGCAACTTTTAGGACAGAATATTAACAATAACAATGTTTGCTGGTGAAATTTACAAGCGAGAACATGGTACACAAAGAATTTGTGGGAAAACGTGAGAAGAAAGGCCTTTATCGGTCGCAAAATCGTCTCCGTTTGCCTTTTTCGGGGAAGTTGCCGCACTCGCCGACTCGTGTCCGTGGAGCGCACTTGGCCGTTTCATGCGGCGCGAAGGGCAAAAATTTGAAAACTTTCCTCATTCTTTTCGCTTTCGCTGTTTTTCGTTACTTCTTTATTCGTTTTGCTTTTTATAGTTTTTATTGTCTTTCAGTGGCTTATTTCTATACTCTGCATCAGCTGGACCACTTTTAAGTTGACAAATTCGATGAGAAATCGGTAATTTCCGGGGCTAGGCTATCTTTTTATCTTTATAAATTTCAAATGATGTATAGTTTATCTCTTTCGGAGGCAGATATTCGTTTCTTCGACGCTGTTTTTTTATTTTTCAATGAGCGGAGATTAAAAAAAATCAATTTGGTAAAAGTTATGATGGAATTAACTTTTCTTGCCCTCTGTACTCTAAAGCTACTCCTGGACCATCTTAGGATACCAAAGTGGCTTTGATTACTGTGAAGGGTTAGCTAAGGACTGGCACCATGTGTTGGGGGCGAAATTGCGTGGCAAATTGCCGGGTTTGTACATTTTCGAGAGCCATCTGCTGCTGAACGTGTGGCTCGGCTATCCATTTCAGGACTCAGCTGGCTCCTGAAGCCTGAAGATCATTTGCTGTCCTCACGGCTAATTGCTTAATGAGGACTTGTAGGTGTGATAAATGTGCCACAGGTGATTTTTGAGTTGATTTTGCTCGAAATGTTTTAGAAGAGCTGGATAAGCTGGAAAACTTCAGAATAAAAATTAAAAAATCAACTATTCTCTTTTGATTCCTAAAAATATTTTGAACAGGCTAAACTCGATCAACTTTATAGTCAATTTTTACAGCTGCAAAGTATACTCACAATTTTTTTAAAGGCACAATGTGTTCTCTATATTATTCATGACAATATTTTTCACATTTGTGTATCTTATTTTCGCAGTTTTTTTAAATGAACCATGCCGAACTTTTGTGGCGGAGGTTTTTCTTATAAATATAGCTCCAAAAGGATAGTAGGGCAGCCCCAAAGATCTTTTTTCTATTTTCTCACTTTCCAAGCTTTGGATCACATCCTTTCTAAAGTCTTTTTTAGTAATTTAAAAAAAATGAGAAAGGGTAAATTTTATTGAACTTTTTTGACGAAAAGAGGCTCGGGTCGTTTTGTTGAATTTCCTGATTCCTGAAGATTAATTGCTAATTGATGGTTTTTTTGTTATAAGTAGCTTGAAGGTTTTTTTCTATTTTTATTTCACTGATAACCTTTAAATGATTGAAAGGAACATATTTTTGAACCACAAAAAAGGAATGGCCTTTTGACCGCGGCGACGCATCTGTTAGCGGAAGTCCTGTAACACTGGGAGGCCACCTGTCCGATTGTCCAACTGTCGTTATTTGATAAATGGCTCTTTTCACGCCTTTTTTCTTTCATATCGGGTCCTCTCTTGACCATCATTTTTTCTTCATGGCCCGTGAAATCAATGATGGCGCCGCGGGCTGTCTGACCGGAGTATACTGGTCGTTGAACCGTTGGCTCTTGACCAACTGGCAAGAGGTTTATTGGCTTATAAGTGCAAGGCACAACTGTTTGTTGTCTACATTTTGAGACACTAAAAGGTATTATTTGAAAGGAGAATTTTCAAAATGTGTTTTAAAATGGTAAATTTGTTTTACGTTAAAGTTTCGAATGAGTGGAGGATGATTAGGAAAATTGTTCCGAGGCCGCAAATTCTTGTTAAATTTTTAAAGGGACATGGGAAAATATCATAAAGGTCCTGAGACGAAGAGCCGCTCTCGGTAATATTTCGAGTCACTTTTGAACAGTTCATCTGGGGTTTTTAGTAGGTCTTTCTGGAAGCTAGCGAAAAATGAGACACTTTTTTTCAAATTTAGCTCTGAAATTCACTGGCGTTATTTGCCTCGATATTCAAAATTTTAAAAAATCATAAAAATTTTTTTTATAGATTAGAGAGAGTATAAAGGTTCATATAAAAGAGCTTCAAAAAGTCGATAAATTTTTTTAAACCGATAAAAAAAATTAAAATACTACTCTATTCTACTTACTTCATTCCCCACCTATTGCCAAGTCTGATTTCTCTGCACCCTCTCGTCTCTCGGCTTAAGGGTTAGAGAAAAGAGAGCGCAGACAGTCTGAAGATTTGGAGAATGTGTTATATAAAATATTTTTTTTCTTTCGCTCAAAAACTACCCGTATCAGAGTCAATTTCTTTTTTCAGCTTCAGATTTTTTTTTACCGAGTAGAATTGCCTTATTAGGGCATGAATGGTCTCCCCACTCCTGGAATGTTTTTCTTGACAGCGTCGATTGACCCTCTTGACAGCTCTCATTAAGACTGACCTGGTCAATACAATAATAGGCATCTTGACACCTCCTAGAGGCTCAACAGAGAAGCAATTAGAAGAGTCGTGAGATGGTTTACAACGACTTCTGGAGGAGCATCTGTTGGCTCGGAGGAGCTCCTTAAGCTGCTGACAGACCGTCGCACAGTTGGTTCTTGGGCCCCTTATTACACTCAATCAGTCCCTTCTGATGAATTTATGACCTTCGATTCGGCTTTTCAGAACTGAGTGTTGGAGGATTATTGATTTGTTGAATATTGGTTTTTTCATGATTAAGGTCGATAATGCAAAGGTGGATTCTTACATGACCAAAGTTGATACAGAGAGTTGGTTTTGAATTGATTTGTTTTTAAAATGAGTAAAAACCACCTTACAGTGGAAGTCGTTTTACTTTGCGGTTGGGAATTTCTCGAAAAGGCCAGAGAACTTCTTGATGTACCAAATGAAAATTCTGTGAGTTGCAACTTGCAAAACTTCCTAGTTTTCAAGAAAAGAAGCTTCAAAGTCAGAGAAAACCGTCAAAATCCTTAAAAATAGGCTATTTTGAGGCTTCAAGCTCTTGATTCTCGAAAAATAGGAATTAGTGCAGGTTGAGACTTTCAGAAACTTCTTCTGGTACATCAAGGATGTTCTGACCAATTTTCAGTAAAATCCCGACCGCAAAGTAAAATGACCTCCCTAGTTAGCGAACCTCAAAAATCTGTTAGAATCCTTTTTTTTTGGTATTTAATGTGGTTCTATGTATCTGAGTAAACAAATATTTAAAGATTCAAGTCAACTTGAATTCAAAAGTTTAATTTCCACAAAAAAGTTCCTTTTATAATAAACAGTTCGCCGCCGCAAGATATTCCCTCCTTTACCGAATGCATTTTTCGCGTTCAAACTTTGAGGCGACATAACTCGACTAGAACCAAAAATTTGCACTTTTTTTTGAATTTCTTTGGATTCAGGGTGTTGGAAAGTGCCTATATACCCAGCTTTATCAAATACCAATACCTCGACCTTTTGCACTTCCCGTTCAAGAACCCCATTTTCGAGACCTTTTATGATAAATTCCTTGAATATTTTTGTTAATACTTCATTTTTCAGCATCAGACTTTTCCTGGGAGTTTTTCTATACCTTTCCAAATGCCTTTCTGCTCCATTTTGAAACGTATCTCTTGGCGCCAGGGGAACTGTCAGAGGAGCAGTCTCCGAGGCGCTTGGCGCGGTTCCATCGACGGCGGCGGTCCCCACAATTATTTCGTTTTCTCCCGTGGCGTCCTCGTTTGTTGGCCGGTCCCTTTGCACGCTTATCAGCTCTCTTGGCGTTGTCATATCAGCTTGGCTGGTAGCCAAGGTTCTTTCGCAACGCGTCACGAGACCGTAAAGCTGTCTGAAAAAGCCATTTTTTCCTCCTCCGGTTCGGGGTAATTAAAGTGACAGTTTTTGGCCGAGAAATAATACTTCTGTTGGCAAAAACAGTTGTACACTTTGTACCTTTTCAAGCTTATGAAGAAGGTTTCTCAAGGTTCAGATGGATAATAAGCAAAGTTTCAAGAATTCAAGCTGGATATTTAAATTTCAAGAATGAATTATAAGCCCAAAAAAAGGAATTTTCAGGTTATTCAAAACTTCTTGGTATGAAAAAAAGTTTATTCAAAATCGCAAATGTAAAAAAATATCGAAATTTTGAACTCAAGATTAAGTTTTTAAAGAGGAAAATCTCACACAGTGAAAAAAATGGAAACTTTTCAAAATAAGCTTTTTCGAAAACCGTGGTTTCACTTAATTTTCAAATTTCCCTAGAATTCTATCCTTTTCCTATTTCAAGCCCTTAACTCTTCTCCAAAGTTTTATCAGTGAGTATTGTTCCAAGGTATTGTTTACGTAGTCTTCTTCAATCCGTAAGGTGCTTAAATATTTTAAAGACAACGCAAAACAACGAAGACATTGATACGAATGGATGGGTTGACTGGAAAACACAATTTTTTTTTTATTTTTAAATTTTCCAAAAATATCAAACTGCTTCCGAAGGCGTAGCTCTGAATTTTGGACAATAACTGTGAAGATATTAAATTTTGGCTAAACTGGGAAATTTTTTAGTTGCCACTTGAGTAGTTTTTTATTTCTTCCAGTTACTCTGCTAATTTCAAAAAACAGATTGGACCAGTTATGTTGATCCATTGACCCCTAAAGTGGCCACTCAAATTATTAGTGGTCTAGTAGTAGCACTTAGACCTCTATAATGGCCACTAACTTCTAACCCCTTAAGTGGCCACTAGTTTGACTACTATCGTGGCCACTAAAACGTCAAAACCCTGTAGTGGCCACTAAAAAGTTTTCCAGTAAGAAAAGAAGATTTTGAGGCGTTTTTCGACTGAATTTCATCTTGAATATCTTTTTCTCGACTTGAAATGAGGAGATCTTGTTTTTCAGTACAGTTTCCAACAATATAGAACAAAAAATTTTGATCAAAAAGGGAAAATCAAGAAGAAACTTGAATTTCTGTACATTTAATAATATTTTGGTACATCAGATGTATGAAACTTAGAGCAATATGGGCTGAAAAACGGTCTTTTTCTGAAGTTTTGAGTTCTAAACGGGTAAAAATGTCGGGGAAATCGACTCTTTTTTTCGAGAATTTCAGTGGAAAAACTTGGAAATTCGACGGTTTTTCGAGGGTTTTTCGTATGGTGACCTGGTTGTAGTCGGGAAACTCAAACGCCTGCTTTTTGTATGGAAAGAGCCGCGGCATTGACGGCAGCCGCGGCTAATTCCGTCGGGCAGGCCGACTCATGAGAAACTCGTCTTCTCTCGCAGAAGAAAGGTACGATTCGAATTCGCGGGGTCCTTTTGACAAAAAACGCGGAGGATTCGCTCTGATTGCGTCGGCCTGGACTCGAGCCAAACCGGACCTTTCTTTTTTTCGGTTATCAGTTCGCTTTGTTGCCAGGAACAATGCGGCTTTGTCTGAACGTGGATAATTTTGAGCAGAACGTCATTTTTCATTGTTCTCAGGTTCACAAAGAACCATTTTTCTTTTGTTTGGTTCAGATAACGATATAAATGTGATCACTAGAAAAATTGGAGAAAAAATGTTTAATTTCTCTGTTTTGAAGCTCAAAAGAAAAAATTTTTTGATTGACTGAAAAGGCTTTTTTTTAACATACACTATTCATAATCCCTGTTTCAGTATTTATTCTTATAAACAAGAAGTAATTTACTCAACTATTGTCGGATTCGTTGTCTTCATATTCCTTATTTCTCTCATCAATTTTTCTGAAAGTTCAGGTAAGAATTAGGAAGAAAAAAAAATTGGTATTATTTTTTTTTTGACATCAGATCATTCTCAGAATTTTTTTTCAACCTGAAGATCTCGGAGAATTTTTGAGAACAAGCATTCTGGATTCAAAAAATTTGAACATGAAAAGTTTCAGCTTCGAATTTACAACTTTTTTTACAGTTTTTTTAATTCTAAATTCAACATTCACGAGCATAACTGCTACTTTTTGATGAGCTTTAAGTATAAGCTTCCAAAAAATATTAAAAAAGCCCAAAAAGTAGAGTAACTGTACAGAATAAAACCATTGTTGACAGCCATTTTCTTAGAGTTCGTCTTCAAAAAAAGGTCCTCAGGATCCAAATACTGATTTTTTGATAAGTTTCAAGTTCAAGCTCCCTTCAAACTGTTGGAATTTTACAGGAACTTGAGATTTTGCGGTAACAGTGTAGTCATTGTTGAGAGCCATTCTGCTACAGTTCGGTCTTAAAAATTAATTTCTTGAGGAGCTCCAGTTCTTTGTTTTTAGCCAGCTTGAAGTTCAAGCTCTCTTCAAAATGATGGAATTTACAAGAGCCCAAAAATTTGGGTAAGAGTGTAGTCATTGTTGACAGCGATCCATTTTTTTCAAATTGGGTACGACTATTTTAGGAAGCTTTGAAGCGTTCTTGAAGCCTTGGTAGCTTTATTTTCAGCGAGTCTCTAGTACAAGCTCTCTAAAAACCCATGAAAACCACGAGAACCCAAAAATTGCGGTAACTGTCCCGCAGACGACCTTTTTCCGGTCGGCCACCCGCACTTGCCCATGTACCCACATCATGAATAATCATTTGCTGGCCTCAAAAAAGGCCGCCGATGTGCAGCCGCTCAGCTGCTTGTCCGGACACCCATCAATTATGATATCCGGTCGGCGATGGGAGGCCAAAAGGCCAGCATGTTTAATTAAGCGCCGCCACCGCCGCATTGTTTTGTTTACGGCGGGCCCTTCCCAATTAATATGCGAAGGAACGTCGGCCTGTTTAACAATTCATCAGACAGTGCAGGTCAGCGGCACATTGTAAAAGCTTCTTCCCTTTTTTGGAGCCGACTGCGGAGTTGTAGATCCTGGAACGTTTGTACAGCTTGACCAAGTTGGAAGCGGCCTGTAGTTGGGCGTTTTGAGCGAAAAGAAACTTTCCAGTTCGGGAAAAATAAATACAGACTTTCCATAAATTCTGCATGTTTTTTTCAATGCATTTTTCGTTATGTTTTTTTTTCAGAAACGCGGGAAAACTTAAAAAAGTTGCGCCTTAAAACGACTACTTCAAAGATCCATCTGCGCCTTTAAACCCCGCCCAGATTTGAACAATATATCCCCTTTAGTACATTAAAAATAGTTCCACCAGTTGTTCCAAAACACAGAAATCGGACCAGACTCCAATCAACACAAAAAACAACTTTTCGGTACGAGACCCATTAAACTCCACCCCTGCTCTTTTAAACACCTTTCAAGCCTTTCAGAGCTATTTCCAGCTTCATTACTCCAAAACCCAGCCAATAACATGATTTTCCGTCGAACCGCCCATCGATTTTTCGTACGGTAGTCCTTGTTGATGGAAGAACAGCGTTCGTACGTTCTGACTGGCGGTTCTTATCGGAGTTCTTATCAAGGCTCCTCGCCAAAAATTGTTCGTTTCCACTCGAGCCGTCGAACAGAGACACGATGAAGCTCCAAGGGGTCTTCTTCAACAAAATCAGTTTTTGTTTGTCGTTTTGGGAGGTGAAATAAGGAGGAGTGTTAGTCATTGATTAAAGTGCAGAAAAAAGGTTGTTTGATGAACATTTTGGATGAGTCAAGCTGGTTGTAAATATCTTCATATTTTTCGAAAACTGTTGATATATATTGTAAAAAAATGAGAGGAAGGAGAACAAATTAAAACCAACTTCATGGTTCTTTTTGAAGACGAAGCTCTCTTGATTTGAAGAAAAAAAATTTTTTTTCAAAGAGGGCTCAGACCAATTATTTCATGTTCAAGCTGACTTTTTTAAAAATTTTGAAAATTTTTTTATTTTGTGAAAAACAACCACTTATCACATCTACGACAAAAAAAATCCGTGATTGAAACCGTAAATTCAATAAAAATAGGGAGTTTCTGTTTTTTTGAGAGGACATTTACGAGAAATAAACATTTTTTTTAACACGTGTAATAATGCAAAATTCACAAAAACAGATTTTTGAAGTTTTCGAGAAACAGTGAATCAAACTTCAAGGAATATTCCCCCATTCCTGATCGGAAAATTTGATTTTTCATTTTTTGCAGTTAATCACAACCAAAGACCCCCGAAAGCTATCATTTTTAAGTATAAACGACAGATTTTTCAAAAAAAAAAAAATTCAGAACTTTTAGTCTTCAGAAATCCCTCATTTTTTATCCATTTAAAAAAGTTTAATTTTTTTTTAAATTTAGGCAATCATCTCCAACGAATAGAAGTACTATAAAAACCTCTTTGGAAGTTACAAATGAACCATTTTTTAAAAAAAAACTCAGACTTTCTAGTGAACCAATGAACTGAAATACCATAAAACTCCCTCATAGAAATGAAGAGGACGTCCATTCAAAAGTGGATCTTCTCCTTCCAAAAAAGGTCACGACCCGACGTGAGGTGTGACAAAAGAGTTGTCTGAGGACAGGACAATGGAATCGACCGCCACTCACCTTTCGAGAACTGAACTGCGCGGCTCGGCGAGCACCAGGGTCAAGATCCTCTCCGCGTTGATTACCGCGGTTGCGTCATCCGCCATCCATCAATCCCGCCATGACCACCTTGGCTCCCGTCTATTGCTCATTCTACTCCGATTTCGCGTCATTTTTACTGTCGAAACATTCGTCCAAGTGAAAAAAAAACTATCTCAAAATAAATAAAAAGGTCTTGAAAAGCTGTAAAGTCTGTTTGATGCCATAATTATAAATTTTTCTTCAGAATTTTTCGACCTACAAAAAATTACTCTGTGGAGAATGTATTAAATATTTTTGCTCATATTACTGCAAAAAAAAATTGGAAAATTCCTAGTTCCCCATATAAAAATAATATCTATCAAGTTTGAAGATTTTTTTGATTTTTAAAAAGATTTCAGTTGCCTCCATGAGCTTTTTAAAAAATCCGTTAATGCCCTATTGATTGATTATTGTTGCTCACATCAAATAAATATTGCTCATGTTACAAAAATCTTATTTTCCAGCGAAATAATTGAACCGAAAAAGCTACTATTTAAAATTTTAGAAGAAGGCTTCTTTTTCAAAGCTAAAAAAAACGGTTTTACATTTTTCACCCGATTTTAACCGTCGGAATTAGTATTTCACAGTTTTCAATTTTTTTATTGAAAAAAATCTGAAGTATCTCGTTGAGGTGCCTTAAAAATGATATTATAACCATAAAAAGATAATTTTTCTTTCTTCGTCAAACCGAAACCACCCAAAATTTCTCGACGACGACCTTCGACTGGAACTTTTTTCCTTCCTCCAAATGCCTCAAAACCTTCAAAACGGACGATAAATGGGCCCAGTCATCGGAAGAAAAAGTGCGGCGGAGCGCAGAAGAAAAAAAAAATTCTCGGAGCCGTTTTTTCAGCCGTTTTTTTCCTGCGGTGACCTCCCGTGCCAGCGTACCAATCATAACCGCAAAAACAGCTTTCAAGGTTGTTTTGAGAAAAAAATATTGGAAAATAATTTATCTTTCGGGAAATATTATAATAAATCTTGAAGAAACAAGCAACAATGAAAAAGGTGGAAACCCGTGGAAATGGAGAATCCAAAGCCTTTTAGTGGATTCAGCAGGGGTCTAGCTTGGCTAGCTGTTGAAAAAGGAGATGAAATATCACAGGGCAAGGAATGAAGGTCCCTTTGTAAAGGGGGATCAGACTAGACGGGGGAGTCGAGACTTAGAAGGGGATTCAGAAGCGGACGACGGCACGACGACTCGAACGGTGATGTTCGTCGCCGTCGACAGACTTCGGAGATCGCTGGAGTCTCTTTCTGCGGATCGCCATGAACTCTGAAAATGAGAAAAATTAGTTATTTTATGAGAAAAAAGCTTGGGAGCTGACAAGGATGTTCTTTATCTGGGATTTTCGTTTTCTAAAAATTCAATTTTTTGAGAAAATCCGTGGTTTTATTTCAGTGATGGGACAGTTAAACTCCGGGAAGCCTAAATTTCCGATTTTTAAAAAAGAAGGACCGAAAGTCTCCAAATGGCTCATTCAACCAGCTCTCGAATAATATTTCTTCAAATTCCAAGCCTTCTTTTTCGAAAACCACGGAGTTTCACCTGCTCAAACTTGCAGAATCCTCACATTAAACATCAAAAAGACTTCAGAAAAATCCCAGACAAAAAGTGACAAAACTTCCTTGTAAAGAAAAGAAAAACTAACCAGTGAGTTTGCCCTGGCGTTTCTTGGGCGTTCCGAGGGAACGACGCGACGGCGGCACCGGACTGTACTCCATGCTGTCCATGCTGACGTCGCTGACGTCGCTGTCGTCGCAGGAAGTGAGGCTCATGGCGCTGGTGTTGGCTTGGGACTGGGGCGAGCTCGCCGGGGAGGTCGAGGCCGGCAGGACTTTGGTTCTGAAACGAGAGCAGAATTAGAAGAAGTTTTGATTCTGAGCGATCAGAAGGCTTGATTCTTTCAGAAAAGAGCTTTTTTTTAGGATAAAAAATTCTTTACATGTGAAGGTAGTTGGTCTGGTCAAGCTTATGTGATCAAAAAGAAACGAGAAAATGTAGAGACGTCTAAACCTCTCATTTTCAACACTATTTTGCTAAAGTCAGTTATGAATGAACTATCGGGCTACAGCAATGAAAAACTAGAAAAAAAAAGAAATTCTCACCTATAGAACGGAGGAACGTCGTTCTCGGAGCAGGGCTCGAAGACGTACTCAGAAGACGTCGACTCGATGGGGACGCCGAGTTCGAAGTCGAAGCCGTACTTCTCGGCGTCCTGCTGCCGGATCTTCCTCAGGGCTTCCTTCAGCCAGGCGTCCGTCTCTTCCTGGGGAGGACGGCCGAAGAGGCATCGTCGTGCGGATCGCTTTGGCGACTTTGGGAACACAACGGACATCCTGCAAAAAGCGAATAAATTTGTGGATTTGAAGAGGATAGAGAAACGAACAATGACACGATTTGCATGTGAATTATGCAAGAGCTGGCGAGAAGGGGAGGGCTAATCGATGAAGCTGAAGCTGCAGAGGGGGGATTTATGGAGGAGCAAAAAAATTAAGTGAAGTTGAGAAAAATTGAAGATTGAAAAATCGAGATCTCAGAAAAAGGATAGTTGCGAAAACTATCAAAATAGGCTGCAGAATTTTTTTTTTCTAAGGAAGTACAGCTCACAGGAAAATCGTGAAAAATCGGTTTTTTTGAAATTTTTTTTTTTTTCCGGTTCATCTAGACTCGCCAAAATGGGTCTTGAAACGATGAAAAAAGGTCTTGCAAAACTTAAACTTTCCGAGAAAGTTTCACAGCTTAAAAAAATTTTTGACAAAAAAGTTTTTTTTCCCATTAGAAAAGGTTGCAAAGATCGTTCTCAAAGTGGCGAATCTAGGAAAAACTTCTCAAGAAACAGCAAAAATACATTTGAAAGGTCAGAAGGCTTGCGCAAAAGAAGCAGAAGCTGGAGAACAGTATGAATAAAATAAACAACATTTGGCGAGGATCCAGCTGGGCGGCTCCTCTGGTTCCGAATGGCAAGTCTTGTTTATCGAAGGCTCCGCCCGCCGAGTCCCATCGACAAAATAGTGGTAGCGGAGAGGGCGGAGACACCCGCCCGCCTTTCGAATATCTCTCTCCGAGAAGAGAGAGGGAGAGAGACGGGTGTAATTGGGGACCGTGTGTGGCAAGAGAGGAGGTCAACGCCGAGCACCACCGAGGTCAAAAGGTTCCGATCCGTCGGCCAAGCCGAACCCTCCAAATGGGGATCGGATGTCATACCGACCATAGGTATAAACTTTGGCAAAAGCGGCGGAATAAAAGAGGAGAAAAAAGTCTTTGAGAAGAGCTTCTAAGTGCTCAACCGACAGTTGGGGATGGTAATGGAGAGCTTTTTTTTTGGAAAATTAGATTTTCCAGAGTGTATCGACCGTTAGAAGCTTCCAAAGTCGATAGTTTTGGATGAAATCAAAGGGGTTATTTTCTAGTAAAAAAACATAGAAATTATAGCTAAAAATCTACGAACTGGAGCATTCCTGTGGGTGTTTCAATGTCAATCCAGAAACAAGCCTAGCCAGGACAGTTATAAAAAAAGTTAACAGATACTTTTTTTCACATAGATTGGCTTGACTAGAAAAAAAGCTCAAAAGTTGAAGCGCTTCTCGAAAATTCTGAGGCCTTGATCTACAAAAAAAGCAGAAAAAAAGAAGCATTTTTTTTTAAAGAACCAATACTTTTTTTGAAAAATTGTATGCATCGATTTTGAGCAGAAGCTTCAAAATTAAGGAAATTAGCACGAATTTCAACCGAACTTTACAGTTTTCTGGTCTTGAAGAGAAATTTTTGGCTAATTCTGAAGTTCTATTGGACCAAAATCACATGATTTTTCAACATTATAAGCGGAATCTCACTAGAAATGTAATAAAAAAGTTCCACTTCTTCTTAACTTCTTCTCTGTGAAATTGACCCATTTAAACTTTCTAGAGCGTAAAAATACCTATAATTCAAAATTCAACCTACAGAAAATCCTTTGAAAAGCCCTAAAAATAGACTTTCCACCAAATTTAGTTCCAACTCGTCAAAACCTCAACTATACAGCTCCCAAAAAGAGCTGTTCACTTCCGCCGAGTCGGTATTTTGGTGCGTCAGAAAAAGGCCGCAAAAAGGTCAGGACCGGCCTCAAAAACAAGCCACCCGGCTTCCTTTTTCACCGCGGCTCGTAATTACTTTTGGGGCAGCTGGCCTGTAGCAGATGAAGCTGGTACACGTGGGCACGTAATGAGGGGATCGGATCGATTTTCGAGGAAAAGCTGGGGCGAAAATGGAGCTTCAAGCTCGGAACGTGGAGATTTTTAGGGAAGAGAAGAAGATGATTGAGGTGTTTCAGAGCTTGGAAAAGAGAATTCAGATAAATTTCCTTGCTCATCAAGAAAAAAAGTTTAAGAAGGAATAAAGAAGCAGTAGAAAAAGAAAGAAGCAAGATAGCAGAAAAAATATCAAAGCGAAGAACTTTTTAATGATATTTTTGGCTGTTTATTGCTTAAAAAATCTCAAAAATCAGTCTTGAACAATCTGTATGAACTTGAAGCTTCTGGCCAAAGGAAAATATTGAAAAAATCCTGTAAATGCTTACAATAATCGGAAAAACCCCCGAAAACCGACGATCGATTTTTTCAGTGAATATTTGAGCTTCACCTATGCTTTTGGCTTCAAAGTTTTAAGAAAAAAGTTTTGAATGAGCTGAAAAATATGAGAGACTTCTAGCCAGACCAAAATGTCGCAGCAAACAAATCAGACAAAGAAAATTGCTAAGCAAAGTCAGAGCCAATCCGAAAAATGAAGGTTTTTACTTTTTTCAGTATAATCGTTATTTTGGAAGACCTTGGCTCAAAAAGCTTTGAAAAAAATCGTGATTCAAAAAAAAAAAGAAAGAAGCTTCTAACCAAACCGAAACCTTCAAAAAAGTCACAGTAACCAAGAGCAAAGATAACCGAGGAAAAAGCCATTCCAGAAACTGAAGATCTAAAGATGGGCGGTGCCGTCTTGAGAAGACCTCGTGGGAATGACAACTCGTCTTCGACGGGAAAGAAGGTGGAAAAGGCGGCCGCGGCGTCGTTTCGCCTCCCTTCGCTCCGCCCACTTTCTGCTGCAGACTCCGCCCATCGCCCGGAGGCTTGGCCGTTTGCCAAGCCAAGCCAGACTCTTCGGTACTTTATCAGCGTTCTTTTTCAGAGCCGCGGCGCGTATCGATACGCGTTCCGAAGAGCACGTTTGCAAGCGTTCAATTGTTTTCAGTCATTTTTAAGCTTTTTTCAGAGAAAATTCGGGAAATGATAGGAGTTTCAGGGTACAAAAAGTTACTGAGAGGGGAGGTTAGTAAAGTATCAAGATTTCTGAGCTTTTCTGCGTTTTTCGTTGTTTTTTAAAGAAAGTTCTCGAAATGATAACTTTGATAATTTTTCAAGGGCAAGATTGTGAAAAATCCTGTATTCCATGCTAGTAAAAAATAGGATTTGAAATAAATTTGCTATTTTTTAGACCTCTTGTAGTACCAGAACATCCTGGAAAAAAATAATTCTAGAGAAAAAAAGTTGGAATTTCCGCTAAAAGCGCGTTTTGCAGTAAAGTTGCTCCATTGAAAAACACGCCATTTTTTTCTTTTTTTCGCTTTTTTTCTTTTTTTTTCCAGATTTCTATTTTTTTGTCGTTCAATTATTGTAGAGCTCGAAGGTTAGAATATAGTAAAAAAATAAATTCCCTGCTATTATTTTACTATTCTCGAACTTTTCAGGTCCTAAAAAAAACTTCATAAGCTAGAAGGATCCTAACAGACTCGGATAAGGAAAAAAGAGTGATTTCTAAAACCCTCAAAGGTTGATCTCTGAAATAAACTTTTTCCCAACCAATCTTGATCAGGATCACCCTAATTTGAACGTAACACAGTGCCGGTCGGTGTCGTTTCAGCCATTTTTTTTGCCGATCAGAAAAAAAAGGAGTTTTCGAGGAGTTGCCGGCGACAATCAGGCCTTCGGATCGCTTGGACCGCGGCCAGCCGTGCCGATTTCGAAGCAAAGGACAAGAACCTGTGGTTTCGACTCTTTTTTTTTCTCGATGATTATCATCATTGTCTGCTAATTAGTCTTCGTCAGTCGGTCTTGTACTTAGCGACGCGACTTTTCAAGTTCTTGCCAGGTTATTGACCTCCAAATTGGGCATTTTTTTGAAAAAAAAAAGAGACAGTCTCGTCAGATGTACATGGGAAACTTGACTGGAGCTTGAAAGTTTCAAAAACAAGTATTTCTTTATTTTGAAGTCCAGGAAAAAAAAGCTCGAAATTGCTTGAAATCGCCCCAAAAAAGAGAATCGAAATCACAGTCTCAAAAGAAATATTCCTTTTATCTGGTTATCTGATTATATAAGAAAAAAAAAGCGAGGATCTTCTAATTTTTCACAACTTCGGCCTAAAAAAACCGCTCAAAGACCGTTAAAATTTTTTTTCTTTCGATTGCTTTTGAAAAAAAAAAGCTTCAAGAATTTGAAAAAAAGCATTAAAAAGAAAGTTCCGAACAGATTTTTTAGACTTCCAGGCTTCTTAACTTCACAAAAAAAATCTTAAAGTGTCCAACTCCAATAAAAAATCCACCACATATCTCAACTTGACTCGAAAAAATCTACATTTTTCTCCGCGACTGCTCATTTTTCAAAAAAAAAACTCCAATAAATCGAAAGAGCGAACTTGAAACACATCGAGGGCCACAAAAAAGACGATTCTGGCGCCAAAAATCCGAATGGCATGGTAAATGGGCAAAACAACCTGTGGTCTGTGTCTTTCCTTTCTTGAAAATGCGACTTTGTCCCCGGAGGCCACCGGTTTTTTTTCCTCTTCTGCGCGCCAAAAATTCGCTTTTTACGGCAAGTTGTTGTTGCGAAGAGAGCGACCGTGGGAAGCACAGCTGACCGTTTTCTTTCTTTCTTCTTGGCCAAAAACCCGCCTTCTTTTTTGGCGCGTTTTTGTTCTTGTCTGATTGAAAATTCCGAAAGAATCGAGAAGCTGAGAATGTTTGAAAAGGGATAAAGGGCCTTGGAAGCTTCATAGGCGAAGCGAGAAAGGGTCTCGCGAGCCCCTCTGAGGTATATCGGAAGATCTGAAGTCTCACGATGGTACCTCGAGTCTGACTTTGAGCAAAATTAGTGAGACTTGAGAGAGACTCTGAAGTACCTCCGAGATGGCTCAGATATAGCTAAAACGGGGGTCTCACGATAGACACATTATGGTACCTTCTCGATTCGTCTGTGTTAAAAAGGAATGGTTACAGATCAAAACTGATAGGAAGATGGTTAAGCAGTAAGTTGCAAAAATAAGAAGAAGGAGGTGGAATATTTGACTCTAATAGCCATGCACCATATGACCTTTTTAGCTTTGTTGTCTGTCCAATGTTATATCATTTCCGTCCTATCTGTACCCTAATTATTTGCGTGGTTTTGACAATAAAGAAATAAACAAAATAGAAACATTATTCATAAAGGACTCGGTCAAACTCGATCGGATTTGGAAGTTTCGCACTAAAATCTGAGGAGGAAATTGAATTTATTATAAAAAAATAAATAAAATTGAAAGTCTGTATTTTTTTTCACGTCTACTATCTGGTTACTGTGGAAAAAAAACACTAGAAAAGAAAAATAAAGCTCTTGAAAACTGTTGAAGAAAATAATCAGGATCAAATTTTTCTTCGAAACTCTGAATCCTGAATTGTAACAGTTTCAAGGTCTTCTGATAGAGTTTTATGGGAAAAAATCCGATTTCTATACCCTAACTCATTTTTATATAGATGAGATTAAACCATACCCAGAACTTCAAAACCAGGAATTCTCGAAAACTCAGATGAAACAAGGCTTCGAAATCTGTTTTACTGGAAAAATCTCAAAGTAACAGTTTTTAAGCTTTGAGAAATTTTCTCACCGATATTTTTGATGATTGTCTGTTTTTCGACTCCAAAAAATTTTTTTTTATTTCCAGTGAAGTCAATCGAACTTACAAATTTTCCTTGAAAGCCTAAAAATTTTTCAAATAATTATTTGAGACAACAAGGCTATAGCTATTTTATCCAATACCAAGCTTTTTCAAACCTTTTCTCATTCAAATATGATCCCAAAGTCCATCAAGTCCAATTCAAATTCGAAAAAAAGGCTTTGATCGTTGGAATTTTCACTTTTTGAAGTTGGCGCGCATTTTGGCAAGTTGCCGAAACGATCATGTATTTCGTGTCGACAAAACCGACCATTCATCATTCTGCCAAAGAAACTCGAAACGCAAGTGAGATGAACGTACGAAAAAACGCGCGAAAAAGTGGCAACGCCGAAAAAAAAAAGAAGAGGAAGAAGAAAGAGGCACGGCATATGTTGAAAGAATCGTTGGAGGAGAAGAAAAAAGGCCCTTTTTTGGAAAGTTTGCGAAAAAATAGAAGTGAGGTTTGTGAGCTAATGTCGTTCTCAAAGTGGTTCTAGGAAATCCAAAATAGCCGTAAGAGAAAGAAAAAGACAACTTAATTTTGGAGAGTCTGGAAATTCAGGAAGTATTTTGAAGGCGGCAAGGACATTAAAATCGCACTTGGAATGGCTAAAAGCGCTGCGGTCGCGGTGCGGTTGTGTTTAAATATATTGAGCCAACCGCTTCGCTCGAACGGCTTCACGGGTTGAGCCATTCCAAGTGCGACCATGAAATTTCGAGTCAGAGCCAAAAATAATCTACTCATACCTAGTGCCGTGTTCAGATCAATTTTCACAAAATTCAAAATTGTCTCTGACTATCCGAAATTCAGTTGTCTTTTTCTCTCTCTAACGGTTTTTTCGAACTTTGAAGAATTACTTACGGCATGAGGAACTCGCCCAAAACTCTTCTTATTTGTTTGAAATCAAACTTGAAAAAGAAATGTCCACCGATGTCTAGAAATGAGATAAAAATTCGAATTTCCCAAAAAAATCGAGTTATTCCGGTCACACCACTGAAACAGCTTACTGTAGGAAATCCGCGAAAAATCAGTGTGAAAAGGAGATTTGGGACAAATCAACGAGAAAAAAGGAACGGCTGTGTGAAGATTTGAGATTTGGGTCAGAACGGCGGAACGGCATACAAGTCGGCTGGCGGCATGGCTCTTCAAGATTTCCAAACAAGATAGATCCCAAAAGGGGTCAAGACTCGGCGGTTTCCTTTTTCCGTTCGGTTTCCGCGAACCGTAGGGTTGTAAATTGTAAATATGAGACATGTCAAATCTCAAACTGGTTATTATGAACCGAGAGTCGAAAACTCGGTGTTTTTGTTTTTTTGAATGAGCTTTTAAATATTTTTGAATAAATATTGCTCATTCTCTGTAGTTGACTTCTACTGGCTCGAAATGAAAAATTATAAGAATCTTTAAAAATTTTTGAGCTTCAAACTCTTTTTTTCGAAAAACTTAGCCGAACAATAAATGATTTTAACTTTTTGTTAAAGCTTGTTACGAATTTTTGAGCTTGTCAACTTTTTAAAAAGAAATTATCAGTTAGTCATTTTATAGCGTTATAATAACTATAGTATATCACCCCCCTTCCCCCTCAGAATAGAGGTGTTCAAAAAAGAAAAGTTCCTTTCAAAAATAAACTTGCGGCGATATTTTCACAGTTACAGAACCTCCTAGGTTGAAACTGTACATTTTTTGAAGATTTCCCCAAAATTCGGAAGTTCCTCTGAACAATGGAAAGTTCAAAAATAGAGAGGAAAGTTGGGAGAATGGGAAAAATTCGAGAAACGAAACAAAGATCGTGCACCTGGCCGGTTTGTGAACACGTCACTCGCGAGAACAATCTTTGTTGATTTCAAAACGGAAATCGAATCAAAACTCGATTTTTGGCGCTGAAAGATTCAAATCCAAAAAAAAGAGTTTCCACGGAAAGTCGGAAAAGGTGGCAAAAAAGGGCGGAAATTCGAACCCGACACCTCGTTTCCAGGCAAAAAACGGTGCACGTGTTCACAGGTGTCGCTGTGGAATTAGGAAAAAAATTCGTCGCTTTGAAGTTTTGAATGCACGACAGAAAAGGGAATGAAGAACCGAATTCCTGCCTGTTTTTCAGTTCCAGGGAAACTTCTCGGGAAAGATCTTATCGGTCGGCGAGGATCCGGCAAAACGGTCCGAAATGGGCGCCAATTCTTGGGCTTTCCATGGAACTCAATGTCGAGAGGCACTTTTGGAAGTCCCTTGAATATCTGGGAAAATCTTTTAGTGGTCACTATAGTAGTCAAATTGGTGGCCACTCTAGGGGTCAGTGGATCAACATAACTGGTCCAATCTGTTTTCTATAAAATTGTCAGAGTTACTGGAAGGAATACTGGATGAAAAAATACTGGAGTGGCCACTAAATAGAGAACCTAAATAGTGGCCACTAAAACGGAAAACAGTGGCCACTATAGAGGTGGATTTAGTTGCCATTTTAGGGTCCTCTCTAAGTAGTCCTTGGCGAGCCTCTATAGTGGTCACTAAAAAAATTTTTTTCCAGATATTTATATTTTTTTATTAGGGAAAGTTGATAAAAACCGTCAGAAAAGATGCGGAAAAAAAAAGGATTTTAGTCTGAACTTCCTTGTATGTAATTCAATCTTTTTGAAACTTTTTGAAGGAGTTATGGTTGTTTTTTCTAATACTCTGATAACATTCCAATTACCAGAAAATGGGCTTTGAATAATTACAGAAAGATTGAGCTTCCTACAAGGATTTGTGATCAAAACTGCGTTTTTTTAAAATCTGTTCTGACGTAACTGTAGACCCGAACAATCTTTGGCTTTTTACGCTAATCTTCTTTTTTTCATCTCACTGTACATGATCCCCTTCAAGTACCACCTCTACGCGGTGATGGGGAGGCAACGCCATTTATGGCGGCTAACGGTACACCGATCACGCAATTCGGCTTGCTTCTGCTAACAGAATGGGCGGTCTTTTTTAGCCCTGGCAAGGCAAAAAGGATAATAAGACCACAATTATGCTATAACACGTTCAACACCACGGATGGAACTTTTTCGCAAGAATGCCAGTCAACCAGGACGACAACACTGGATGACCGATTGCATAAGATCTCCTGGAAAACGTGTGGTCCACGCTTCGATC